TCAAACACCGCACCTTCCCTCTGGTTTGAAATGAACTTTCGTACGGAACTGGAGTTCAAGCGCCAGAATTTAGAGATCGCGTAGGTACTGGAACGAATCGAGCAAAAATGGATGGGCTCGTACGAGAAATTGTGAGTCTGAATGCATGCTTTCAGAGCGTGATGAAGGCAGCGCGCCACGCACTGACCCATAACCACAGTTGCATACTCTTGTTTATGCACTCTTGATGATATGCCAAATAATGTGCAACTAGACTTGAGAGGGCATCGAACACAAGTTGCATACACATTATACTACAATGTGTACACAGTAGGCCCTGAGCTCTGCAGGAATACAAGTCACAGGTAACCGTACAACTTTGAACTTTGTATGCAACTACTCTGCAATGCCCTATCAAGTCTAGTTGCACGTTATTTGGCATATCATCTATTCAAAAAAGGTAGTGTCTTGATTCAGAAATTGACCACACAGGCCCAGGAACAGATGCATTCCGTTTCACATCCTCAGCAGAGGGCCCATTCCAGTTCAGTCGAGTGCAAGAAAGAGTATTGGATTTGAGAATTCGTGTTTGCTCAACCTGAAAGTGCAGTATGTTCTTCCTTGCCAGAAAAGCTTAGCCGGAACGCTTCAGTTTGCAGCATATAGAATGGATACCTCCTTCGAGCTCAGGTCATCATATCGTATGAATGTCTTCTCAAGCCAAACTGAGATACTCCTCTACAGCACATGCCCTCTATCAGATATCACTGCATCAGACAGGTGCTGCAACTACATGTAGCACACACTAACTACAAGATGTAAAACGATATAAAAATAATCGGCTCAGGCGTGGAGCATGGGCGCCGGGCGATGATAGCAAGCACATTGCCAACAAAAGAAGAGAACAAAATACTAGTTAGTACTGTGATATCTTCTTTCCAGAAGACCAGCAAAAGGCTACAAGTACTTACAAGCACTGTACATGTATGTACATAGCTACTATGATACAGATCAGTGACTGATACAAGCAAGAGTACATAACCCCCCAGAGTGTGCAACGCCTGATCCAGCTCTGTGTAGGGTCTTGGTCGAGCGGAATCGGATCTTCTGATGTCATGCGTACACTCCACACCAGCTCAAGGACGGTCCTGATGTCATGCGTACACTCCACACCAGCTCAAGGACGGTCTCGAGGCAGGGCACCATTGTTTTTGATCCAAGAGTACCCGCGACTCCCCGGGTTCCCCTCAGATGTGTACGGTATTATGACGCAAAGATCCGATTCCGCTCGACCAAGACCCTACACAGAGCTGGATCAGGCGTTGCACACTCTGGGGGGTTATGTACTCTTGATACAAGTGTGCCGCATTTCGCAATTATGCCAATATCCGGCCACAACACTTGATGCACCCAACATGATAGTTGCAGCAGTAGTGCACTGGGATGTCAGCATAACACAATGCTGTTGATAACACGAAAGCGCCAGGCGCCCAGATGATCGTCGAGTTGCATCCTTGAATTGGGCAGTAGCTGCTTCAAGCCAGAGGTGAACTAAAGCACAGAGAAGATACAAAGTGCCAATAACGTTAGTCTCACCCTTAGAGAGTGGGCAAGTCATCAGTAAGACTGCCTGATACATACTTACAGAACAACAGAATCAATTACTGCTTTTCGCAATCGCAAAAGACAGCATTTTGTAAACCACAGCTGCATTACAATTCTCTCAACTCAATGAGAGAGAAGAACATACCAGGTAACAGGAAGTGCGAAGAAAGAGGAGGCAAGAAATACACACCGACACCAGCAGGAATTCAACCAGGTGCCCGGCGTCAGGCATAAAAGTAAAACACAAAAAGTAGCTCAAAGGTGCAAGCAAGGAAGCTATCAAATAGGAGGAACATACTTCATAGCTCGATGGATTGGCTTCATCATACGGCTCCAGCTGCAGCTGCAGGTGCTGGCACTACAATGGAGCTAATCACATCGGCAATATCCTCAGCCAAGACAACAACACCGACGAACAAGATGATGTTCTTCGTCAGGGACCTGCAGTACAAGATAAAACAATGGAAACAGGACCGCCGGAAGCAGTCTTCGATTGGTCCGGTAGTATTGTGGCCTTTCATACTTACAACAGAGTGTAGTCAGGGGAGGGGGCAAGTGCTACCAGAGGCGCATCGCTTCCTTTTGTCTGAACTATGGCCATGGAAATTGTGTTGTGTTACTCACCCGACTCACCCCAGCCCCTGGACACAAACGCCAGTGACTGATGCGTATCTTCACCGCCCAGTGCTTCGCAACGAGTTTGCTGCACAAGATATGTACTTCCCAGAACACAACTGCGTGTACATGTGGTTGCATGGATCATGTTTGTGACAACTATAATGCGTAGCTTGAACGCCGGACATATTCCATTCTACGAATTTTTAAGCTTATCCATTACCCCTAAGTTGAGGGAATGGAAAAGGGAAAAGTCGGTGAAGAAAAAAATTGACTGTCCCCACCAGGAATTGAACCAGGGATCTTCGCTTGCCATCCATTACAACAGAAATATATGTGCCCATGAAAGGCAAACAGCACCAGCCCATTTGCTCCATAAATTCTCACCACGATGTTGATGAGACTCACCATTTGAAGGGATCATTGTACAAGTCCTTGATGTGCTCCAATGGCGTCGATGGCGCGGGACGACGAGGAGCTCCTCCCATACCAGCACCCATTGCTTGGGCAAGCTCCGGTGGCAAACCTCCAAACGCAGCCATGATCACAGTTTACAAGAAAGGTACAGCGTGCCTTGATTATTCTGCAAATCTGAAGCTCAGTAAAATGTATGTTTTTTTCGCAAGTATTCATTGCGCAAGATTTTTATGGTAAAACACACGCTTTGTTTGGGTGAGTTCGATTGGACCAATTCAAATAAATTGTTATGCAGGTTACATGTTCGATTAGTTCAGAAGAGATGAGCACAACCCTGTAGGCGGTCCAGAACCATAACTGGCATGAGAACAATCGGCATGATGACCAGGTCCAGGGAGCCATAGTAGGCTATACTCGCTATCCTTACGCATACGACTGGAAGAGTGTCTTGCACATACATGTACCTACCAGTATTACAGTACGCAGCGCTCGCGACCTGGTCATGACCCGAGTTGCCCCAAGGACTGGAAGATGAGCATACTAAAGCCTTGCTCTGTGGAACTGACTGTTGATATTCTAAATCTAATATTTCTCAAATCGGTGTATTGCAGCCCAATTATGCTGTGCAGTACAGGTCTTTGTCATATTCCCCATACCCGAAAAAGAGATAAAGGTCCATGAATGGTCAGCCTAGCCTGAGGTGCCATCTACCATAACCTTGCATAATGGACCAAATAATTAGAGCATGGCCGGGTGCTGCATGATCATGACATTGGGACTGTTATCGCGATAGCTATTATGGCCAACTCCAACTTTATTTTTACATTGTGCTCATTTCTAACTATGTAATACACCCGGCTTATCAAGAGAAGTTCAGATCGCATGCAGACATAATACATGTGTGCTGTATGGATAGGCGTGTGACGATAAAGTGTGCGGTCCGACATGCTGAGGCATGCTGAGAACATGATACGCAGAAACAGTATAATAATAGTGTACTGCAGCTACATGCACTAGCTAGTGCAATCCCATGCAACACATGCACGGACGAGGCAACCTCTGGCAGGGCACACCTGTAGCAATTTCTATGACTCGCCTCAAATTCACATCCGCACAACAGTAATGATATTGTGTGATGATATTGCATGTACAAGCTACCCGACCCAAACTGGTCAACACCAAATACCGGTAACTACAGTTGACATAGTGAGAATGCTTTTATATGTAGAGCAGCTGTAATGGGAATGAGACTACATAATTATACCGGTATTCACGCCCGGAATATATTCAGAATGCTTTAAATCAAAGCAGGCGAATTTTGTGTGTAATGTTTGATCACTAAAATGGAATATTGAGTTGCTGAAAGTTCTTGATAGTACGAGCGTATCCAGTGCTGTTTAGTCACTAACAAAAATGTTATACTTCGAGTATCAGGATAGTTTGGGTCAGCTAGCACTACAAGTGGGTCTAAATTTGGAATGTTCCCATGATGATGTTGTCTAAGTAAGTCAACTGAAAAATGGGAGTAAAAACAGCAACGGTATGGCAAAAGACCACAAGAGTTACTTGTAGCTCAAAGCCTATGTAACAAGTTAAGGACTTCTTTCAGCACTGTTGTGGATGAACCAAATAAGCGAAATAACCATAAAAATTGTTACGCTAAGTCTCCATCAATCCTTAAACAGAACTACTGTAGGGTTCTAACTTCTAACGAAACTTGTTAAGAGCCTACTTAGTCATGTTCTTGCCAGCAATGAGGAGCATCTTCAATATCCTGCGTGAAGAAGGTATGAAGGCTGCCGATGCTGTGACGACGTCATCAACGCCAGGGCCACCAGAAACATGCTCAAGTTGCAGACATTCGGATGCCAACGACTTCATGCCAGGAGGAACACTAGAAAGTTATAAACTACTCAGTACAACGCCTGCAGCTGCTGCGAGTACTATCTCTTCCGCGCAGAGATAGTTTCTACTTCTTGTTTGGCTGATGGCATTGTCCGCGGCCCGGAGAGACTTCGCTTTGTACTCTCCGGAACACCTCTCTCCTTGCCGAATTCATCTCTCATGATGAAGTACAAGTCGGCGAAGAAGACTAGCGTTCCAACAAAGAGGCCGGCTGACACTTGCTGCACACAACAGACCAGATGACATGAAGAACAAGTCTAGGAAGTAGCACACCTCCATACACATGCTTCGACGTTTCGAAGAGTAAGAGAGAGAGTGAGAGAGAGAGAGAGAGAGAGAGAGAGAGAGAGAGAGGGATAGCGTTAGAGGGAGATAGAGAGAGAGAGAGTGTGTGCATGCGCACGTGAAGAACCTGGTATGTATTCCGGGATATGTTGACTCTTCGCGCTACTGCATCAGTCGGATTATACCGGTAAGCTCTTTGAAAGACTCACCGCAACGAGGTCCAGTCCGATGTAGCGACACGCAAAGAAAGCGAAGAAGAAAGAGCCGATTACTGTGATGAAGCTGTTGAGAATGACCGTGGTCTGAATAGTTACCTGTCGGTCTGAGAAAGCACAAGAGCAACAAGAGCACCACCAGCACCAGCAGCAGCAGCAACAGCAGCAGCAGCAGCAGCAGCAGCAGCAGCAGCAGCAGCAGCAGCAGCAGCAGCAGCAGCAGCAGCAGCAGCAGCAGCAGCAGCAGCAGCAGCAACAACAACAACAACAACAACAACAACAACAACAACAACAACAACAACAGTAAGAAAAGTCAGTATTGGTGCTTTGAAGGGTTTACCTCTTATTAATTCATTGTTGTGTTCCTGTTATCACATGACTATAGCAGAGATGAGCAATCAAACAAGGTCTGCCTGTCAACTGGCAATCATGATAGGCTCTCCAGGCATCATGCACATAACAAAGAAACCAGTCTACCAACTCACACTGCTGTCCGAGGCTTGGCTCGCGGTCCTCCTGCGACATAAAATAAACAAACAAACAAACGGATGAAACATTCAACACAGTGCATCACGTAGACATGGCTGTACACTTAAGCTGTGTTCACAACTGGCGCGTGTACGCGTGAAACCACGCGTTTGTGCGTATTTTTGCTGGCTTTTGGGGCGCCATGCGTACGGAAACGCGCCGAAATGGAACTTCCAACATGTTGGAATTTTCAGCGGTTATCAGGCGCGTATCAGCGTACATGCCAGTCACTTTGACTGGCGGGGTCAAAAAATTAGTACTTGAAGGTGTCGAACGCGCTAAATACGACTCGAATTGCTGTTTTTTGTGAAAGGCTGAGCGCGCGTTTGGGGGCGCTTGAACCGCAAGCGTACCGCGTCCACGCGCCAGTTGTGAACACAGCTTTAGGAATGACATTAAAAACATGAACTTGTGTATGACACCAGTGACTTATTACAATGAGCGTCCAGTGTGATTACGGGCAACACAAGATAGAATGCAATAAAACAGAAAGGTTCCAGGCTGTCCAGCAGAGTGCTAAATGCCGAAGGGCAGAGCTAGTTCCAACAAGAAAAAGCAGATGAAGATAGTGTCGTATACAACGCAATATTTATTATTTATCCTCTTCCTGTTGTTGCTGTAGAATGCAATATTCAGATACAGGGTATCATCCATGTGAAGCTCAAACAAGTTGACCGGATGACGACAAGTGACCGACAAGTTTGCAAACAATTTACGGTCCTCACCTTTCTGGAAACGTTGCCGACCAGTTGGTCATATTCCTTGTGCGCTAAGTTCGCCTTGATACGTTCCAAACGGGCCACGAGCTCCGGATTCTGCAGGCACAGCAATAAGCGATGAGAACGCAGCCATTGTACAAGCTCAGCAGCACATCGCACCCGCTACAAGTAGTGTCTGTATGCACCTGCTGCATAAATTTCATGAACTTCAAAGTAGAAGAGTGAGTGTTACATCTGAGTGACTACTTTACCAATACTTTGAAGTACATGCACATAATACGCTGTGCTCTATGCTAGACCCCATACATACCACTCGTGGGTCATGCTGGTCAACATTGCGTAGTTAGTTCACAGACATGTGGATCGAGATCACGGTGCAATCTGGGGAAATAGTTTAAAATATTGGTACAGATACGGCGATTCTTGGCGATTTCTTACCCGCTCTCGCTGGGGCAGCGGTGCCATCGATAGCTCCGAGCCTTTCATGAGGTTGTGCAGGGAAAGAGAGCCTGTGGAATGGGTACAGACGGATAGCAGAAGCACATATTTACATGGCGGGACACAGGCAGGCATGGTGAAGTGAAGATCACCACATTTAGAAATAAATGAGTTGTGGCGATAAAGTTGTTCTATGGGGCTGTGTGCACAGGTCGAATCACACCCAAGACAAGCCTGATGTTTCTGAAAATTGATGATTAGGCTGTGTTTACATGAGGCGTTTCAACCGGGGTCAAGTTTCAACCCGCCAGGAACACAGATTGACTGGCGCGTTTACATGACGCATTGCGCTTGACTCAGGTTGAAATTTTGCCCCGGGTTGATTTGGGGCGGGTTGAAATCAACCCGGGGCGAGAAATCGTACTAAGTCTAACGTACTTCTGTGCGTATCTCGCGCCAGGTTTGAATAAGCCTTTTGCGCGTTGTACAGATGTACGAAGTTCAGTACTAGGGCGTAGGTGTGTACAGAACCGATTGGGTGTTCATTGTGTGCTATGCATGCGCATTTGACCAATTTTAGCCTCATAATTAAAGGCAGACAATCCCTATTCCAGCTTCTTCACTTTGGTTAGTACTAATGACTACCTAGATCTTTGTCAGAAAAGGTTTTCGTTTGAAATGCCTTCAGGGCCCATTTCTTAGTGGAAATAGCAGAAAACACAATAGGGTCCTGCACATTCAACACCCATTAGGTTCTACGGTATTCTACGGGATTTCGTGCATCTGTACAACGCGCAAAAGGCTTATAGCACTGCACAAAAGTGCACATGCCAATTTCGCGCGAAATGATTCACGTGACTATACAGGACTCTAGAAGTGGACTTTTTGGCGGCATATCAGTATTTGACCCGGGTCAACTGTCTTCATGTGAACGCTCACCTATTTCGTCTATCGTACAGACTTTCAACCCGGGCTGAACTCGACCCGGGTTGAAAATTCTCATGTAAACACAGCCCAAGTCTACAGTACTGGCCAAAGAAATCCAACCTCATGAATAAAATAGCGCCGGGCGCTATGCAGCCCTAGCACTACACACATTGGTCTGTGCAATCATACGCGGCGCTGCATTATTCATGAGGTTGGATTTCTCTGGCCAGCACTGTACATCAGGTACATGCACCACTATTCCATGCACAAATATGTTTTTGTAAAAAACAAGCTGTCAGTCATGATACTCGTGCAAGGGGCTAGCTAGCAAGGGTGTGAAATGAGGAGCATCATGCCTTTGAAAATGTACCCAAGTGGAGGAATACACATGGTATTCGAACGAAATCTCAAACACATCATTAGGGCACAAACCTGGTTTTGCAGCATTGGCTGATTGGCAAAGTTGCCTGAGATGGGCAACTTCGATAACGTGTCCATCACCAAATTCGCTGCCTGCCTTGACGGAATCAGGTAGATCGCACGAATCTAATGCATCGGTCAAGACCTCGATCATATGCGGGGTCACAGATGCACGAAGACCTCCGAATTTGCCCATGATGTTGATCAAAATAGCTACTGTATACAATTCTGGAGCTAACTTGCTGTTTTCAGCTTCAGCTGCGAACTCTCGTCACGGTGTCTTCAACCTCTCCTTTGCGAGAATTTGGCGCAGGACGTGCGAGGTCGATCAGCACAATACAGTAACTTTGATTCTAGAATTTAACATTAGTAAATTAGTAACAAGCAATTCACATTCACCTTCGAGCTTCGAGCTTCTACAAAATAATTATTGTACATTTTGAATGACGGTGATGTCATGATTGCGTCATTCCGGTAATTCCACGTCCAGGAAATTTCGATATTTTTTACTGCGTCGCCAGCAATATCACCAATTTTGCTGTAAGTGTAACTCTTTGAAGTGGCGGGAAAGGCGAACGTGACGCCGTGGAGCTTGATCAGGCTTGGACCAAGGCTTGGTTCTGGTTGAAGCTCATGTACAGTCAACTTCGCTTATAACGACACTCAGCGGGGCATCAGAAAAGTGTCGTTATTCGCGAAGTGTCGTTATATCCGAAGTCTCATTGTATGTATATGTGTCACAGTTGGATGGGACTTTGCTCCGGGCATGAAAATTATGTCGTTATTCGCGAATTGTCGTTATATCCGCAGTCGTTATTAGCGAAGTTGACTGTATGACTTTCCCCGAAGTACTCTGGCGAAGTCCTTCCTTTGCATGCCCTCTTCTGGTCATGGACGCATTTCTTCGTGGTGGTGTAGCTGCTGCTAAACCCAAGCCGGTAGAACCAGCGGGAAAAGTAGAACGGCATGTCCCATGGGTGGAGAAATAGTACGTACAATGTTCCTTCTCAGCACAATTGTTTGACTTTTTATTCACAAGTAAGTTTTCGATTTCGTGCTGTTTCTCACTGCCAGTCGCCCACGAGCTGTAGATGACGTGGCGTATCAAGACGAAGCTGTTACTGTCCTGAGGAAATGCCTCACGGGAGGAGATGTGAGTATCCTGAAGCGTGCAGTTGTTTGAATTACATCATTACAGTCTTGCACATTCCTGACTGTACAATATGTACATGATATGTGAACTTTCCTTTCCTTAACCAGTCAGCATGTTTCTATGTTGGTGTGGACAGTTGCCAAACCTGCTTTTCTATGGACCACCTGGAACTGGAAAAACCTCTACCATTCTCGCTCTGGCTCGACAGCTATTTGGGTGAGTGTTTTGTGTTCAATAGAATATCCGCGGATGGCATGGACCCTCTTCTTCATCACCATGATCACTGTCTCAGTATTTGCCAGGTATTTAAATTTAAAATGACGTCAATGATGTCTCACATACTACACCAACAAGCGTACAATGCTGCGTACAATGCTGAAATTTGTGGTCCGATGAGTACTGTTTTGCTGTCACATGGGACATGAACAACCCACACATGCACACACACACACACACACACACACACACACACACACACACACACACACACACACACACACACACACACACACACACACACACACACACACACACACACACACACACACACACACACACACACACACACACACACACACACACACACACACACACACACACACACACAGCTCATTTATCACTGTGTGCCAGTGCAAAGTCTTTTTTTCTTTCCCCTGTGCTCGATGCCATTACATTGTTTTATTCTGTATTATTGTTTAGGAATGACATCTACAGAGACAGAGTGCTGGAGTTGAATGCCTCAGATGACAGAGGTATCCAGGTTAGGTCATGTCGTATGGCTGGTTGTGCTTTCTTCAAATCTGCTTAGTCGAGGTCCTCTTCTCTAAGGTTACGTTTGGTTGGTCACATTCCAGGGCCGGAGGTGGCTTCCGCCGAGCGTTGCGGCCGAAGGGCCATCTTTAAGGGGGGTGTGGGGGTCCTCTCCAGAATTTTTTTGGAATTTAGATGGCAAGTCCTGCACTCTGGGCGCATTTCGGTGCATCTTCTGGGTACAACTAATCGTTACTTGCAAGTCTGATATTCCAATGCAGAGGTCTAGCCAGGATTTTATGCCAGCCGGCCAACGTTCTAGTTAAAATGCATCGTTCTGGGGACTGCGCCCCCAGACCCCCGCCATCAGTCACGTATCCACACAGACACACACACACACACACACACACCACTACAAATCTTTCATTGCAGCTTGCATCTCCTTTCGCTTCGTCCAATTATGGGCATTCATCAGGCAGTTGTGACAATGTGATTATAGGTAAATTAACAAAATATGAAAAAGGAAGCAAACAGCTCCATGAGCATGGATCATGTGTTCACCAACGTCATGTCTGCATGCAGTGTACATTGGTCATCTGACAAGACCCAGCCTTGTAGCCACAGCCGTGTACACCACCAGAAGCAGCGAACCATGACCCAACCTGTTACATTTTACTGGCGTACTCAAGTGCATTTGAGCTTGAGTGAAGAGCTAGCACTGAGCCTGAGTAGCCAGTGCTATGTACAACATACCTACACCTAGGATATGGGTTGTACTCCACCATCTCACTCAAGTGCTAGTGCAGTGCACTACAGTCTACATGGGGGTGACTGCAGCCGGCCAAAATTACCCTTGGAGCTGTCTCAGCCCGGCAGGTCACCCTCCCAGCCGGCATTCTGCCGGCTGAGCCGGCTTTTGGCTAGATCACTGCAATGCAGAATACACTAGTTTCAACGTGAACACTATAGCCAGAATGTGCATTATCTATGATAGTTTTGTATGTAGTTTACTGGAAGAATGCTCCTTATTGTGGATAAAGAATGTTGGAAGAATCTTCACAAGGTATTTAAGATTTGACAGGAAAAAATAATATTTACCATCAAGTACAAGCACACAATTTTATGATTTATGAAGAAGAGTTTTACTAATTTGATGAATGTGAGATAATTTCATTCTAAAACCATGCATAAGTTTACTTTAGATGAATTGGCCAAAGGAGCGCAACCGCCCCTCTCGCCCACCAACGAACTCCTGGCCAACCAGCTTCAAATCCAAGCCGTCCACTCTCTCCTTGTGTACATGCAGCATCATGATGTTGTTGAGCCGCATTTGGGTCATCGAGCTCCGGAGGTAGGTCTTCACTCACCGCAGAGCAGAAAAGGAGCGCTCCGAGGTGGCGTTGGTGGCTGGCATCACCAGTAGCAGCCACACCTCTGAGAATGCAATGCGCTCTCCTGCTGTCATCTTCCTCAGCTTGGATGCAATATCAGCTACCCGAAGCTCACTTGCTGTGTCCTTAAACAAAGGGCGGAGCAGAGCGAGCTGGGTTTTCAAGGTGTCAGAGGAGAGGTCTGAGCCATAAAATGAGCAAACTGTGAAACATCGTTCATTTCCGCTGAGAAGTCTGCTCCTGAGGCTGCGTTAACAACGAGTTCCTGAAGACAGCGGAAGACTCTGTATCCTGGCTGATCAAAACCGTTGTCCAATGGCAGCGACCACGTGATCCAGTGCCTCGTAATAGAGCTGACGGTAACGTCCCTCGGCGGTGGTGTGGAAGTCACCAACAGTACTGCCGATCTGGTATCGCTGGGGAGCCTTTCGCTCCTCGGAACAGCTGGCTCTTCCACATCAAATTGTTCCTGTCTGGCCAGAACATCAGAATAGAACTCGGCAAACTTTTCTTGGCTTCTGAGTTCTTTCAAAATATTGACAGTTAGGCGTGCCAACCGCTGACCTTCAGCGGCAGACAGGGACTTCTGCTGAAGGCTCCGGCTAAGGTTGTCAGTGTGGCGGAGCAAGCAGCTGCCAATTGAAACTCCAAATAGGAATTCAAACTTGTGCATATGCGTGTCTACCCCAATTATCCGGGACTTCATTTCAGTGTCGAGCTTGCACTGGGTAGCCTCAGCCCAGACAGCAGTCAGGACCTGGTAATTGTCCAGTACACTTTTTAGCCATGCAGCACGCACAGTCCATCGAGTCGGACACAGGACTCTGAATCCGGGGCACTCTGGGGCGATGTCTGCCTTAAGCTTTTCAAAGAGCGCATCACGCTTGGGGGACTTCTTTAGCATCTTTGATATCTCTGCAACGACGTCCAGCGCATCCTGCATGATGGCAGACAGACGGATCATGTCCCCCACACCGAGGTTCAACGCATGCCCATAGCAGTGAGTGAAGAGTGCACGGGGCTCCACATCCGAAAGGACTTTGGCCAATCCACTCTTGCAGCCACTCATCACACTAGCACCGTCATAGCACTGACCACGGCAATGATGTAACTTCAGATTCATGCGGAGTAGGGTGTCCTTGATGATGAGGACCAACGCGTCGCCTGAGATACTGTCCGTCAGGTGGAGACCAATGAAGTCCTCGTGGCTCTCTAAATCATCATCCACCCAACGAAACACAAGCACGACCTACTCTTTGTTCGCGCAGTCTGTTGTCTCATCCACCATTACAGTGTAGAAGACAGCTTCCTGTATCCGAGCAGCGATTGAGCGGAGAATCTGCAACGCCATGATTGACAGCGCCTCATTCTGCACCTCATGGCTCGTGTACTTCAGCTGCTCCCTCTCGAGAAACGACGCCATTGGCGGGAAGTCCTCGCCTCGCAGCATCAGCAGCTGCAGTAGGTTGCTGTCTGCTTCGTCACCATCTCCCCAGAGCGTTAGTCCTTGTCGAGCAAGGAAGTGAATGGAGGTGAGCACTTTGAGGAAATAGGCTCGGTTCTTCTCCTTCTGCGTAACAGCAGCAACGTTCAGGAGAGCGCCAACATCATGGTGATCTGCTAGAGCGCTAACAGCCGCCTTGTGGAAGTCACAGCTTTCATGCTTCTTGAACGATCTCGTCGCATCTTTCCAATAGGCGAATCCCTTCACAACGTAGCTAGACTCCATGCGAGACGCTACCGAAACCTTCTTGTCTCGGATTGCTTTGCAGCAAACAAAGCAAAAAGGTGGCATCTCGCCCAAGATCGTAATGGATCCGAGCATGCGAATTGAACCATGTCGCTTGGAACGAGCGACTAATGGGCGAACTCACTCTGAACAATCGAGAGGGGAACGATATGTGAGTTGGCTGGAAAGGTTTATCTGGGACATCGAGAACGTCGCCTGGACTGACCCCAGACATCTCGACAAGAGCCACTAGAAAATGTAGTTACTAGTATTACAAATGTTTCTCGTGGCTATCATCAGGAAAGAATCACCACAAATGGCACAATGAATTTATTTTGGGTTTTTTCACCTGTAAACGTACACCTTGTTGCACGAGCAAGTACATGACCGTACCTAGTACCTGTTCACGATGTTGTTGCGAAGATCGAAATGCGATTCACGTAGATTGTGCACTGCACGCACTGTAGACGCGTACATGTAGTGTACTACTGTGTACTGTGTACTGTGTAGGCTGTAGCATGCACCTTGTCTACGAGTTCGAGTACTACTAGTACAGACAGAGCACACGCTACTGCCTGATGCAGTGCAGTGTGTACTCAGAAAAGAAAAGAAAAAGTGTGCACTGCACTGACACTGCGCTGACAGCTACAGGGTATAGGTGGTCCGTTTTGTACGACTCCCTGTACAAAATCATACATCGAAACTTTTTCTCCCCGGTTTTGGACGTTCCACGTGGACCGACTTTTTGGAAGTTGGTACGGCCATCGCCGTACCGGCCGTACCAGGAGGGAGTCGCCCAGAGTGCAGGATTTGCCGTCTAAATTCCCAAAAGAATTCTGGCGGGGGACCCCCAGACCCCCTTAAAGATGGCCCTTCGGCCGCTCCGCGGAAGCAGCCTCCGGCCCTGGTGTGTGTGTGTGTGTGTGTGTGTGTGTGTGTGTGTGTGTGTGTGTGTGTGTGTGTGTGTGTGTGTGTGTGTGAGTATACATACCTGTTGGCCATGGACTGCTTCTGGCTAGATTACCTCTTGTGTAATCACTGGTGCTAGTGAAGCTTATATCAGATCCACTCTGATTTAGCCACCCACACTAGTACCAAGTATTACCTTCACTGGGGGCGGGGGTGACTGCAGTTGGATCCCAGGACGGATACCCTGATGCCGTCAATCCTTTTTCTGCACCTTGTCCTCACCCACTTACTGAGGTGTGGTGAGCCCATAAGTGGGATCATTTTCAAGTCCACCCATAGTTTGGGGATTTCAGGGGGTGTCGGCCGTTGGGCGGTTCAATAGCCAGTTGAGTCCTCTTTCCAAGATTCCTTTTGAGTTCCTCTCTCCCCTCTCCCGGGGAGACCCACGTGACCAATTTTGGCAGTGAGCAACAAGTACAAGTACAGTGTGTGTGTGTGTGTGACTGTGTGACTGTGTGTGTGTTTGGCTGATGTTCTGAATGCTCACGTCCAGCATGATTGGAAAACCAACATTGTGCGTGCGTTGTTTAATTAATGGATTTTTTCATTTCGCAGGTGGTTCGAGACAAAGTCAAGCAGTTTGCCCAGCGGACAGCCAGCGCTACGCGACCTGAGTACGGACTTTAATGATTACTGGAGTAATAGTACTCGGTTCTCCCTAGTTCTGCTTACTGTAAGACCAGATATTTTAACGTCTATTAAAGTTAACGATCTCCGGATTTTTGTTGGTTAGCGAAGTGAAATGCTAACGAATTCTGTCCGTCAAAACTGGCAAATGACTGTACGTATCTAATATTGACGAGGTCAATATAGGAAATAAAAGCCGAGTAAAAGACCGAGGCGAAGCCGAGGTCTTTTACTCGGCTTTTATTTCCTATACTGACCAAGTACGAAGTCAATATTAGATTTATCACGACAAACAGTCCATATTTCAAATTCCAGAACGATAACCTCGTGAATCCCGGTTTTATGATTGCACAACCGTTGCACCACCACCTACTCATGCAGTGACAATGCTGCACTAGGCACCGTTCAACTGCGCAACCCCTAAGCAGTCAAATATAAGCAGTCAATATAGCCCTAAGGAGTGAAATATGCAGGAATATTTGACTGCTTAGGTATGGCAAAAATCTATGTGAGTCAATACTAAGGGAATGATAAATGTACATATCATTTTACACACTCAATCTGCGGACAGCATGCTGTTTCGTTCTTTTTGAACTCATCAGCGCAGCACAGAGAAAATGAGGCCGAACCTGATAGCAATGAAAATAAAAATTTCCAATCAGGCCCGAACGTACCTTGCCAGAGTGCTCAAACTGACAAGTCAGTGAGCTCTGCATAATGCAAACAGCAAAGGCACTACCCCACGCAAGAGTGCTCAACTGCTACAAGAGCAGGAGCGAAATACTCAATCTGCGGACAGCATGCTGTTTCGTTCTTTTTGAACTCATCAGCGCAGCACAGAGAAAATGAGGCCGAACCTGATAGCAATGAAAATAAAAATTTCCAATCAGGCCCGAACGTACCTTGCCAGAGTGCTCAAACTGACAAGTCAGTGAGCTCTGCATAACGCAAACAGCAAAGGCACTACCCCACGCAAGAGTGCTCAACTGCTACAAGAGCAGGAGCGAAATACTCAATCTGCGGACAGCATGCTGTTTCGTTCTTTTTGAACTCATCAGCGCAGCACAGAGAAAATGAGGCCGAACCTGATAGCAATGAAAATAAAAATTTCCAATCAGGCCCGAACGTACCTTGCCAGAGTGCTCAAACTGACAAGTCAGTGAGCTCTGCATAACGCAAACAGCAAAGGCACTACCCCACGCAAGAGTGCTCAACTGCTACAAGAGCAGGAGCGAAATACTCAATCTGCGGACAGCATGCTGTTTCGTTCTTTTTGAACTCATCAGCGCAGCACAGAGAAAATGAGGCCGAACCTGATAGCAATGAAAATAAAATATCATTTTACACATAACGACTTCAAATTTTAACGAATTTTGCACTTCGTTTTAAAACGTTGGAATTAAATTTTCGTTAATATTAGTGTCTTACAGTAGTTCATGCGCATGCCTTGACGTGTATGTGAAGTGTTGAGCGTGCCAATTATCCTTTTCATACCGGTCTTTGTTGTCTTCTTCGACTTTTGCAGCGGCAAGCCATGCCCACCGTACAAGATCTGCATTCTCGACGAGGCCGACAGCATGACACATGCTGCGCAGGTGAGCTCAGTTTTTGTTTCTCTCTCCCGATAGGCTTCTATCTCTATGGTGTTCAGATTAATATAAAAAAATTGTTCAAGTTTTGGTCGGACTGTTAGGGGCCATCCGGCATTATCGATAATTTTCACGAAACGAAAAAGTCTAGTTATGACCCTCCCCCACCCACCCACCCCCCTGAACGGAAAATATATTGTCTTGACAGTTAGAATGGATCGGTGTTTCAGCTATCAATATTTTTCATAACGAAACTCTCCTTGACCCACCCGCCCACCCATAAACAAAACTTTTTCGTTTTGTGTAAAAGATTGATAATTTTGGACGACCCCTTTTAAAATCGATGCTGGAAGCTCTTGTCTACGACTCCTGTAGGTTGTCTGAATGTGGTCATTTGTGTTTGATTACTGTACCACGTATCGTAATAGCACTTGCCTGTTGTGTTCTCACAGGCTGCGTTGCGGCGGACAATGGAAAAGGAATCCAAGTCGACTCGCTTCTGCTTAATATGTAACTACGTCAGTCGGTAAGTGCGTCTCCATCATGTCCGAGAGAGAGAGTGTGTCTGTGTGTGTCTGTGTGCATGCGATGATCTAATTCTTTCTCCACGTTTTGGTAATTATTGTTAACGTTGCCGATGTGTCTCATTCAGGATTATTGAGCCGCTGACGTCCCGTTGTACGAAATTTCGCTTTAAGCCCCTGACTGTGGGAATCCTGCAGACAAGGCTAAAGGACATCAGCATAAAGGAATCTGTGGATATCGGTGATGAGGTGGGTTCAGTATTAGGTGCATGTATGCGAGTGTAGTTCATCTATTTTTGGCAGGACTACACTGCCACTGAAGCAAAGAGCACTTGAGGGCTCACATGCCGGACAGGGAAAGATGGTGATACTTGGATTCAGACCACATACATGTAGACGTGCTGAAAATCTAAAAGCTCATGATACCTAATGGCTTGAAAGCCCTCCGAGGCACAACACATTCAGAGCCGGCCAACCCATACTTGACACAAGCCAAGCTCACTTCGAAGTGCTTTCGTTTCTTCCTGAACCCTTATCCAAGGTGTTTGTGTCCCGGAATGACGTGTTTACTTTTCTTGCTTTCACAGGTTTTGAATCTGTGTGACTAAACACAACATTGCGACCTTGGGTATATTGCATGAACTTTACGTGTATCACCCACGTTCCCGTATCCATTACGTGTAACTTAACCTTTTGCAGATATACTCCCAGTAAGCCATGAACGGAGACCCCCTCGACTTAGGCCTCGGCCTTTGGAGAATCCATAAATAAATTTAAAAAACCTCCCCAGTGTCCCTACATGTATCGCGGAGGACAACTTTGTATGCTGCACTTCAAACGAAGGTTCGCACGGTCGTTTGAAACAGAAGGATTCTTTTCTCATATAGAACATTCGTCCCAACACTAATACAGTGTGATTATACTTCAAGTAGAACTGTTGCATATCTAATACTATCACATGACCATATGGGACAGTCATGTTGGTTCCAGCAACAGTGAATCCCTACATCAACAGGTCATGTGATGTCGGCCATGTTGGTTCCACTGCCCACGCGCCATGATGGTCACTTTCTACAGAATTTCAGTCACATGACCAAGCTTGTGAAACCATTCCATACCTGAACTGGTGCTTACACCTTTGCTTGAAGTTGTCTTCACTTCAGCTTGTTTTCCGGCACTGCCACTCCACTAAGCTTACTAATAAATAGATGTGTGTTGCTTGCTATTGAAAGCTGGGATATAACAAGCTGAAGACACGTCTTTTGCTGGGCTTCTTGAGATTTTCACCTGTGCTTCCTCTTGTGCAGGGTCTGGATGCTCTCGTCTCGGTTTCTGGTGGAGATTTACGAAAGGTGAGCCGACCTGATCCCTCCCTCTCTTATGTGTCTATGCATGCACTGTAGACATCATAAGTGCATAAGTAATGTCTAGCATTGCCAGCACTGAAATATTTCATTCCATATTCTTGGGAATTGGGCATCTTGTTGTTTTGAAAAATCACTGACCAATTCGTAAGCAAACCAGCTATCTGTGTGCCTGTTGATTTTGGTAGCGGTCACAGTGCCACACTGCAGAGCCATGATCCTTCCTTGTGTGTGTGTGTGTGTGTGTGTGTGTGTGTGTGTGTGTGTGTGTGTGTGTGTGCGCGTGTGTGTGTGCGCGTGTGTGTGTGCGCATGTGTGTGTGCGTGTGTGTGTGTAACTGTGTATGTGTGTGTACATATTTGTAGGCGATCACATACCTGCAGAGTATTCACCGACTAAAGGGCATGGAACATATCACAGAACAGGATATCTCTGAAGTAGCGTCAGTAAGGGGTACCACTAGTATCGGAGTCTTCCTTTGCATGGGAATTTATCCTGGTTTCTTCTGACACAATGTTGCGCTTTTTTCTGTTTTATTTTCATGCTATGAGTAATGGTGATTGTAAGCGTCATGAGATCCACGTCCTGTCCTATTGGTCGCACACACAAAAGTGCATGATGTTTTAAAACTACGACAAAGAAGTGCTGTCTGTCAAACATTTCCTGATGCTATTTGGCGCTATGGTCTATCTTAACAAGATTCCTATGGCGCATTCTGCTTTAGGCTTCCATCGGTTGTAAAGCAAACTCAGCACATGTGTAGATTGGACCTTTGTGCTGGTTGAGAAACCAGTGTTGAGTACTCTGGCTAGGTCTCATTGACGATGCTTGATGTTTGGTTGGTACTCACTGCATCAGGTGGTTCCTGTGTCGGTGATGGAAGGTCTGTGGAGGGCGTGTCGTTCTGATTCTTACGACAACATTCAGGCAACAGTGAAGGTAAGTTTCACTTTGCTGAACTGTCTCCCTTCTCTCTCTCTCTCTCTCTCTCTCTCTCTCTCTCTCTCTCTCTCTCTCTCTCTCTCTCTCTCTCTCTCTCTCTCTCTCTCTCTCTCTCTCTCTCTCTCTCTCTCTCTCTCTCTCTCTCTCTCTCTCTCTTTCTCTTTCTCTTTCTCTGTCTGTCTGTCTGTCTGTCTGTCTGTCTGTCTCTCTTTCTCTGTCTCTCTCTCTCTCTCTGTCTCTCTCTCTGTCTCTCTCTCTCTGTCTGTCTCTCTCTCTCTCTCTCTCTCTCTCTCTCTCTCTCTCTCTCTCTCTCTCTCTCTCTCTCTCTCTCTCTCACACACACACACACACACACACACACACACACACACTACCTCCGCTGATGAGTTCTGCCGGCGGTGAGAAAACCGCTCCTCAACAAGAGTTGGAGATTGTGTCTGGTGTCGTCAGGAAAACAAGTTCTTTCTTTGTGACTCTGTCTCCGAGGTGACACGAAACAGCATCCTAGTTCCCGCTGTGTCTTATTTTCTTGTCCCTAGTGTGATTTTTAGCACCTACATGTACCTCCATCGTGCTGTGTTTCATGCTTCCAGACTTATTATTGAAGTGCCGCTTCCCCTTAGGACACTTTTAGCAATCAATCATAGCGCTAGATTTGACCCTCAATTTGTGTGTGAGAACTGCTGCTGCGTAGCTCATAGTTTTATTAGCGAACCAGGTGTATGTACGCCCAGCGTTTGCTAAACTGCTTCCAATCACCTTCACCTTCTCACCGCTCTTCCCTTTATATGCGTGTCACCGGTGTAGACCCACCAGTTGCCCTATCATTGTGTATGAACGTGAAACTCGCTTGGAGTTGCAGTACATTTTCTACTCTCTGCTTGCTGTGTGACGAAGCTCTGCCTCCGTACACAGAGCTATCTGCTCGCTTACAGTCCTTGGAAAAGTATAACTTTACGTGGCCGAAGGCAACTACTGGCTTCCCCTGGCTCATCAAACGCCCTTCATTGTGTGTTTCTAGACGATGCTTGCAGATGCCTATCCAGCATCGCAGATCTTAATGCAAGTTCACGAGGGATTGATCGAGTCCAACGAGCTGAACGATCGTCAGAAATCTGCTGTTGCAGAGCAATTAGCGGTAAGACTTGGTGTAACTGTTATCCATTTACATGACTGTATTTTCAAAGTGTGCCTCTGTTTTGGTTGTCATCGCAAGAGAATATCTGGATGGCCAATAGAAATGGTTGACCAGATGTGAGTTCCATTGTTCTCCAAGAGTTATCTGTAAATCTGCTTCAAGTGACCTTGCATTGGTTCGCGTTGTGATGGAGCCGGTCAAATGAGGTCTGACTGTACTAGTGACATCTGAGTAGCTTGTGGGCTACATTTAGTGAATTTGTATGCCAACAATACGGTCAGATTTTGTTCATGCGTGTGACGTATGCCCGCATGCTATGCATTGAAAACTCGAGGCATCAGCTATGAAAACGATCCAGTCCTAGAAGATCACGGTGACCTATTTTGACATGGCACACCTTCTCTTTGTTGAAGTCTTTTTCAGTGATTTCTCGATGTACAGAAAGGGTTCGCTCCCCACACCGGAACTCGCGCTATTCCGCCGACTTGACTTGACACTTGACTGACTCACGACTGCCATCCAGAGAACACGAGAAGTCCATCGAGCCTTCGACTCGGCAAAAAAGTCGAAGGTTCGATGGACTTCTCCTGTTCTCTGGATGGCAGTCGTGAGTCAGTCAAGTGTCAAGTCAAGTCGGTGGAATAGCGCGAGCTCCGGTGTGGGGAGCGAACCTTTTCTGACAAGTGACAAATCATCGCCGAAGTCGCAATCACTACAGGTGGAATCCTGATAATTCGAACCTCGAAATGCCAGGAAAAAACTTCTAATTAGCCGGACATTCTAATTATCCAAACATGAACCCACAACACAATATGTATATCAAAATGCTCTCATGGTCACGCAGAGTTGCGCTCACACAGATTTCACGGATACTGAACTGACCGGTACAGCCTGCTCATGCAAACTGAACTGACCAGTACAGTGTACAGTGAACTTCGAATTACACTTTGCTAACTTCGAATTATCAGCACAAATCCCACACATTTTCTATGTAAGTGGAATCCGTGGAACTTCGAATTAATCGGACATGTCTGGTTCGAGGTTCGAATTATCAGAAAAATTTATGTGGGAATCGTATTGACAGAAATCGGTCCTGGAAAAACTTCTAATTAAGCGGTATGTTCGAATTAAGCCATATTCGAATTATCAGGATTCCACCTGTATTTCGTTCTCGATGTACACCAGAAAAAACATCAACTCAATACAGTCCGTAAATTTAGTTGTTTCCTTTTCACATGTCCCATTGCATGATCCGTGCAATTCATCCTGTTAACCCCTTTAGAGCCGTTTGGAAATTGCAAAATCTGCATATTTTCATTTTCTTTGGATCGTAACTTCATCTCTACTCAGTCAATCTGCACAGTCCCGTGCTTCCTGGAAAGGCCTCCGCGAGAGGAAGAGGCTGAGGTCTGACATGATTATCAGGGCACCGTACGAGTATCTCCAGCTCTAGAGATCAACGCAAATTTAATAGCAAAAAAATCCTCCAGATATTCACTAAAAGTAAAGGTCGCACGTCCGCGTTGCCACCGGCTTACAATTGTGTTGAGAAACACAGCCAGCTTGGAGAAGTTTCGCTCGTACCAGGTCATCACCATGCCCGACTATACCAGGGTGGCAGATGTAGTGCCATAAACGGCGAGAGTGAGGTGGTAAGTAGGCCCAGCTAGATTCTGCTCCGCTCGCCTCAATATGTTGCTGCGAAATGTTGCTGCGAAATCTTCGATGTGTTGCCGAGCCTGGCACTAGAAACCCGATATTTTGCTCCGGAAAACATGTATTTTGTCCACTTCTCGTACAACGTTTCATAAAATCCGCACGGTCGGTTTCTCAACACCGGTTTTCACAGACTTGTCCCTGGAATCTGCAAAATCATGTTGATCCACAGTGAATCGCAGTGATATTTCGGTGACATGATTTCGTCCTTGGCAGTGTATCATGCTGAACTGGTAAGAAACAAGGAAGTAGCAGGCATCGATTTTACCCACATTCTTGATATTTTGCTCCGATTTTGCCGGCAATTTCCGCTTTTTAAATTCTTCGATATTTTTGCCGAAAGAATTGCCGGCAGGATCTTTCTGGGCCTAGTGGTAAGTCTCACGGCCATTGCCCGATAAGGGGCGAACCTCGTTAGCTGTATCTATGTTACCCTCACTCCGAGTAGTGAGTACCCAGTTGACCGTGGGTGTCGGCGCAGTTCACTGCATGCACAGTTCACTGCATGCACAGTGATTCATGCATGCATCATTGCATTTTGTTACCACTGCACACACTCCCTGCTCCCAGCGCTGCTTGGGTCTTGAACTCGGGACGTTGACTTTTGATTCGCAGGCAAGCCACTCGGCCACAGCGCTGGTGGCTCACTAGTTGCTCCAAACGTGTGCAATTTCCCATTTATGTAATAATGAGGTTAAACATTCAACCAGGTTTGCACCAACATTTACCATTCAAGGAAGATTGTGAAGGCTGTTTGGACGCTGCATGTACTCTGACACATGCCGTGAACTCTCCAAACCCTTTGCAATGCGATTTGACAGTACAAGCACCTGCCGTGAACTCTCCAAACGCTTTGCAATGCGATTTGACAGTACAAGCACCTGCCGTGAACTCTCCAAACCCTTTGCAATGCGATTTGACAGTACAAGCACCTGCCGTGAACTCTCCAAACCCTTTGCAATGCGATTTGACAGTACAAGCACCTGCCGTGAACTCTCCAAACCTTTTGCAATGCGATTTGACAGTACAAGCACCTGCCGTGAACTCTCCAAACCCTTTGCAATGCGATTTGACAGTACAAGCACCTGCCGTGAACTCTCCAAACCCTTTGCAATGCGATTTGACAGTACAAGCACCTGCCGTGAACTCTCCAAACCCTTTGCAATGCGATTTGACAGTACAAGCACCTGCCGTGAACTCTCCAAACCCTTTGCAATGCGATTTGACAGTACAAGCACCTGCCGTGAACTCTCCAAACCCTTTGCAATGCGATTTGACAGTACAAGCACCTGCCGTGAACTCTCCCAACCCTTTGCAATGCGATTTGACAGTACAAGCACCTGCCGTGAACTCTCCAAACCTTTTGCAATGCGATTTGACAGTACAAGCACCTGCCGTGAACTCTCCAAACCCTTTGCAATGCGATTTGACAGTACAAGCACCTGCCGTGAACTCTCCAAACCCTTTGCAATGCGATTTGACAGTACAAGCACCTGCCGTGAACTCTCCAAACCCTTTGCAATGCGATTTGACAGTACAAGCACCTGCCGTGAACTCTCCAAACCCTTTGCAATGCGATTTGACAGTACAAGCACCTGCTGCTGCTGCTGCTTGTACACCAACACGGGTTATGTACTCTCTGTACTCTTGCCCTTACTGACACAGGGTGTGCGCATGTCTTATGTTCTGCACTACTTGTATGCACACAGCTCACGGACAAGCGACTTGCCGACGGCGCAGACGAATACTTGCAGCTGATGGACCTGTCCTGTGTCATCATGAATCAGATTTGCCGGCAATCCACCGGTGCAGCTTAGACTCTCAACCGTGTGTAACCACAATCGCTTGCGACCATTTTTAGACCAGAACTCGGCACCTCAACTCAATTCCATTCTCCCTGTACAAAGACAGAGTTTTTTTTTTAAATTAATCAGTGCCCGTGTGTTTATTTCATATTAATCTGTGAATTCAATGATATCAGACTTGCTGAACCAAGAAATGAAATACCTGAATCAACGCCAGAAAAATGGGTCGGACACAACAGAAATGGAACAGATCGGGGGTTGCAAGCAGGGTAGAAGACGAAGACAAGATACATGTCTACAAATAAAGTGATGTTGAAATAATGAATGATGGTAGTGATGACGATTCCTTCTTGTTGACAACTATTCAGACGTAGAACGAAACAACTTGTGTACGAAAGCGGCAAGAAGTCAATGCATGAAGCAAGCTAATGCTGCAACCTAGTGTGAGTGAAAACCCTTGTATCGGACACGGGTCGCCGTGAGAAGAACGGTTGAAATCCATGTCGTCATTGGTGTTCAGCTCCCAAACGGAGAGCCAAAGCGAGTTGCACATACACACTGCGCATTGGAGAAGTGGCAGGTTTTACCCCCGCTGTGCTGCAGTGACCAGATGAGATGAGAAAAGATCTGGACAGCAACACAAACATCACATGAAAGACAACAAGGGGTTAGAATGCCACCCATCAAGGCCAGCTACAAGAAAAGGCAATGACATATTGTGCAATGAAACTGAGAAGCGTATACAATATGTTGAACAAGACAGGAGCTGTGAAACTTCACACCGACTATACTCTGCAATACACGTGTACAATATTTTGAACAAAATGGGTTTGTGTGTTGGGGGGTGTGCCTAACTTACTCTCACATCTTAGTCACTGCTTAGACACAGCAGGGCTTAACCTCAGCAACCTCCAGATTTCAATTCCTTGCCCGAGCGCTTCGTAGTAGCCATGGTGGTTGGGTTCTGTTGGAGAAAAGAGAAGAAAAGCATGATTAAAAATTAAAAATTAATAATACGCGTCACGTTCTCTCTTGCGGCTTCGGCAAGAATGGTGTATCAGATCGTTGCCGAAGTCAGACGAGCAGAGTTGTGCGTGCTTCACAGACACACACACACCACTGGGGTAGGTTCAACAAGCGCAACCTCACACCTAGCGTGAAGTCAACCGGTGGACAGAACACGGGGTGCAAGCAGAAGTGGGGACAAAGAGGGCAATGCTCTCATCTACAGACATACACATAGTTTTGCTTGCAGTCTCGCTCACCTCGGCACATGTCGGGTGAATTCCAATGGCAGCATCGAGCTGCTCCTTGGTCAAGCCACACTTCATGGCTACACCATAACCTTGAGTGATCTCACCAGCGTTCGGGGCCAGGATGTGGAAGCCAATGACCCTCTCCTGCTAGCCAAAGCATACGACACACCGAAGATGGACAATGATTTACTGTGCACAAGCCACATTACGACCGTGCCAACCCGGATGTGCTGTGACAATAGCCGTCTAGGATGGTCTACTACATGTACATGCACTCACAACCATGCCATGTGTTTATCTATCAACCATGCCATGTGTTTATCTATCAACCATGCCATGTGTTTGTCTATCAACCATGCCATGTGTTTATCTATCAACCATGCCATGTGTTTGTCTATCAACCATGCCATGTGTTTATCTATCAACCATGCCATGTGTTTATCTATCAACCATGCCATGTGTTTGTCTATCAACCATGCCATGTGTTTGTCTATCAACCATGCCATGTGTTTGTCTATCAACCATGCCATGTGTTTATCTATCAACCATGCCATGTGTTTATCTATCAACCATGCCATGTGTTTATCTATCAACCATGCCATGTGTTTATCTATCAACCATGCCATGTGTTTATCTATCAACCATGCCATGTGTTTATCTATCAACCATGCCATGTGTTTGTCTATCAACCATGCCATGTGTTTATCTATCAACCATGCCATGTGTTTATCTATCAACCATGCCATGTGTTTGTCTATCAACCATGCCATGTGTTTATCTATCAACCATGCCATGTGTTTGTCTATCAACCATGCCATGTGTTTATCTATCAACCATGCCATGTGTTTATCTATCAACCATGCCATGTGTTTGTCTATCAACCATGCCATGTGTTTATCTATCAACCATGCCATGTGTTTATCTATCAACCATGCCATGTGTTTGTCTATCAACCATGCCATGTGTTTGTCTATCAACCATGCCATGTGTTTGTCTATCAACCATGCCATGTGTTTATCTATCAACCATGCCATGTGTTTATTTATCAACCATGCCATGTGTTTATCTATCAACCATGCCATGTGTTTATCTATCAACCATGCCATGTGTTTGTCTATCAACCATGCCATGTGTTTGTCTATCAACCATGCCATGTGTTTATATATCAACCATGCCATGTGTTTATCTATCAACCATGCCATGTGTTTGTCTATCAACCATGCCATGTGTTTATCTATCAACCATGCCATGTGTTTGTCTATCAACCATGCCATGTGTTTATCTATCAACCATGCCATGTGTTTATCTATCAACCATGCCATGTGTTTGTCTATCAACCATGCCATGTGTTTATCTATCAACCATGCCATGTGTTTGTCTATCAACCATGCCATGTGTTTATCTATCAACCATGCCATGTGTTTATCTATCAACCATGCCATGTGTTTGTCTATCAACCATGCCATGTGTTTATCTATCAACCATGCCATGTGTTTGTCTATCAACCATGCCATGTGTTTATCTATCAACCATGCCATGTGTTTATCTATCAACCATGCCATGTGTTTATCTATCAACCATGCCATGTGTTTGTCTATCAACCATGCCATGTGTTTATCTATCAACCATGCCATGTGTTTATCTATCAACCATGCCATGTGTTTATCTATCAACCATGCCATGTGTTTGTCTATCAACCGAGCCGAGTAACCATTTTTACACCAGACCGGTAGAGAAGCAGCCACCATTGGCAGGAGTGCTCACACAATCATATCCATAGTGCAGGTTATACTGTACAAAATAGAAGAGTTCTGTTTTGTATAGTAACTTGCACTATTTTAACTCGGATACTGAGCCAATAATAAAATTTAATGTAAAAAAGAGAAGAAAACACAGGAGAACGAGTTATGCAGCAGGTCGCTGAATGTCTCAGTAGCCTGACAGTTGTGTGCCCTATTATCGCACGTTCCGACTCTTTATCCTATTTGTTACAGTCGTGGATAGTTGCTGCATAACTCGTTCTCCTGTGTTTTCTTCTCTTTTAAACTTGCACTATGTGTATGAGTGTGGTTCTGAGAACCACCCTGCAAAAAAGATAGATCAGCAAGAGCAGAGGCATAGACAGCTGAACAGACTCTGTGTGGAAGCGGCGGAAGCACTGACCTCTGGTTTGAGTGTGATGACCTTGACAAAGCCAAACTCCTCGCTGCGTGGAATTACTAGCTCCAATGGGAGAACATGATCATGATAGACCTGTGCATGAACACAGAAAACATACCATTTAACGGTTCAATTGCATACGTAAAGTAGCCGGCATAATTCTAGTAACACGCGGTGCAGACGCAGGCTAATGATGTTCTCAACTTCAACATTCCATCGCCTTCATTCAAAGATGAAAACTGGTTCCAGTGACCACCCAAGGGACTAGCCTATCGGCCCAGTATCGGGGTCTTTGAACGCAGGTGGTCCGTGAAATCTACATGGTCGCACATTCTACAAATTACATGTAGGTGGCGAAGAATAGTGGTTGAACAAACCAGGTGATTGCTGAAAGCAAGATTCATATGTACACAATAATACAGCACAATCTACTTAACAGGTTGGAATACTTTATCAGGGTTGAAGCCATCCAAGAAGGCCACGCATCGCCTGTACATGTACTAAAATAGATTGAAAGCAAAGAGACACGTACCTCAACGTTGTCTTCTCCATGGCGAGCAATGGCGTCTTCCTCAGACAGTCCACAGCAGCCATACTCCAGTGGGGTAAAGACAGTTGTGGCAACATTCTCATAATCGCACTGGAAGTGGCAACAGGAAACAATAGTACAAGGAGTAGTCCTTCAATCAAAGAACAGTAAAGTATGTGCACTTCAAAGCAGAGTTTTAATTTCCGGAATAGGCCTCTGTTGCAACCGGGAAGGTGCTTGGATAGGGTCGACAAGCTCAATAGGGTCAGTGTGAAGTGTTTACAGACATTCTAAAATGTATTCACTGGCATGTTTGAACCATGACTGTTCGTAATCCATATCCACAAGCTGAAACATCGTAGAGAAGTCTGCAGTACTCACGGCAAGAGTGGATTCGCCATAGAGACGGCGGGCCAGCAGCCTGCCAGCCTGGATAGCGGTCGGGGTCAGCTCCGGCTTGCCACTCAGAGCATCACCAATGCCGTAAATGCTCCACACGTTGGTCTTCTCATTGTCGCTGAGGATGAAACCTCTGCACACGCGCACACACACACACACACACAGAACACACACATAGTTCAATAAACATTGGTGTAAAACTGAAAACTATTCGAACCTCACAGGGAGCACAATACTGGCTGGCAACCACACCATTGGGATACGAACACAAACGACCCACTAATCATTATACAGTGGATATCGGTTATAAAGTCATCGGACATAGTGATAAACCGGCTATATTGATACAAAATGAAAATATCAAAAGCAAAACCAGAAAAAGCCAGTCAAATTATCATTATAACCAATATATCGTATATAGCGATAAATCGGCTATAAGGATACAGAATCACCATTCAAAACACCTCTTTGCGCAGAAAAATTATCGTCTGTAGTGATAGCAACACACAAGTGTGAGGCATTGATGTCTCGACTTGGAGCCACATGTGTGTTGTCATAGGGTATTCTGGTCTGGTGCTTCCTGGATGATGCCTTTGGGCCAAGAAGTTCTTCACTCTATACTGGAGAAGGTGCAGTAGCATCCATCACGTATCAGTACGCTACATTAGCACAATCGAGTACCCACACGTGTATAATGTGTATGTGTGACGCGCGCAGTTGAAAATCGCCTGTAGTGATATACCGGTTATAGTGATAAAATGTGAAAAATCAGAAGGGCACGTTATAACCAATATCTACTGCACTGAAGAAAATGGCCACCAATCTGTTCAATCGAGGCTTTTATCAGGTGATTTTCCGGCTTTTTATGCGATTAGGAGTTAAAGAATAGAGAGGTTAAGTTTCACGTAAAATTCTTACGTCCGTGAACTTTTACGCCAAAAATTTAAAAAAATCACGTAAAATTTCACGTGTTTTACGTGAGTTGACTGTCCCGCACGTAAGTTCGTGACGTGGGTTTTTGGAAGTTTCGCTTGGTTATCCCGATCGAATTTGTGTGAGTTTCCGTAGGTTTATCGAGTTTGTTGGAAGATTTGATATTTGTGCGAACTAAACCCGAATCCTGCCGTGCAAAATTTCACGTCGCACGTGTAACTTAACCTCTAAAAATTACACGTAACGTGAGATTTGCACCGCATTTTGAAAAAAAGGGAAAAACGTGTAACTTAACCTCTCTAATACTTGAATATTCATTCGCAGAAAATCAGAGCACTCCAACTCGGGATCTGATAGCAAACTTTCAACCCTACTACCACCACCGCCACCACCAAATCAGTCGCTAACTCACTTGTCGTCCAGCTTCACCCCGACGGTGTCCAAGCCGATGCCGGATGTGCACGGGTCACGTCCAGTGGCAACAAGAACGGTGTCGAAAACATCGGAGTGTGCCTGACCTGCATTGGAACCACTGCCGGTGGCGTTCACTCGGATCCTCTTGGTATCACCCTCCAGCTCATTGGTGAACTCCTGCGGCACAAAGCCCCTCAGGAACTTGATGTTGTGGTAGGTCTCCATGTTCTCTCCAATTTTCGTTGCCATCTCCTGCACGGAAGAGCGACACACACACACACACACACACACACACACACACACACACACACACACACTGTACTTGTTGCTCACTGCCAAAACTGGTCACGTGAGTCCCCCCGGGAGAGGGGAGAGAGACTCAAAAGGAATCTTGGAAAGATGACTCAACTGGTTATTGAACCGCCCAACGGCCGACACCCCCTGAAATCCCCAAAACTCTGGGTGGACTTGAAAATGATCCCACTTATGCACACACACACACACACACACAGGGTGGTCAGTTCTCATATCTGTGACTATATTGAATTGCAACGAAAACCCTGAAACGTTTTAGTCTGCGTCACTAAAATCTGCCATGACAATCACTGAGTAAAGCCCGTGGGATACAAAGCAGTAAAGGGAGATAGTGCTTGCATGCAGAATGTACTCGCTCCGACTAGTGACTGTCTACTTAGCACAAAAAAACCTGACTTTTCTTCTTCTTGCGTTCATTCTATACGCGCTCGCCCAAGTTACTTCAGGGGTTGAGCAGTCAGAGCAGTCGCAGAGATGCTTCGAACAGAAGTTTTTCACGGGCGTGCATATATGTTTTCGCGGGCGTGTGCGCAAACACAGGACACCTGATTGCTCCGCTGATACCATGCGGTGTAAAGCACACACTTCGCACCAAGCTTTGTCAGAAGCGGCTGCAGGGGCTGCAGTCAATGTGCATCCAAATGATACTGGACCAAATCGTCAACGGAGTGTACTGTACTAGCGTAGCTGTTGGACTCAAAGACTAACACACTGGATACGAGTTGGCAGCTAAGATCGACTGGACTACAGGAATGCTCACCAGCAAATCCACAAGGAAAAGGCCAGTATAGACCATATACGGAATATTCGCATAATACCATACCGTAAAAGCCCCTGTATACGCCCACCCTCTGTGTACACGCCCAGTCAGGGGAAGTCAACACTTTTGTTTCAAAATAGCGCCCATGCCCATGTATACGCCCAGGTTTGCCGGCAACAGCAGTACATGTACAGGTACTGATACCCAATACTTACTGCTATCTCTATTCCCGCCCACCCTCTGTGTACACGCCCAGTCAGGGGAAGTCAACACTTTTGTTTCAAAATAGCGCCCATGCCCATGTATGCCGGCAACAGCAGTACATGTACAGGTACTGATACCCAATACTTACTGCTATCTCTATTCCAAGTATACGCCCGGTTCCAAAATAACGCCCAGGAAATCGAGGCTGCTATTCTATACGCCCGGGGCATATACACGGGCTTTTACGGTATTTGAATTAGAGGGAGTCTACCCGTACCGTAAAACCCCTCGCCAGAGCGCCCCGTCTCTCCCATACGCCCCCCCCCCCCCTGACTTCTTGTCTGGGAAGTGATAATGATTGTATCGTTGTATGACTCTGTGAAAGGTGATGCCGTACTGCACTGCAGACGCGTGCTCGAAAGGTTGGAAATGTACGCAACAGTTCACACCCTCTTGATCAGGGATCGCAAAAACAGGGGGGCTTTCACGGGTTTGTACGACTCCCTGCTCTTGACCTTCGGTCGGTGTACGAGACACATGCACTGTTTTCATAGGGTGAGTACTTGTTCATACAGCACTGAATGCGGCAAGTAGGACTTGCCCATCGACCCCTTCCCACCTGGACGTACTAGAAGGGTCGCGGAGGTAGGGGCGCCCTGGCGGGATTTCACGCATGTCCATGGAACACTGGTGTTCACACATACCTGATCAAATCCACGCAGGAGAATGGAGCGCACCATCACAGTGACATCATATCCCATGCCGGCCAGGAAGCCAGCACACTCCAGAGCCACATAGGAAGCACCGATGACGAGCGTCTTGCCCGGGGCCGTTCTCCGCAGGAAAAGATCGTCGCTGGTAATGCACAGGTCCTTGCCGGGGACGTCGGGAACACGTGGCCGACCGCCAGTGGCGATGCAGATACGAAGACCGCTGATGATGTTCTCCTCACCTCTCTTGTTGACACACTGACACAGCAGATACAACGCCAAGACATCACACAGTAAGATTTACGCTTCACTGGCAGGCAGAACTGCGACAGGACGAACGAAATATACCAACGCGCAGAGAGAGAGAGAAACACTCGCACACATCTTTGCACATCACATCACACTCACCTTCACACGATGACGGTCGAGCAAACTGCCGTACGCATTGATGTACTTGACGTTTTCCTCGCGCATTGTTGTTCTATATCCAAAGTTCAGGGAGCCGATATAGTCCCGGATGGACTGGATGCAGGTCTCCCAAGCAAATGAAGCTGTAAAATAGCACAAAGGACAGGACCACCATCTACTGGGATGCATGTACGATGACAAAGGAACACATCGGATTACAGAGAAAAAGCGGAAAAGAGAAAATCTATAGCCCCTAGTTCTATGTAGATTCAAGATATGTTGCAGTTAGATCTGATATGCTGCTATGGCCTTACGCTCAACGGTGTAGCCAAACTTCTCAGAATCCTTCATTGCCTGACCTGCATAAGCAAATGCACACAAGAAAGCACACAAGAAAGCACACATCGATGCAAACACAGACATTTTAGAAGTGATTCACGTTCGACAAGGAAATAAAATTCGACGGGTTCGCGCACCGGGCAGGTCAAGAACAAGGAGTCGTACAACTTCCTGGTCAAGAACCACCTTTCCGCTTCCGTGGGACGCCACCACCCCATGATCAGGCGGATCTGATGAGGCCTTTCAAAATAGGGAATTGCATAGACAAGTAAAACCGAGGAGAGAATGCAGTGCCAGGAACCAACAGAGGAGAACAGGGCACTGTACAGGTAACCAGTGCGTACCGATCAGAGCAGCCTGGTGCATGAGCTTCTTGGGAATGCAGCCGACGTTGACACAGGTGCCGCCGAGGCCCCAGGTGCTGCCGTGCACCGTGGGCTTGACGAAGTCCAGCATGGCGACCCGCTTCTCAAACTTTGCAGCCTCCTGCACAAGAACATAGCATGGATAGAAGGCACTCAATGGTTACCGATGGGAAAATACTGCAACATAAATGAAACTGTGCAAACATGGGGCTTGAAGTGTCACCGAGAGACCTAAATGTCAACAGTTGAGTGGACTCAAGCATTGGAGGCGACAACGCCAATCACTGCCACGGTAAACGGAAACCAAGCATATATGTGGAGGCCTTCCTGCGTGACCTATAAGTATAACTATGGATGAGCGAGCTGCCATGCGAGGTGTTGGGAAGACTACCATTAGTATTAAGAATGCATAGGCGGACAGGTGCTAAGCAGAGAAGAAAGCAAACCGACGCCAAGCCGAGACGTAAGGCAAACAGCCCAGGCCCCAGCCTGCTGCAGCTGCCCTACAAACTTGGTGGGGTCGGCAGGGCTTTTTTCTATGAACTAAATGGACAACTACGGCCTTTACCGGAAAAAAATTCTGGAACCCTACATTTTCTTGAAAATACCGCCATTCCGGCAACAGGCTCTCAGCTGCACCAAATAGATAAATAAATAACTTTGCCAATATATCGGAATAATTAAGAAACCCTACATTCACATGATAAAAGAGGAAAACAGGGTGGTCACAATTTTCTCAAGCAGGAACAACGACTCACACTACTGCGTGTGCTTAAGTCATACTACAATTGTACATGTACCAACACTATCACCATAGTTCTCCCCATCCGTTGAGTAACACCAAGATCCTCACTACACAACTCAGAGAGCTGTGCTGTCAACGCCATGCCAATAACAAGGTATGGCACAGTCAGAAGTACGGTATGGTGCACTCAGCCTTCGAAAAGGCTGAGTGCATTCAGCACAAGCCATTAGACGCTTCAAAATGGCTGCCGGCTGACTGTGGCCGAGAATTCAAAAATCAGCTTTTCCCGCGGAAAGACAAATGCATTCTTTGACTGAATGGCTGAACTGTTTTAGTGTGATCGTGGCCGTACACTGCGATGCTAAGTGTTGTTTCAGTTGATGATAGGTGGTGAACGTGTTTTTCAACATGCATTCTGCGACAGTGCAGGAACATTGACCGTCACTTCTACCTACCCGGGCGAGGGCGATTCCACCGGAGCCTCCACCAATGACAATCAGATCGTAGTCATAGTCCTTGGAGTCCATAGAATCACCAGTGGTGGGCTCTGTGTTGGTAGCCATGCTTGCCGACAGCAGCAGCAGCGGCAACCTGAAATGCACCAGAGAACGTACACATAGCAACAAGCAGCAGCACAACAAACAGAACTTGGTATGATAGCACACTCAGCTTAGTATTTACTATTTAATACTATATTAAATGTATTTATAGAAGACAAAAAGGACCAAGGAACTACAAGTTACGCTATAATGTCCACTAACACCACCAGTTACTAAACAATCAGATTATACGATAACAATGCATGACACTGACCGGCGGTACTGATGTTCTACAACTAACTGGCATATATCAAAAAAGTGTTCTTTCTAGACCAAAGAATGGTATTATATGATAAATAAATATAGAAATATTTACGATTCTTCTCCAGACGTTTCGTTGTTCTGAACAACATCGTCAGTGGATAAAGAATAAATAAAGATAGAAATATTTACGATACTAAGAATTCTTTATCCACTGACGATGTTGTTCAGAACAACGAAACGTCTGGAGAAGAATCGTAAATATTTCTATATTTATTTATCATATAATACCATTCTTTGGTCTAGAAAGAATACTTTTTGATATTACAATGAGAGTGGAAAATCAATGGCTTGTCCACCAACTCTTTATCTGGCATTTATTGATAAAGTAATTCCACCTCCACCAAACGTGCTCCCTGGCCGACCTCACACACCAGCAACGGGTGGAATTACGTTATTGATAAACAGGCCGAAAGCTGCTGCTCACCCTAAACAATGTATTGATTTGAACAAATTTATTTTCGGTTATTATATGCTCCATTTTCAGTACCCCTGGGCCATTTCCTCTAGTGCCAAACTGACGGTACGCTTTCGGTACTTGTTTGGACTGGTAATCAAACCGAGTGGATATCAAATTTTACTAGGGGTGGTAGAGTTGGAACTACAGTACATGTACCATGTTTTACTATGGCAGCATGTCACAAGGCGGCGAACACACTGTACCACTAGTGCAGGAATAAAAGTTTGTGCCAGAAAGTGTTTTAAAAAAAACGTGAACCTGCCTTTGATCCGGCTCATATGATTGTGGCTATCGCCGTATCGGGGTAAAGCGTCTCAGTATAATGATCTAGCTACCTATATAGTACAAGCCATTTTTGGAAAAGGGGGGAAACGGGATCAACAAGCTTTGAGGACGACGAACTGGCGAAATCTGCAAGACAGATCAATCAGCTCAAAAGAAAAGGAAAAAGAAAAGGAAAAGAAGGTCCAGGTTTCTTTTCTCTGGCCGGCCAAGGATATAGAATGAAAGTCTCTGGATTTGGACTTCCATACACTTTATTTTTTACACACAAGTGAACAAGTGGACATGGGAGCGCCGAAGATGCGCTTCGTTGGTTCAACAAACGTCACAGAGGATAAATGAAAGTCTCTGGATTTGGACTCAGTCAATACACTTTATTTTTTACACACAAGTGAACATGGAAGCGCCGAAGAAGGGAAGGGACCACATAATCATTGATCTCAAGTATTGAAAGCGGGGGCGAAACATACCTGCTCTACCACTGTGCAGTTAGACGCCCGTTCACCAACCCAGTGACGCCGGCTGGGTAGTGACAGATATCGGTAGACGAAACAGAAGAACCTTCAAATAAGTAAGTTCAGCCAACAACAACAAAAACAAGGCACCAACTACAATGTAATCTACTTTCTTGACTTTTCCATCATAAATTTTGAACACAGCGTAGACACAGACAATGACTATGTCATGTACTAGTACATGTGTGTGACTCGATCGATTGAGCAGCCCTTCTCTACGGTACCGTACCTCGCTGTGAAGTGAAGAGAAAAGATTGGAGAGCGGAGGTAAAGTCGGAGCTGGGAGGTAGCTGCTAAAATAATAATTCGGAGATAGTTCAACAGCTAAAAATGATTGTCAATGCGGATGAAGACTCCTTCTTTTGTCGTGCCTAATCTTGACCATGAACCTGGAGGTGTGATCACTGATGATATGCTGGTGTGGTGCCGTGAAGAAAGGCATGCACTTTGCACATACACACACATACACACGTACACGTCTGTCTCATCCACGCTCGTGCTAAAGTCATGCTCGATGCAGTGATGGTTCGACGTGGCCTGTCAGCCAGCCCACACGATCGAGCCACACGTGAACAAGCCAGTAATTGTCTTTGCATTTATGGCGAAAGCTGCAAGAAAAAGTCGACAGTCGAAGAAAGGAAGCGCATTTTGCTGACAAGTGATTGGGACCTCATGCCCTGCTAGCTGCATCATCATGACGAGTAGAGTGTTCGCTGTTCAAGTGAGGAGTCTGAGATGGGAAGTCTGAGCTGAGGACGTGCTTTGGTGAGATGTAACACTCGCACTACTTTTTAAAGTAGTGTGAAAATAATACTAAGTCTTGTTCTCAAAGTACTAGTACTCAAGATAATTATCTGTCCGAGATGATGAGTGCAGGGCCAGGGAGTCACGAAAACTAGGCCATCATCATCATGATCATAGTGAACCATGACTATGTTACGTATCATTGTATTGTACATGTCATTTGCAGCATTGGATGCAGGAGGAGCAGATAAATGGCCATGTGGAGCGAATGATCTCGAACCCGTAAGAAATTAACCATGTGAATGGAGCGAATGATCTCGCACCTGTCATACACAGTCCATGTATGCACTGGACATACAATCATGTACATTTTGTGTGTGTGTGGGTGTGGGTGTGGGTGTGTGTGTGTGTGGTCCAACCTGTCGGAAGGCTACCCTCAGGCTTGCCAAAGCATTTTGGAAGTTGGACTAGTTTCGGCTCCACAATCCAGTGTGTCGTTACTATAATAGCTTTCATGGCTGAGGTTGTTAGTACGTCTGTTGGCCCTGGGTTCCCAGTACCCAGTTGCCGAGGCTGGTTGGTAAAATAACTCCAATTTCACTTCAAGGTACCAGTGCATCTAGTGTCTGCTTTAATCAAAGCAGCATGCTGTCTATACTGGTTACCCCAGCAAGTGTAGGGTGTGCATAGGTAACTGTCTTGGCCGTCCTATTCCGATGTACTCCGTGTGGTGTAGACCAGGTGTGCATTGGGGGGGGGGGGGGGGGGTCGATTCACATGACTTCGCCAGTTGTGTCGATTAGACAGTTATCTGGCGCTTGTCTTGATCTGTTTCAATCAGAATCAGATCCGCTATCGTTGCTATAAGTATAAAGAGAAAATCTGTGGGTGCACATCCAGTGCATTTGCAGATTTGCGTGCTTCTCTTGCGACGGGCGTATACATGGTACATGGTGTGTGTGTGTCATGCATGTAGCTGTGAAAACTGAACTTTTAAGATTTCGAAGTACAATGTAAATCGGATACTGAATTTTCCCGTTTGCATAATTATATCTTTCCCAACGTATCATTTTTCAAGAGTCCACAAATCAAGGCGGAGAAACTATCAGGCTGCACTTTGAAGGATAGTGCTCCTATCACTGCAGCCAATTCATGATTGGCGAGCCATGTGTTATGGATATTATAACATGATTGTACAAAAATCGAGCAAGGCACACGGACGATGATGACGACGACGATGACAACAACACCTCTTACTGCCCATGGGCCATGGCGGGATTGATAAGCTGAACAACGTAGCATCAACATTACAAGGCAAAGTGTGGTAAGTGTGAAAACTGAAAACAACAAGAAAGCTAGTCTAAATACCAAGAGGTACGTCATACGGTTTTCCATGGATTGAAAGCTAGCCGGGAGAACTTGAACCGCAGCCTCACTATCAGTACCCAGTATTACAACAAGAAGATAGCCTCTATATTAAAGATGAAATTTCCGGACTGCATAATCGTTCAGAATCATTGCTCACGGCATCTCTAGCTCTATAGAGAATGGCACTGCCGGCAAGCCGACGGCATTGTACACCATGAGAACTGGCCAGTTGGAGAAGCCGTAGCGCACGCCCGACACCGGGTGCAGCTTGGTTTGCGCCGTGAACGGCACGCTACCACTGACGGCCACGTTCTCGCCCAGCATGACGACATCGGGCGCGTCGTGCCACGACTGGTCGGAGCGTGACTGCAGCTGGAATGACGAGCACGACGCCGGCGGTACGCCAGCCGGGCAGGTGACGTTCTTCTTGACGAACAGCTCGGTGTGGCCGACGGTGGACGGCTGGAAGTCCAGGGTCAGCTGCACATGCATCATACCGCCTGTTCCAGGCTGTAGAGTAGAACAGACATACATAGCATACCCATATTGGTTAGTAGCGTTTGCGAAGGAAGCTGAGAATGTCGTACCCATCACCAATCCTATGTGTATATGTGTAGGGCCGGCATTCACTGTCCTCTGTATCGTCTTCGTTATTTGTTGGGCTGTGGTTGAAAAAAAGAGGCTGATATTGAGTGGGACCGTTATGGCAGCACATGCACCTTCTGTATGTGCTGCATAATTACATGCACCTTCTGTATGTGCTGCATAATTACATGCACCTTCTGTATGTGCTGCATAATTACGGACCATGGACTTTGAAAGTACCACCGTGATTCATGATTGCAGGCGACATCATCGGCATTATATTTATACTACCAGAGATCAGCCGGTCGCCCAGGCAACCACATCATGTTCCAGTGTCTTGGATACGGAGTGTGGATGTTATGTTCTCTGGAGATCACCTTAATAATTAAAAGGTGATCTCCAGAAAATTATATTGAAGCTAGACTAGCCTACATAGTACATGAGGCGTACGGCTGGTGTGAAATGTCGTACATGTACTAACCTGCATGTTAGCGACATTTGCACCGGTACAGATAGGGCCTTGGTATACCTGCAGAGTAGCATAACATACGGCGGAAAGGTAGTACAGAGAGAGAGAGCCAGTGTTCAGGGAGACAGAGAGCTAGACATATACCATAGACACATGGATACATTGATACATAGAGAAAGGGGGCATGCAGACAAACAGACACTGAGACAGACAACCAGACATATAGAGGGAGAGACAGACAGACAGACAGATAGACAGACAGAGAGAGAGAGAGAGTGAGAGAGAGAGAGAGAGAGAGAGAGCAAGGCAAAAAAAAGATCAATACTCTGTGAAGGGTTTTTTTCTCCAAACGCACCACCACTGCTCTTGTCACCTGCACTGTACTGTACTGTATGTATTGAACTGTACTGACATACAGAGCAAATCCAAAGTGAAAGAGGTACTGCATGATTGCTCGATGGATCTCACTGCCGGATCATTGTCACCATGATCATTGAACTACTCACTTGAATGCTTGCAACTCTGGAAATACGAATGTCGGCCCCTATGTTCGAACGTGTGATTTTCACAGATTATTTTGCCCAATGTCAAAATCAATATGCTAGGAATGATCAAATCAAGATAAATAGATCTTCCCACACAGAAGCCAATGTTGGATAGTGTGTTTAAAAATCGTTCCAGCTTACCTCCAGTGGCATTTTGTATTGCAAGGCCAGAGCAGTCAGCGACAGGCGGAAACCGATGTCCTGCTTGTCACGCGGATGCACGCTGCCAAACGGCGAGGTCGGATCTCCATGATCCTATATCAGCGCGGTGCACACAGAGCAGCAACAACAGAACTACCATCACCAGCAACGGCGACACCACTGACCACACACCTCAATTGGACTTCATTGAGATGGCAATCATCATCGGTTACACGACGGATTCCCATTATCTTGCTAGCAGTGCAGTCACTGCAAACAAAAATAAATCCCTGTGCTTTAAAATAGACCAAGTACTCGAGATGCGTTATACATGTACTGGAGCAAACGCCTGCTTCACCAGTTGAGGTACTAGCTACCACCAGCAATTGACTCTGAGAAGAGTGTCAATGAGCTATAGGCTATAGACACAGTGTTTCACCAGTTGTTTGTGATGGCTATCAGCCACCCCATGGCTGGAAAGCATTGAACATCTAAACAGTTTCTATTTCTAAAGCAGCTTTGCAAGTACATGTCTAGGTCAATGTGAATGGACTGGATACGCTAAGTCGGTGCTGATGTTATACTATGGCTGATGCTGTTCATGCCATGCATAGCTCACCCCTGCTATGGCCATGCCAACATTCTGCAGCTTCAGTGCAGCCATTTGACTCTGCCGGAGCTCGGCAACCGCAGTGCTGTTGCTCTTGCTCTGCGCAGAAAAGAATCAGGGCAACAACCAGTGATAGCACAACCATTACACTTTGCAGCACGTATGCATGCATCTCTGAGCACAAGCAACTGTCTTTAGAAATCACCTGCCATTAGAGACCACCTGCCATTAGAGACCACCGGCCTTTTAAAGGGGAAGTTAAGGCAAAAATTAAAATTTCACCAGTTGTAGTCTTCAGGGTGCTGAGTTGAATGGTCGTGGTCCGAGGAAGCTGAGACGCTCCCTTCCTACTTGAATCCCAATCGAACTCGCGCACTTCCACCGAAACTGGGTGACTGCGCCCTACTAGATGGGGATTTGTATGCAAAATGTCACTAAAAGCGCCATTTCGTTCTTATAAAAGCACGGATGACCGCGATTGGCCCATATGTTGTAGTCTTTTGGACGCTGAGTCGACTGGTTTTGGTCCGAAAAGGCTGCGATGCAGCGTTCCTCCTTTATTCCCAATCGAACATGCTTGAACAAGCGGTCACGTGCTCCTGCGTACGCCAGTCACCTGGTCACCGTGCCTGCAGGGTACAACTTACTAGCCTGTTTGACCTTTTTTGGGTGCACTCCTGTCACTCGAGTTGAACCTTGGTGTGAAAGTTGTCGCCTGCTGGCGTGGTGACCAGGTGATTTGGGCACCCAGGAGCACGTGACCGCTTGTTCAACCATGTTCGATTGGGAATAAAGGAGGAACGCTGCATCGCAGCCTTTTCGGACCAAAACCAGTCGACTCAGCGTCCAAAAGACTACAACATATGGGCCAATCGCGGTCATCCGTGCTTTTATAAGAACGAAATGGCGCTTTTAGTGACATTTTACATACAAATCCCCATCTAGTAGGGCGCAGTCACCCAGTTTCGGTGGAAGTGCGCGAGTTCGATTGGGATTCAAGTAGGAGGGGAGCGTCTCAGCTTTCTCGGACCAAGACCATTCGACTCAGCACCCCGAAGACTACAACTGGTGAAATTTTAATTTTTGCCTTAACTTCCCCTTTAAGAAACCGATCATCCATGTTTAAAAAATACATGTGTTTCAACCTCAACAGCAGGACACTTCCAATACTCACACCAGGTGCCTTCTGCAGGTGACACATCTGAAACTGTGTGCAAAGACCATCTATCTGTCTGTGAAGACCAGTTTTCTGTACACCGGTCGGTGGTCACTGGTCACTAAAACACAGGCTTTGACTCTATGGACCCATCTAAAATTTCGTTGTCCCTGTACGTTGATACTTAATAGCAATGATTCCGTCAGATCCACTACATAGTCTACTATCTCATGATGACCATCCTGTCATGCTCCGTCCATCAATGGCAGCTACACCTGACCAATGGGTACATGTACATGTACTTGGCTTGATTGCCCGTGATTTGCTACACTCATATCGCTGCGAGTCTCAGTTCATGCTGCCTTGCAACATGATCAGTGAACTTACCGCAATCCACGGGGCCAGCTGAACAAAGCCGAAGTACATGTCCAGAAGGGCAAACTTTGTCCTCCAGTCGTCGATCATAGCCGGGAACTGGCACTGCGGTGCAGAACAATACACAGCGTGCAGTTACTACACAACTGAACAGAGATGCTTGTGTCAAATAGGTATTTTCCATGAAGTTACACTGTCCTGCCGAAAGCTCAGGAGGCCCAGACGTGCATGACTAACACTGGTGATCACGAAAGTACAATCTGAGAGCCCGGGGAAAACACATGCATCGTGTAGGACAGGGCTGTTACAGTCTAAGTTCCAACCCAGTCCAAAGTGGTCTATTTTCAATTTATAACCAACTGCTGCTAAGTTCTTGAAAGTACAATTATGTACAGTACTAGTAATTGCCACTGATGGAGTCTATCAACTACATTGTACAACATAATGTTGCTCCACACAATTGTAAATCCAGGGGCGGATCCAGGAGGGGTTCCAGGGGTCCCGCGGAACCCCCTAAATTTCGTAAACGCACTACTGGCAAACATATGCGTGTCCATGTACATGTATCAGCTATTCAGTTTTGACTGTACGGGAACCCCTGTAGAGATCTCTGGATCCGCCGCTGAAATCCTAGCGTGCGACACCACATCCTGCAGAAAACTGACTATCCCGGCGGCGGCTGTACACAACTTACTCCGTAGTATTCTCCGCCGTGCTGTGGACTCGCTCCTACGTTGCACTCACCCTGGTACTGCACGCCAAACAACCACACGGATAGAAGATACTTATGGACTCAGATGTGGAGCCAAGAATGTAATCAATGAAGAAGGAAAGGACCAAACTATCGTGCGGCATTGTTGTCCACCAATTTATTGCCAAGATCATGAATGACTTTACATACAGTGAAACCTGGTTAGGAAGAACACAGTGATAAGACAAATGTTTGCTTCAGGAGAACTAGTATTGTGTATTGGATAAATCCCTGTGTATTCACTGGGTAAAACATATGGATAAGAAGAACTCCCGTTATTGCGAACAAATATCATCGGTCCCTTGATGTTCGTCCTAAAGAGGTTTGACTGTAACTATACAAGTATAGAAAGCAATGGACTAATGCACTGGGTGCTAGCACATTGACACTCCAGGGAAATGCAACCGGAAATCTAAAATGGAAGCAACCATTACAAATAGCTGGAATTATCAAACCGTACTCTCCGCATCATGCACCACACGATAATAGTGTGTCAGAGGCTTCTTGTCCAGAATACTGACAACTGGTTTTCAAAGCACAACTGACGCCTACGTATCAAGAGACCAACGAGCACCCCGGACTAGGCAAGGGATTGGTAGCACAAAAGAGTGCCACGCCTAGCGCTTGCGTACATCCACCACAAGACAAAGCGAGACTGGTGCTATCTCATTGATGGGAAGGCGCACTAATTTCAGCCCATGCACCTCTCACAACAATAATTCCACACCAAGCCTGGGGCATGATTGCACGTACCCAGATAGCGCCAGACATCCTCATAGGCAGATATGGGTGAATCATGGCATTGTAAAGACCAGAGTTACCACCAGCTCTCTCAGCTGCAGGCCAGAAGCAAACCAACGGCAACACACGGCGACAGAGGGTAAAGAAATCGACCGTGACTAGAACACATTGGAATAACTGTTATCTGACTTGGTCGGGTGATACGTTATGCACAAACAATGGTAGCAGCGTAAGCTCACCATGCACATGTGCGATGCCTGAAATTACCCGTAACCCCACTAGGCAGGACACGGCATTCACATGCGATACAACTGGGCCACACCAGAGATTGGTAATTTTCACCTTGCTAGTAACATTCTTTTTCTGATATGATAATCCAACTGTATCATTTCATATTGTTTCAGTAAAACAAGCATTTGCTCAAAGCAAAGTTCAGTTCGAACACGACCACAAAAATGGACAAGTATCCACAGCAACCCCCGAATCTCCATTTTTCCTGACACACGCGCATGCAGACTGCTACTAACCTCCCGCCTTCTCCTTGCCATCGACGCTCTCAAATGTTTCATATTGGCTTCCTGCCGTCTGGTTACATTTTGCCAGCGCGTCCGGGCTGCTCCAGGCTTGCACACAGGTGCCTCCCCAGTTGTTACTGCAGCGCGAACAACAGCAACAGAAACACGCACCGCAGATTTATAAAATGTATAATCACTCAATCAGCGGACAAAACTGTTTCGTCCTTTGTGGACTAAATGTACAATCACACTCATATTATGATTATGATTATGGGCTTATAACAGTAATTATTATCCTCTAGTGCTTTGACGTACATGGAGGTAGATCAGGAAAATACCGTATTTCCGCAAATAAAAGACCGTCCTCGTATACAACGCCTTCCTCGAATACAAGGCCGGGGCAGGGGCGATTGAAACATACAAGACCGTCTCCGATTCGAAGACCGGGCCTACTAAATGAGTCTTACAACTTGTGTTAAAAATAGAAGACCGTGCTCAAACTGTGGGAAAAAATAGAAGACGGTGCTCAAACTGTGTAGAAGAAATGGAAGAACGGGGGTAAAACTGTGTGGCGAAAAATAGAAGACCGGGGTCAAACTGGGTTGAAAGAATAGAAGACCGTCCTCGAATACAAGACCGTCCTCGATTATAAGGCCGGGTTAGGACGAGTTTGAAAAAATAGTAGACCGGCCTACTATTTGCGGAAATACGGTATGTCAAACTCCCGAGTCAAGCACACACCCTCGGCTCCTTATGTGTAAAGAACGTCAACTGGCACAGGTAGCTCTATATCCAAGAAGCTGTTTGAGGTCCAGCGACTCGTGCATTTTATATGCACATCTACTTGCTAGTTCAGCACATGCCAGCTATACTGTTGCTGGCACATGTCCTGCTAATATCTACCATGTAGCAGGACCGCTGGAAGCAGTTTTTGACCGATCCGGTCATACCATAGCTTTCCATACTCTGCGTACGATATAGCGGGCACGCGTAACCTCCTCAGAAGTAAACAGGCGTTCGTGGCGAGCACGTTGTTCCGGACCGATTCCGGCGGGCCTGTGTAGTGATCTGATAGGCAATGGTGCGAAACTCACACAACCTCATTGGGAGTGTGTCGTCACGCTACTCAGACATTAGCAATGACATTGATGATTGTTTCAAAGTAACATTTTTACTTTGAAGTAATTGGCTTATGAAAAGCACTGGACAACTTTATATTCCATCTGCCGCGTGACCAACCTTATCAGACCAATGGGCACCTTCTTCTCCAGACGGTCGTAGAGATCTCGCCCAAAGTACCAGCACACAGCTGAGAAATAGGTCCAGTTTCCGCCGCCAATTGAAGCCCGCGAGGCAACTGTCCAGTTCTGTGTATGGAATACACACCGTGGCAATAAAATGAACCCCGGCAATGAGCATGCAAACATATGCTAGTGTATTTGTATGAGTTTGGCTCCAACAGCAAGCAAGGCTAACACAATAAAAATTGAAATATAACATTGGAACAATCAAACAGTAAATCTAGAGCTGTTGAATTCTGCCTAATTTTGGAATTATACTTGTGGTGCAATATTGTCTAGCCGGGCCCATGACTGTCCCATACCTGTTCAATGGTCGCCAGCTCAGTCAACGCAGTGGCTGATGATGTCTTCTGACCGACGGTGAACACACGGATATCCTCATACTTGTCAGCCTAGGTACACGAAGATTGAGATGGACAATTTGCATCAAGCCAGTAGCAGACACTGCTGCCACACCGCTACCATTACAATGCTCACACACCAATGGCACAACCAACCTCTTCTTTGCCAATACTTGGAGTTTTGTGTTTGAAAAAGAAGCACCCATCAGACAGGTACATGTAGTTTGAAGCACTGGCTCAGATTAAAGTATCCTTGCCATGCACGGATAACGAAGTACACAAGTTTTCTCTACGCATGCTACCAGCAGAACTAGGCCGACCTTTTCGACTTCACTGGTTGCATTGAATCCGCAGTCGACTGTGAACTGCATGTTGCTCTGTCCCCCGCACAGGTACACGTCACCGAACACAACGTTGTCCATGTGTATTTCGGAGTTGAAGTGCTTCGACTGGGCTGAGATCGTGTATGGGCCGCCTAAATATATATATACACAGAGAACAACACCCATGTGCAGTGTATGGCTGTTACTTGAAGTATAATTTGTGATAATGAGAACGAAGACAATGAGCACGATGCATGCAGTGGTTCTGCAGCCATTGTCCATTTCCAACTCGTCGCAAACAATTCACAGCGCAGCCACTTGTGCCACACACCAGACTGACAGTACAGCCGCTCAATTTTTGAGACATGATCATTGAGCAACTCAGCAGGTGCACATACTGACCTCAAATTGAATGGCACCGTTCAGAGTCGCTCCACAGCATCCACATGAACACTGTTAGTGATTGCTGGAAAGACTATAGATGTATAGCATCATACACGTACTTGTATACCAGCATACGGTGGTTGATTTAGGTCGGCTGTGGGTGAGGGCTGCATCAATGGTCATGCACTGGCTTCCATGTATATTTATTGTATTTTAGAACGCCTCCACGGCAAAATGGCCAGCACCATGCTGGCCATTTTGCCGTGAATGGTGACCTTCGCCACATGTCACCACGGTGATCCACACAAACCTTCACTGCCCACCTGTCATGGCAACCACCCATGCGACAAAGAAAAATCCACGATGAGCCACACTTGATGCATGACTGTGCTCAACAGGTCACATGCAGGACATGACCAGCTCATCACAGACAGGCTTCAAGTGCTTTGATTGGTCATAACCTAGGCAACAATCACGTGGTATTTCTGAAGAGATGCTATTGCACCCTGACAGACCAGCTAGGCTTCCAGGGAGCACGCACTGACCTTCTTCCGTAGAGGGCAGCTCTGCTTTCCACATTCCGTTCTCATCAGCCGTAAATGGTCCGACCCAGTTTGCATGGTAGACAGTCACTGTGTCCTGCGGCTGGCTCCATCCCCAGATCACAGCCTGGTGTGGCTTACGTTGCAGCACCTAGAGGAGGTGTGGGCATACAGGAGAGCAATGCAGTATGTAATGAATACAGCCACTTAATAATACTTCCTCCGGTTCAATAAAATTGTCTCAGTTCTATGTATGAGCAAATACTTGGCAAGTATACCTGTATACGAACAGGGACAATTTGAATGAACTGGATGAAGTAGTACACCGCACACTATGTCGATGTACTGTAACTGGAATGGACATGGCATGGTGCCAATACAGACCACAGCGTGTAGACTGCTGGTAACGCGATCGTCTATTGCCCACAGCAGCTCACGGTGTGTACAATGTACAGTTCTGGTCGGAGAAATTCCACCTCATGGGTAAGTAGCGCCGCACTCAAGTGCGCAGAGCGGTGTGTGTGTGTGTGTGTGTGTGGGTGTGGGTGTGTGGTTCTAGGGCTGCATAGCCCCGGGGCTATTACATTCTACTTTGGATTTCTCTGGCCAGGACAGTACATGTACACGCACAGTTGCGGCGCAGAGGGCCACTTAGTCTCAGCAGCTTGAGCACATGCGCTCTCTCTATTATGTAATCAACATCATTTTCGCGGGTCTGAAAGCGGAAAGAATTGGGCCGCATATCACATGTACTTGCAACAACCGTAGATCTATGCTTACACTATTTTGAACAAATGCAGTCTGTACCATCCCCGGCATTATCTGCAAGTGTCCATGATTAGTATTTTACCTCGATATTATTGTGTCAAATGATATGACTATAGTGTTTCAGTCACAGCCAGCATGCTATTGGATAGCAACATTGTCCTCGTGGCCGGATTTGCTCAATCCATGCACGAGACAAGGCTATCGCTAGTACAGTAGGCTACCGCTCTGCTAATGCTCTCTATGTTGTCTGCATATTATTGAGCAGGAGAAAAGCGACTTACCATGTTTGAGCCAAGAGTGTTAGATAATCGGAAGGTGTGGTTGCTTTGTCCATACGCGAGCGAGCAAGCTACGCTCAGCAAAACCACAATGACTGTTGCTAGCTTCATTTTTGGCCCAGTCGCTCAACGAACAACGTCTACTCGCTATCAAGTTGTCCAGCCCTATCGATTGAAGTCCTTGCTGTTTTGATCTCGACCTGATGAGTGCAATGCGGGAAGAAGTAAGATTTTTTCACTTTGAAGGGTGTTGATCATGTCACTTCGTGATCCTCGGGCCTCGACAGCGCCGGACCGCAGACAAGTCTGTGTTGACTGCTCCGTCGTCATTTAATTCATAAAACGAACGGTTGGCCTAAAAAAAAGAAGCTTGCGGCCGTACCCGTGTACGTGTGGGAGGACAGGCTGCCAAGCCACAACACGATAATGACTGATGGTCAGTCTACCTACCGATACTGGCACATCTCCAGGTCAGCCGGAGTGGACAATGTAAATCTACATGACTGTACAGTTATCAGAAGGATGGTCGGATACCAAACTGGCAAACAGTCATTATGATCTAGCTGACGCTAACACCATGCAAGGTTGCGGTACATCCATGTATTCATCACCTAAAATGAGGTGCCTACAGCAGTCATGGTAGTGGCGGAAGGAGAGCTCGAACTGCCAATGTACCGAGCCCCGCAACCGTACCACCAGAGAGCAGCAGTACAAGCACATAATTACCGGAAGGTTCTGGCAAGGCAGCAGTACGGAACCGGCCTCTCGGCCATAGGACTGCACTTTCATGTTGCCATGATGTACGCGGCGAGGTTACAAGATGCCCGGCGAGTCCATATCCACTGACCATCCATGACAGTATTCGATAACACACGTACAAATTCAGAGAACACAGGACAAGATGGCTGCGACAAGCTTCACCAAGTAGGACGTTGAAGTGCAAGATACCGTTCAGTACAGTGTGCGGAAGAGACAGTGAGTTGATATGTACAGGAAATCACAGGATATGTCCAAATGCCAATCTTGTAATACCAAGTACTTGAATTGAATTTTGAATTGAATCAAATTCATAATATTGATATCATTTGGGAAACAAAACACATGCTCACTAGAATGCCATTGTAAAAGGCAGCAGCGGCAAATCAGCAGCAGTGTACAGTGTCATGACTGGCCATGTGGAGTATGCGTAGCGAACACCGGACACGGGATGTGCCTGCACGGCTGTCGTACCCGGCACAACTCCTGTGACGGTGATCTTGTTGTCCAGAATAGAAACTGAATCCGCCATATGCCAGGATTTATCGCTGGCCGCCTGGAACTCGAACGTTGAGCATTCTTGGGGCGGCACTTTCTCCATGCACGTGGCATTGACAAGCTTCCACTGCAGCTGTACACTGGATGAGGTTACCGACAACGCAATGGAAACTTCAAACATGCCGGCGCCTTGTGCCTGCACAACATGCATGGACGGAGAAACACAACACAACATAATGTAACCACCGAGGAGTGAGAGTTGGTTGCATGAAAACATAGCATCAAGAGAGAAGTGAAGCCCAGTATCTCATACTGGGGGTAATTCACTCATTCACATATTTTTTATAAGTGTTTAACTTTAGGGAGAGCATCAGGTAGGGTATAAGATACCAGGAACAGCATATGGAGATGTTTTTCAGAACATTCATCACCATTCCCATTTCTCCTCCATGCTCCTTGATCATCATAAACGGTTAAACAGTTTTTAAAGGGACAATAACCTCTGAAATATATACGTAGGATTGGTAGATAGTATACCCAGCAATGCTCCGAGCCAGAATAAGAAAAAGGATTGGCTCTTCGTCAAGTGGAATCACTTTCTGTTTGGACTTTCCCTGAATATCTCTATGTTTAGTGGGTTCACACGACTGTTTCTCTCATGATTTTGCACATGACTTGCAAACACCCTTCCACCAATACTACTGTGACAGTGTTGTACAAACCTCCACAAAGTTGGCTCCAGAAGCAAGGTGATCTGCATGCTTGCATGCACTCTTCCAGTCACTCTCGAGATCGGTACATGCAATTGAAGCAATGTGACATAATCTCAACTATTGATGTCCATAAGGGTTTTTCGGACACACTGGATCAGATCAACAAGCATGATCACATTGGCGAATTGTATGCGATGATTGCAGTGCCAATTTGCTGCTTACCTTGACCGATACTGGTTCAGCACCACTGGGGAATGGTGACTGGTACTCCTGTACATCAGCAAAACAAAAGCAACCACGGAGCAATGCAGTGGATTTCAGGTAGAAAAAAACCCCAGGGATTATATGGACTGCTCACCTACACGCTAGATTAGTGGTGATTCATTGAATAATTCCCGGAGTTCAGAGTTTGAATTTGGCAGTAAAATCAGAGGATCATAATTCCCAGGTGCAGGATCCAAAGGCGACATGCACTAGCAGTTGCCTGGCATCTCACCATGGTTGTCATGCCGTAATGAAGACCCAGTGCATTCAACGCCAGGCGTGCACCGACCACCTGCTTGTCGCGAGGGTGAATGCTGCCGAATGGCGACGTCGGATCTCCATGGTCCTGCATGTACCGCAGCAGAAAGGATCACAGCGTAGCATAGCAAACCAGAGCACAGCACAGCACAGCACGGTACAGTACAGTACAGTACAGCACACCGCAGCGGAGTAGATTGACAACAGAGTATGCAAACTAATGCTAGCACAGGAGGTGCAGAAAGAGAAAGAGAGAGGGGGGGGGGGGGGTCGTTGGCAAATGATTCACGCCCTGTCCTTTGTGTAGCTTCCGGTGCGTCACACGACTTGTAGCGGTGTTTCAGGAAGTTTTACTTCAATGCCTGCCTGGACTTGTCCCTTTATGAGATGGAGAAATCTTTCCTTCAATGTACTCTGTCCATCGCGAAGAAGACCGGGGACCTGTGTGATGAAGCATGTGTGCTGCGTATAGTCGCGTATAGTCTTATGCCACTACATAGTGCCCTGGCCCAGTGCACTGCATAGTCACATCACTAATGATTGACATCAGGATCGCTGGTGTTACGGATACAGCTGTGGTTTTTTTTTTTTTTTTTTTTACTACAAAGCACTGGCCAGCAGCATAAAAGGGGAGGTAGACAAAAGTGGACAAGCGAACTTTGACAACACAGAGGAGCGTGGCATGCGTGCCGATGAGGTAGGTCAACCTCCCCCGACCTAGTGGTCTCGGGTTCAACAGTTGGTCTACGCATCAGGAAGGGGAAATGGACAGAGAAAGGGAGAATGAGCATGAGGAGCTTCCCAGGAGAGGAAGAGTGAGAGAGAGAGAGAGAGAGAGAGAGAGAGAGAGACAGAAAATGATAATAATAGAGACTACCGGTTATTCTCAGTGCTGGTGGACTTCAGTGGCCCATAGCCAATTGGTCTGGCGGAGGTGATGGTAGGCCTTGGTCTTGAATGTCGGCAATTTCTTGAGAGTTGGGCGTTCGGCGAGGATTGGGGCAGGCAGTGTGTTCCAGCTCTCCAGGACAAAGTATGGGAAGGAGCGGCGGATGAACTCTGGACTGGAGGCTGGCAGAGGAGTTGCGAGTTGGAAAGAGTGGCCACCGAGGGACTGGCGTTGCCGGCGCGTCCGGGGTGCAGCGTTAACTCTTGCTGGGGGAGGTACCATGTTGGTAAGCAGAGCTGGACCTGGTATGCATTGCAGCTTATACAGGTAGCACAGCCCGTAAACATGCCTTCGGGTTGCCAGGCTGGGGAGCAATGAGGGGCCAATAACCTTCATGGCTCGACGCTGGACCAGGTCCAGCTGATGGAGGTGACAATGTGCCGCACTTGCCCAGACGAGAGGGGCGTACTCCATTATAGGCCGTACAAATCCTTTGTACACAGTTAGGCGCCCTGCACTGTCCAGGATCCGAGATGCCTTTCGGAGCAGGCCGAGTCGCTGGTTGGCTCTAACGGCAAGGGAACGGATGTGGGCCCGGAAGGAGAGAGTACTGTCAAATAACACTCCTAGCAGCTTGAGCTGAGGGCTCTCAGGCACCTGCATGCCATCAAATGTGAGCTGTGGGACATCCAGGGATGGTCTGTGGCGGTCAAGGAGTATTGCCTGAGATTTTGATGGCTCGAACTTTATCTTCCATTGGGCACCCCAAGTCTGCAGGCGGTCAATAGATGCTTGGAGGCTATTGCTAGCAGCAGCGATGGTATCTGGGTTTCTGATTAGGGCATAGAGTGTTGTATCGTCCGCGTAGACAGCTAGACTGGAGCCTGGGGCTAAACACTGTTCTGCATCGTTTACATATAACAGGAAAAGAGTGGGACCTAGGAGGCTACCCTGGGGCACTCCAGCCTTGATCGGGAACAGTGGAGAGGACTGACCGCCAACAACTACAGTCAGTTTTCGGTCATGGAGATACGACCTTAGCCAAGCCAGGAGTTGGCCGTGGATGCCACATTGCTGTGCCTTCGCAAGGACACCTGGGTGGGAAACCTTGTCGAATGCCCCGGCAATATCAACTGCCAGGGCATGCACAAGACCGCCGCCAGCCAGGGTAGTGGCCCAGGAATGCTGGAGAGCCGTCAGTAGGTCACTTGTGCCCAGTCCACGTCGGAAGCCAAACTGGGACGAGGAGAAGAGTTGATGGGTTTCCAGGTGGTTCACAAGCTGCCGATTGATGATACCTTCCATGATCTTAGAGATGATCGTCAGGAGAGATATAGGCCGGTAGTTCTTCATCATGGATCTGGGTCCTTTCTTGTACACTGGAACGACACGGGCAATTTTCCATGATTGGGGCTGGACTCCATTGGCAAAACACAGGCAAAAGGCGAAACAATCTATCCAGCGGATGTGCTAGTTCAGCTGCACACTCCTTGAGTACTCGTCCTGGGATCTCATCTGGGCCAGTGGATTTGGATGTGTTGAGACGCTTCAGGCACTGTTGGACTTCAGAGACGCGGAAGCGGATGCGCTGCAGGCCCGGAGTGGTAGTGCAGGGTGTTGCTGGTAACTCAGCATTGTCGATGTCATTATCCCCAAGGCTACATTTTTCAGCAAAGAATCTAGCAAGGCACTCGCTCTTGGCTTTCGATGTACTGTGCTCGTGCCCGTCAGCATCAGTGAGTGTTGGCACGTCTGTAGTCCTACCCAGACCGGCGGCGCGCTTGACATTCCTCCACCAGTCCTTGTCTCTCATGGAACCACGTGTGAGACGCTCTCGGACTGTCTGCTCTTCAGCTTGTTGTGCACGATGTTGGGTTGTAATAGATTGAGTGACAGTTGTCATGAACGACTGCTTCAGGCATTCGCTGGGCCCCTGGTGACGCCAGGCCTTCCACGCTTTCTCTTTGGCACGTTGAGCCTCAGTGCATTCTGGTGTCCACCAGCTCGGATCGGACGGCCTTGTTTCCAGCATCTTGTGGGGAATAAACTGCAGCATCCCAGACACGATGTGCCTAGTAACAAGGCTGCATGCTTCCTCTGGGTCCTCCGGAAACTCAGCTGCCCAGGCAATGCGACGGTAGTGGGCACGCAGTCTGTTCCAGTCGGCTTGGCCGTATCGCCACACACGTCTCCGTGTGCTGGGCTCATTTTCAAGCGGGGCTTGAGCGAGCACAGCGTGGACAACACAATGGTCTGACCTTCCTATCGGCGGTGAGATACCGGTGGTCACAGTACCAGTGAAGTCAGAGAGCACTAAGTCCAGGGTATTGAGACCTCGGGTTGGTTCTTGGACATGCTGCATGAGGCTGTGGGCAGCGCTTAGTTCCTCCATGTACTCCCCTGCACGGGTGGTCTTAGAGCTGCCGAGCCAAGCCGTGTTGTGGACATTGAAGTCTCCGACCAGCATGGTGTGGGTGCCGTGTTTTCTGACGCTATCCAGGATGCCAACAAGGTGCTCAAGTGTTGAGATATCAGTGTCTGAGGCGGATCCTGGCCTGTATACAGCACCCAGCACTATCTTACCATGATGGGCAGACTGCACTGTGAGCCAAGTTACTTCGTGAACAGATGAGTCGTACTGATCTAGATGATGGTACGCCAATGGGCTGCGCATCCAGATTGCTATGCCACCACCATGTTCAGTCCTGTCACGCCGGAGTGGGCCGGAGTACCCTGGGATGGCTGACTCGTGAAGGGAGAATTTCTCTGCGGTGATCTTGGTTTCAGTAACAACAGCGATATCAGCTTTGGAGGATACAAGCGCGTGTTGAAACTCTCCAAATTTGGACATGATTCCACCAGCATTTGTAAGGAGGATTTTCATTGTTGCTTGCTTGCAGTATCTGCGCTGCTGCTTTTGTTGTTGCTTGCAGTATCTGCGCTGTTGCTTTTGTTGTTGCTTGCAGTATCTGCGCTGTTGCTTTTGTTGTTGCTTGCAGTATCTGCGCTGCTGCTTTTGTTGCTACCTGCGCTTTGCAGTGGATTGGGCAGGGATGGGGATGTCTCTGGCATGTCAGTTGGTGGGCAGCCAGACTGAGCTGACCCTGGTACTGTCTTGTGAGTGTCGGATGTGTGGAAGGTCCACCTCCTGCAATAAAGTGGCCTTGGCCAGAAGTTGGCAGCCAGCAGGATATGCAGGGAGCTGGCATCCACAAACGCTCTTGCAGACATGCAGCCGCTAGCATTGACATGCATGCTACAGGCGTGGAGCACTACTGGTGTGTCGGAGTTGACGGCCCTGCTACGCAAATCAACAAATTCGCGTAACCGGTCTTCAGTTGTCTCCCTGCTGAGGTTACCAACATATACGACAGCTCTCTTCGCTCTGTGGGGCTCATCTGCAATTAGTTTCCATGCATCGTCGGAGATGGGCTGCAACACCTTTGTGCTCTTGTTGCGCTTTCGTCTCCGTGGCTGCTGAAAACCGTCATCCGCGTCACTCTCGCTCACGCTGTCCACATTGTGGCCAGGGCGTGCTGCTGGGCGAGCATCATTTTCAGTACGGGGCGCATCGGATGCTGGACCTTGGTTCAGCGCGCTGCTGTAGCTGGTAGATCTGCTCGTACTCGCACTCATGCTACACTGCCTGCAGGCTGTGCGGGGGTCAGTACGGGTACGGTCAGGGTTCGTAGTACGTCCTGGCTGGCATGGCTGAGGAGCTTTCGCCGCGGCAATGGCGGATTCTTTGAGAGAAGCTACCTCCTCCTTCAGCTCAGATACTTGTCTGGATAGCTCATCGAACCTATTGTTCAGGCGATCCTCGCGATCGGCGGCCTCGGAGACAAGTGCGGCCAGACTTTTTAGCACTGCCGATACATCCGACTCGATACTAGGCAGGGAGCCCAACATTTTCGTCTCAGATTCAGTCAAGGCTGATACACGAGAGTTAGTTCTCGTGGTAGCTCCGGGCATGGCAAGTTTCCGACACTACTCTACTTCTATTTCTAATCACTGATCTAGTCTACTTCCAGTCCGGCCTGATGCCGGCTGAGCTGCAAAAAAGGGGAAAAAAGGAGAGCCCGAAAAACGCGTGGCTCACTTTTCAAAAAAGGGGAAAAAAGGTTACACCACCTTTGTTGGAAAAGAAGGATCCACGAGCCAGATTTGAACCCAGCACCCCTGTCTTTCTGGGACAGTGCCCTACCGATTAGGCTACTGGGGAACACACCCGTGGCTCTTTCTTGCTACAGTTTTTATCAATTCCACCGTTCATGGAATGTCCAGCATGCAATTTTAATCATTCCCGTAGCTATGCAGAAGACGTTACTTCAGTAACGTCTGGTGCTAGCCAGGGTCCACACAGCTTTAATTTGGTGTTTGTTTGTTTGTTTGTGTGTTTGTGTCACGCCTGGCGCTATCCCGTATCTGTCCCGTACCGTACCGTACCATCAAACACAGCTGGCCACATACAGCTGGCCGCAATATTCAAATAGGGCTTTCAAACGCAAGATCATAACGTGAAGCAACTTGGAAGAATGAGTATGAATGCGAAGTGTATGGGGGAATGCATGTGGGGCGATAGTGCGGGTTCTAATCCCAGGTAATGCCTTAAAAAATAGGAGAATTGAAAAATTTATAACATCCCTTTTCTTTTTTTGCCGTCATCAAGGCGGTAGACGGTGTTGTGTTACCCTCGACCGTACCTGTCCCGTACCTGTCCCGTACCTGTCCCGTACCTATCCCGTACCGTACCGTACATTCAAAGACGGCTGGCCACAATGCATATTCAAATAGGGCTTTCAAATACAAGATCATAACGTGAAGCAACTTGGAAGAATTAGTATGTATGCGAAGTGTATCGGGGGATGCATGCAGGGCGATAGTGCGGGTTCGAATCCCAGGTTATGTCTCAAACAAAAGTAGAAACTTATAAGAATTTATAACATGCTTTTTTTTGTCTAGGTCATCAAGGCAAAAAAGCATAGCGTAGGGCCCTGAGCTTCCAAGCTCTCTCGTAAACTGTAAATCAACAAATATTCGGCGAGTATATATTTTCGGCTATTATCGGCGAGGCAGCTCGCCCAGGATAGTCGAAAGTGGAAGGAACTAATGTGTGCTATGTGTAATGGCTGAAGTTATACAATTACACTAGATACCCTTAACAATAATAACGGATACAATTACACTAGATACTCTAACACACTACCTCGAAGTAGATACTCTAGATACTAGATACTCTAACAATTTTATCAACAATTATGATAATTACCACATCAAATGCTGCAGAGACCTATCCAGAATCGGCAATATGCTGGCCCTGGCCTGGAGATATGCAACTACAATCAGCTTCTACTTTGCAACATTAACGGATTAGTCCCCTTTGTCGATTGATGGATCAATCGGTAGATTCGGCTCTGTTTTTCTTTCCTTTCTTTCTTGTTTTGAATTGTATGTTGAACTCATTGGATTTCTTTGTATTCTGTATCTTGTTATCGTTATATTTACCTCTAGCCCTCTCGCTTAGGATGAGCTTTCTTTTTTATGGCAGCTTAAGCGAAGGCTATATACCTGCTTTATGCAGGTTGATGCCAATGCGAACAAGCAAAATAATAATAATAATAATAATTTTACAAGAAGTCGGAGGCGGATAATACTTTAATAACGAAGGTACGTGTTGGGTCGTAAGTATCCACGCAAACACACATCCAGTCAAAATAAGGCACTTGTCAAAGTATCGTGTCGTGCTGAACTTGATACTTTTTCCACCTTGTCACGAGTGTTGTTATCTCATATCTTTACGCTATAATTATAAGTTTTAGTCTTTCCAACTTGAGCCATTCCCTGTATAATCCTTGATGAGAAGGGACCGAAAACGTTCGGATACTTTGACAAGTGCCTTATTTTGACTGGATGTGTGTTTGCGTGGATACTTACGACCCAACACGTACCTTCGTTATTAAAATAATAATAATATTAAATAATAATTATCGGCCTGGGCATATTTGGCCGAAAATTTGTTGCGGCCGAAATTTTGTTTTGCAAGGTACTTCAAGTAACAGTGTATACAGGTAGCAGCAGTACAGGCCGAAAATGTAATGCGGCCGAAATGTGTTTTAGGCCTGTGAGGCCGACATTTGACGAGGCCGAAAATTTGTAGACCTACAGTAGAAGTACTAATAAGCTATTATCAATTTATCATACACTCCTCACTAGAGTCCCTCCCTTCTAACAAGTTCTTGCCATTACGTGAGGACGTATGTGCTGATATTATTATCTGTTGCCATGGGGAACGTGTCACTTACGGCTGCCGTTGCCACGCCAACCTTGGGTAGCTTGAGAGCGGCTAGCTGTGACTGACGAAGTTCTGCAATCAGTGTCATGTTGGTAGAACCCTGGAAAACGACACAACGACGACAACAATCTTAGCATCTTTTCTATGGTAATTGTACTTCTTCCAAGTACTACCTCCGACAAGCGAAACTTGGCGCGTTTTTTGGATTTTTTGTGCTGGTACCAAAAATACTTCACAAGGCTGTGAGGTACGACCTACTTGTAGCTCCATGCAACCGGGTGCAGGAAGTGAAGCAACGAGCTGGTGAGTGGCACATGGCTCAGACTTAGTCAGAGGCAAGTGTGTCTCTCGTGTACCAGCAAAACTGTGTGCGCGTCCATTCTGCAAAGGAGAATTGTCGTGCTTTCACGTTGCAATGCAAAACCAAGGAGTTCTCTCTCTCTCCTCTTCGTCACTCCGCCAGCACAGAGTCCATGCGTCCATGCCAGACAATCCTAGCGTCTTTCAACAGCCACCAGAGCGATGCGTCTCTGGTGGCTAAGGAAAATCGCCAGGAATTGCTGCAGGCAATTGTGGACAGTTGGCGAGAATACCCTGCAAAACAGTTGGAGTCCAGGCGCTTGTGGAGGTGTTGCACAGTGCTTACCACGTCAATCTGGATAGTGGCGGCGGAAACGACTACCCTAGACACCGTGGCTCGAGCACAGCACACAGGAGCGAAATCGAGAATTTCAGAGCGATTACAACAGAGGTACTTGCTGCAACTGAATCCGCTCTTTTTTTTTGTAGTCGCACTTTCGTCTCAAAACAGGGACAATTCCTCTCCAGAAGAAACTGCGATCTCTGAATCAGAGGAGAGTTGTTCAGCCTAACAGATGTCTTTAATGTCCTTGTTGAGCAATACAAAGTTGAATTTTGGTGAGTAAATCATTAGTTTTGATTGTAAAGTTTGAGTTATTTGGAGTAATTTGAAGTAAAAAAACGCGCCAAGTTTCGCTTGTCGGAGGTAGTAACAATTTTACCCTAGAAGAAAATGTATATGCTTGGGTGGACATATGCATTCTCATAGGCCTGAGAATCAGACCCTGTTCCACTAACTCACAGCGTTTCGGCACTTGGTAGGCACTGTGAAAGCCACAAGGGAGCTTCCCATGTACTTGTAGGATTGTACCCGGACTTGGAGGCTCCAGAGCATTATGTCGCAACCATACTACGCAAAGCCCCCGGTATCATTATCGAACATTCCCGATTGCAGACTGAAAATATCCACACTGTACATTTTTCATTGCCACATTTCACATCCTACTTTCCAGTGGCTGTCGTAGAACATGTTGAAGTAGTGAGCACAACTATAGTATTGCAAAAACAGTGCATGCAACATGTACCAAGACTGGATCGGGAAGTTGGCGGGAACTAGAGAAACGACACACTGTGTGGTCCTCAAAATAGTGCAGAAACTTCTGAGTAAGTACAAAGCTCATTTTTCATTTCGTAATCAAGTAGCGTGCTCCACTGCTCGAAGAGTGCTCAATACCCATATAGGGCGGAGCCTTCCACGCAAAAAAGAGAGGGGAAGCTGTGTTGCAACTCCGATGATCGTAACTACGTGAAACCCGGAGTTGTAACACGGCTTCCCTTCTCTCTGAGTATCTCTCTTGTGCCATTTTGCTATTTCTGCATGTTGCTTTGGTGACTTGCACCAAAACTACTGCAGACTAGTGTAGGTATTTCGAAGTACACAGTTTGCTTCTGCCAGTAGGTAGCCAGCTTCCGTACTGTGGTGCTCTATGAAATTCGATCAAGCAAGTCAATGCCATGCCGGGCGCTATGTAGCCCTCGACTTGCGAGCACTGGGGTGTGAAATTGCGGCCAGGGCGCAAGCCAGATTCACGTGATCGGATTTCATTGAGGAGCACTCTACAAGTACCTGACACGTGTATGCAACCGGCAGCTTTGAAAACGTGGTGGAGTCACTTACATCAAGCCATGGCGCCAGTTGGACAAATCCAAAGTACATGTCGGACTGGTTGAACTTCACTCTCCAGTCGGCAATCATGGCCGGGAACTGGCACTGCAATTTGAACCAAACACAAGCACAGTTGGCTGATCAGGTATTATTTAAAAAAACATATCCACAGGGCACTCGGCTTTCAGAGTTCACTCATACCTCGTTTATCCGGGCGGTCCGGGACCGGGCACTTCGAATTGTCCGTAACTCCGAATCTTTACTTATAAAGAAGAGGCACCTGTGACGTGTGTTTGTCTGTGTGTTACGCAGAAGCGCTGCGGAGCAGCGCTGCCCTGAGCACGCGAAGCGTGCGAACAGTGTAGCTAGCGGCCGCAGAAGCACTGAGCACGCGAAGCGTGCGAATCGTATAGCTAGCGGAAGCAGCCACAGAAGCACTGAGCACGCGAAGCGTGCGAATCGTGTAGCCACCACCACGTGCTGAGCACGCGAAGCGTGCGAACAGTGTAGCTAGCAGACACGATCAGTACGAGTAGCAGTAGCAGCCGCGCGCAGAAGCACTGAGCACGCGAAGCGTGCGAATCGTGTAGCCACCTACCCTAGGCCATAGGTAGCACTAGCAGCCGCACAAGCGCTGCGGACCACGTGAACCGTTCTCTGCAAATAGAAACATCTGCAAAAAAAGGATACAAAAGATCTGCACTGACTGCATTCTGCATCTAATCTGCAGTGAAGAGCGCATCGTGCAGCTACCTTTTCCACGGACCACGTGAACCGTTCTCTGCAAATAGAAAGATCTCCAAAAATTGATACAAAAGATCTACAGCTTCCTTTTCCACGTGAACCGTTCTCTGCAAATACAAAAAACTTGAAGACTTGACCTAGGCGACGCTTTGCACTTTTTCATGTTTTGAGCCGCTTCATCCGCCACCAGGTGATGGACAACCCTGACCAGCCTCCCGAAGGCGTAACAGACGTCCCTCCTTCTCCTTCCAACAATGAAGAACCTCCCTCACCAGGACTTCAGCGGTCTGGGAAAAGACGCCGCCGGTCCTCATCAATAACGTCGTCCGACGATGAAGAGGCCATTGCCCGCAGACGCGAACAAGCCAGGGTTCGAATGCAGAGGGCAAGGTCACAGGAAACTGAAGAACAGGCTGATCGCCGCAGACTTCTAAATCGTCGACAAACTGCTGCGACACGCTCTCAGGAGACGCATGAACGAACTCTGGAACGTAGAGACCGTGACTGCCGCCGAACTGCTGAGGCACGTTCGCATGAGACACCTGAGCAGGCAGACCATCGCCGAAGTCAAAGCCGTATGCAAGTAACTTTTTTAGTTGCCAGAGCGAGGTCACTCGAGACGCAAGGGGACACGGAGGTACGAAGAAGCCAAAATGCTCAGCGGGTGGGAGCACCCCCGGATGAAAATGCATCCGCCACAGGGCCAGATCCCCACGAACAGCCTATGGCCACTACGAGAGCAGGTGAGCGTACTGGTAATTTCACCCGTAACATACAGACCATTAAACCAGATATCTGGGGTAAACTGGGCTTCCATTACGACAGCAACTTGGACTGTCCCACTCACAGGTCCATCACATTAGGTGGCATGAACGTCCTGTGTAAGCATTGCAAGGCCAGAACGTGGAAAAATGAGCCGCCAGGTATATGTTGCTCAAGTGGAAAAATTGATCTCCCAGACTATGCAGAGCCACCTCAGCCGCTCAAAAACCTGCTTTCTGGCCTTACAACTCAGGAATCCAAGCACTTCCTCCAGAGCATTTGCAAATACAACAGTGCATTCCAAATGACATCATTTGGTGCGAATGAGCAGTACATGGACGGCTTCATGCCAACGTTCAAGGTGAAAGGGCAAATCTCTTGAGGCCACGCTTTAGCAGTTTCGTGCAGGGCATGGTGTCTCCTGCCTTGAATTTTTTTGGTGTCTCCTGCGGGTGTGCCGCAGTACTTTGCGATTTGTTGTCATGGCTGACTAATCCCAATAACTGAGAACTCTATACGTGATTCCATTCACTCACCATGCTGCGCATTACTGTTCGCATTATTGTTCGAGGATGAAGCATCCCATCATCCCATATGCTGAACACAAGTACACTCTCTATGTCCAAGCTGCCACATGTACATGTACGTACATGTCTCAACATGCCTAAGGCACAATTTCCCAATAATTGGATGAGCCTTCACTATTGTAAATCTCAGTTCTATAACTGCTGATAAACAACTACCCGGTCATGCGGTGTTACACAGCAATGTGCCGTTCATGTACTTGCTTCACCCGCATGCCACGTTCGGCCAGGCAACGCTGGCCGGGTGCTGCTAGTAACATATATTTTGACGGGGAAAAGGCCGTAGATATGGCATGTAACGTCACTATTTCCACAGAAAGTGACAAAAAACAGTAGTATTATTTCCACTGAAACTCACCCAATGGTTGCCCGGTAGTCTGAGGTGCCTGTAACTTCGGGGTCCGCATAACCAAGGTATGAGTGTTACTGGTGAACAAGCAGTGTGGCATACTATTTTCTCAGACAAGTTAAATTTACTGTGTTGATTGAATAGTACAGTTTAAGTAGAATATCTTGCTTGAAATAGCTTTCTTTACTTTGCTCAGCATCTCAAGTGAATGCAAATTGGTTCTGAATGAAGATGAATGTGCATTCCACAAGTTGTACACAGTGCGAAGGTCCTAAATCATTCCTGCCATTGAATGAACACAAAACAAATGCCAAATGAAAGCAACGTGTAGATTTCGGCAAACGCTTTCATTAACGGAACTATCGCCTTCTACAACACTGGAGATCATCCGAGTCCTGATTCCTATGATTGTGTTCTGTTAGCTTACAGCGTAATATTCACCACCCTTGCGTGCTCCAGCTCCAACATTGCTCTCGCCTTGATACTGGAGTTTACACAAACAATTCAAAAACAAAGAAATGCAGCGTCAGCAAAATATACTGGAGCAGTAGAATTTGACCTGGAATTCAATGAACTGTGACATTCCATGCAAACACCATGATGCATAGGATGGGACATTTTGAATGCCTTTCCTATAGGTATATATGTGTAGGTGTGTTTGTGTGTGTTTGAGAGAGAGAGAGAGAGCGAGAGAGAGAGAGAGAGAGAGAGAGAGAGAGAGAGAGAGAGAGAGAGAGAGAGAGAGAGAGAGAGAGAGAGAGAGAGAGCGAGAGCGAGAGAGAGAGAGAGAGAGAGAGAGAGAGAGAGAGAGAGAGAGAGAGAGAGAGAGAGAGAGAGAGAGAGAGAGAGAGAGAGAGAGAGAGAGAGAGAGAGCCATGCCTACCCAGATAGCACCAGAGATTTGCATGGGCCTGTAAGGACTGATCATTCCATTGTAGCGGATTGACAAATCACTGGCCAGAGGTCCTGGATGAGCATGGTAAACACAGAGTCAAGACACGATACACTCTTTTAATTAAAGACCTTAATTCACACCACAAAATTGAAAATTGCTGTTAGTTTCGTATCGCTTTCTGGCTTGGCTGCTTCAATTTTGAACAAATGCAAGTCAAAGGCTGTGGAGCTTGTTATTGCTAAGACGCGAAGGTTTGTGAAAGTGGAGTGGAAAGCAAGGTGATGGAAAAATTGCACTGGATGTTTAAAGAAGTGACTTTTGAAGCACCAACTGAATTTTTTATCCAACTCAGATCCGGTATATAACGATAATTATGAGTGTATGTTGTACTGGAAACAACGGAGAAGTAAAGAACATGCAGCGTGAATTTCTTTCCAAGCTCCCAACATTTCCCCATGCCCCGTATGACAAAGGCTTGTTAGAAGAAATACATGTACAGTCAACTTCGCTTATAACGACATTCGGCGGGGCATCAAGAAAGTGTCCTTATTCGCGAAGTGACGTTATACCCGAAGTCTCATTATATGAATTACAGTTGGATGGAACTTTGCTCTGGGCATGGACATTCTGTCGTTATTCGCGAATTGTCGTTATATCCGCAGTCGTTATTAGCGAAGTTGACTGTATAGATGAATAGATGACGACTACACCATAGCTTAGTGGTAGAGTATCTCTGCCGGGTCATAAGCGAAGGTTCTTGGTTCGAGTCCTGGTGGTGACAAACAAGTTTTTTTCTTCAGACTTTCCCCATTAAACTCCCTCAACCTTATGAATAAAAGAAATACATTGCCATTTGTGAACTACCCCTTACTTACCGTTCACACCCTGACTGTCACTTTGACCCAGGAAGTATTCCTCAGAAAACTGCTCAGTAACATCTGGCCAGGTCTGAACATCCTCGGCGCCCTCTGTCAGGGTCTGATTGCACTTCTCCAGAGCCTCTGCACTGCTCCACGACTGCACGGTGGTGCCTCCCCAGTTGTTGCTGCAATCGGAACATTGAGTAATTTACCTTTTTTTTAAAGAGCTGGTGCTTTAATGATCATAGCAAGAGTGCATAAAGCCCGGATGTTATCAGTGGCAAAACACTATGATCAAGAGTATGGTTACCATGCCAACAAATGTTCTATGCGAAGGTGATTGTGAACCGTGCAGAGTGTATGCCATTGCATAGTTGTTCTCGTGCAAGGCTTGCTGTACATCTCACAATAAATTGCTTTGTGGTTTACTACACATCATTGTGATCAGTTTGGCCAGTTAATCTGAGCTCTCTGGTGATGAGACCTGACAAGGTAGAAACAGCTAGCTGTCCGGAGATTGAGTACAATTATACTACACAAATGGTTTGCTCTAGAACAGGACTGTCCTATTGAGGCCGGGGTGTGGCTATACAGTCATGTACAGACAACTTTGCGTATAATGGCACTCGGCGGGGCATCAGAAAAGTGTCCTTATACCAGAAGTCTCATTATATGTATTACAGTTAGATGTGGTGTAAGCAGCTGCCGTGAGTTCCCTTCGGGAACGGACACGATAATTTACTTTTTACTTTTTTTAGATGTGACTTTGCTCTGGGCACGGAAATTCTGTCGTTATTCGCGAATTTTCATTATATCCGCAATCGTTGTTACCGAAGTGGACTGTATCTGTGTATCTCTACTTTTAAAATTGCACTTTTCTTGTAGAAATGTAGATATGGTGGGTGAGCAGAATAAGTAGACTTCATAGCGACCGGTCACATGGTGACTGTGGGAAAGAACTTACTTGCTTACATCTAGAATTTGAAGTTATTTACGCTGTGTCAGGAATACATAATGACAAGGCGGATAACCTCAAAGGAAACGGTATACCAGTATTTTCACAAACCGTCACCATACCTTATCAATCCAATAGGGATCTTGCCATCGAAGGACGTGTACAAGTCACGTCCAAAGAGCCAGCAGACAGCAGAGAAGTACTTCCACGCTCCGCCACCGCCAATGGATGCCTTAGATGCAGCCATCCAGGGCTAAAGCAACAGGCACAATATCGGGTGGTACGTCAAACCTCGTGGATGCTCATTTCAGCAGTACAACACTAGGATGTACATTGGAGGTCATCCTGAAGATGGTGGGCCTTTTTTCATCAGGCCCTGGCCGGACCACCTTTCTTTGCCACCACTCTGACTGTGTTTCACTGCCAAGCACAGTTACGGCACCCTGGGATCCCCATCTATTATATATACAGCACGTGAATGATTGGGCTATGACCAGAATCACCAAACTGATTCTTCCTGTCTCGTGTGACAATTTCACTCTAAAATGGGCTTATTCTGGAATATTTTTGAATTCAGTTCTGCTGGTCATAGAGTGCACGCAAGTGCCATACTGATGGACACACACGAGTTCTCTACTCTATTATTGAGCTGGTTCCAACATAATAATACTATGTTGAAACCAGAACCAAAGCAAAAAAATCCATTCATGAAGCACCATAGATATTCCATTTCGTGCGCCCCCACATGAACGCTTGCGCACAACTTTTCTAATGTTGGATGTAACTGTACTGTGCTGTTCACGGCCTTACCTCTGTGATGCCCAGCAGCTCCAGTTCTGGCTTCAGCGAGGGCTTCAGTGCAACAGTGAAGACGCGAATGTTGGGAAATCCATCTGCCTGCAGGCAACCAAACAAGCGTGCACGCTGCCTTTATTACCATGACAGTCGTTATTACCATGCCAGTCGTTATTACCATGCCAGTCGTTATTACCATGCCAGTCGTTATTACCATGCCAGTCGTTATTACCATGCCAGTCGTTATTACCATGCCAGTTGTTATTACCATGCCAGTCGTTATTACCATGCCAGTCGTTATTACCATGCCAGTCGTTATTACCATGCCAGTCGTTATTACCATGCCAGTCGTTATTACCATGCCAGTCGTTATTACCATGCCAGTTGTTATTACCATGCCAGTCGTTATTACCATGCCAGTCGTTATTACCATGCCAGTCGTTATTACCATGCCAGTCGTTATTACCATGCCAGTCGTTATTACCATGCCAGTTGTTATTACCATGCCAGTCGTTATTACCATGCCAGTCGTTATTACCATGCCAGTCGTTATTACCATGCCAGTCCAGACATACTACAGTAAAACCTGTCTAAGACGACGGCTCAGGGACATTCAAAACGTGGTCTCTGTTACCAGGTGGTGGTCTCCTTATCCAGGGTAATTTGAGTGGTAATATTATAACATCCCTGGGTCCTGGTTGCAATGGTCTTCTGGGACAGGTGGTCGCCTTATCTGAGTGGTCGCCTTATCTGAGTGGTCGCCTTTACAGGTTTTACTGTAGAACTAGAGTCTGAACCCTTGATGAACACGGTTCCATTGCCCCCCCCCCCCCCCCCCTTTAAATTTTATTTTTATTCCTTCAGTTCTGACCATTGGATTCGGCCACTTACTACTTCAAGTGAGAGTATCTGGACTTACAGCTGCTGCTTCTGCGGTGGCGTTGAAGGCCTGATCGAGAGTGAACTGCATGTTACTCTGTCCGCTGCAGATGTAGACGTCACCGAACAGGACATTCTCCATGGATAGCACTGTCGTGTTGGCTTTGGACGATGCAGTTACTACATGCGGACCACCTGCAGACATGAGCACAGAGGAAATTGTCCATGTGTGTGTGTGTGTGTGTGTGTGTGTGTGTGTGTGTGTGTGTGTGTGTGTGTGTGTGTGTGTATGTGTGTGTGTGTGTGTGTGTGTGTGTGTGTCAAGATGTTCAACTATTTGAAAGATTTTCTTCTGGTGGAGGACGGTTGTACGGTCTCTTGTTTCTGGCCTCCGTCCGTGCTTGTTCTCGCCGTTGTGGACGGCCTGGGGTGTCCCCAGCCGTCCAGGCCAACAGTGCCTGAGGTGGGGTATTCACCGACAGGAGACTTGGTCGGATAGTTACGATGCCGACACTCTCCTCGTCGCCACCACCTCGGAGTCCTTCGCGAGGCTTTGCAAGCCCGCGAGTGGAGCAAACTACCGCACGAAGACGACGACTTGGAACGACTCTGAGCGTTGGCTCATGGAATGTTCGCTCTGTTGTGGAGAGTGATGGACCAGTTCTAGCGGCAGCCGTGAGAGGAATCGTTTCCGATGATAAGCCAGATCCATAGCTGCTGGAGATGGGTCTCTCGAACAAGGTCCCGCTCGTCGTTCTATATTGTCGGCCCCGTAAGGGGACACGTGACCGTAATGGCAGTGTTTACCAGGACCAGGACCAGGTGTGTGTGTGTGTGTGTGTGTGTGTGTGCACGCATGCGCACGTATGGGGGGGGGGGGGGGGTAGTCACGCACGACATACATCAAAACAGGTAAATTACCATCGTATGCATACGCTCCAATACACTGTGTCATCACATGAAGTCTGCAAGTCATCTTCGCACACCTTGACTAGCTCAGGCTTTTCACACACATACTCATTTCATCAGCTTGTGCATGCTGTAAGAGTACTTAGATGTTGTTAGTTGACAGCATGTAACAAGGCGGAGACCACCGTGTTCGGAAACAGTGATCTTGCTACCGTTGAACCTCCGTGGTTGGTAGAGCCCCGCGTGTAAGATCACTGTTTCCGAACACGGTGGTCTCCGCCTTGTAACATGCTGTCAACCAACAGTATGTTTCAACAAAACAAGGTTTATCTAATAGGAGTACATACATGTACATACATGCACTTCCCAACGGATTTTTATTCCCCGGTGAACAATCCCTACCGGCCTCCATTGGTGACAGCATGGCCTTCCACATTCCGGTGCTATCTGCCGTAGCTGCAACACCCGGTGTTTTATCCACAGTCACCGTGACTGTATCCTGGGGTTTGGACCAGCCCCACACGGCAGCTTGCCGGGGTGCACGTTGTAACACCTGCAGGATTCAATCAAAGTGAGTGGTCCAACATTTCCAGTGCTAGGAGTCCATCATGTTCAATGCTTGGAGCAAAACATAATTATGGTTTACGCCATTGCCTGACACTTGGTCAGACCCAGACCGTGACATGATTTGCCGCATCCGTAGGACCGCCATCACCCTCAAGGATCAAGGCACCTGAGACAGAGCTAGGCAGCTCCAAAAGTGGGGGGGGGGGGGGGGGGGGGGTAAAATGAGAGTCATGAGAGTCGGATTATGAGACCCACCACAATGTGGTCAAAAGCCGAAAATCCCTTCTGCATCCGTCGAGCGAAATATCCGTAGCAAATGCACGTGCATTCCCATCCCGCAAAGAGTATTCAGCTGAGGTGCGCCCCTGGCTGTCTTCACAGTCGATAACATGCAGACTGACTCAATAGGGCTTGAAAGTGATACGTCACAGCATAGCAACAATTTCAAATATTCAAAAACTGGATCCACTCTTGGATCCAGTTTTTGTATGGATCCAAGCACATTTCAAGCGGTCTTACCCACAGCATGGTGATGTAGCCAGTGAAACTGACTGATTTGGCTACTGGGGGCGGGGTTACAACTGGTGGCGAAATAAAAGTCACACCTGCATGCGACATGAGTGGGTTGCTATGCACCCACATACTTAGGCAATAGCAAAGTCACACCTTAGTGGATCCAAAAATAGAAATCTGATGTCAACTTACTACTCCCTGGCCGTTTTGACGTCATCACTTTCAAGCCCTATTCACCATTCAGACCAGGGAGTAGTATTGCGATAAAATGAACCGCTGTAGCACCTACTCCACTTTTATGTCTATGTACAATGTATCTATGTCATTCGGATCTTCCCAAGTTGTACAATGTACTGTTGAGATACCGAATTCAAATAAATCAATACCATACCAAACTACTCCCTGGCCAAAAGCCTCCACATAATATGTTTACCGGTACATGTTGTCAAGAGTCCATAAACTGTTTATGCACTCTTGATGTTATGTATTGTACTACTCCCTGATTCAGACCAGGGAGTACAGACTCAGTAGTGCAATAAATAATTTATATTATTGTACTACTCCCTGATTCAGACGGAATATCTTACCACACCCGGTACACCGCAATCATGTAGTACTTCAAGTAGATCTACTTCGAAAAAGCTAGCCGGATAGCCCAACCGGGACATGTCATGCATACCCTCCAACACAGTGAGTCACTTGTTCCACACGCTTACCCACCCCCTACCCTTACCATGTTTGATCCCAGCGTGTTGGACAGCCTGAAGGAGAAGTCCTGGGCGTCGACACGCTCCAGGAGGCCAGCGGCCACTGCGAAGCCCAGCAGCAACAGCGATCGTGAAAGCAAAGCCATGATGGTGGACGGGGACTCACCAACTGCTTTCTTGGTGATAATACTACCGACAGAGAAAGGAAGACTCTCAGGTACTGAACCAAATTTCAGCAGTGTGTAACTGATCGTTGTGAGTGCTAGTGCCGTTGTGGAACAAGTCTCCCCAAACCGGCCCCCTGCTTGACTTGATCCCCATGATCCCACACTGTACTGGGCCACAGTCCTGACCACCTCTCGACCCGCGGCTATGACATCGCAGTTCGTAGAGCTACCTACGCCTACTGTAGCGCCTACTCTTCACTACTTGGTAGCTGCATGCATATGCAGAGCCCGGTGAATGAACGCTAGTCATTAGTGAGTTCGATGAAGTAACCAGTTACGTTAGTTAGTTCGTTAGTAAGCACGCAGGTCGCCGGGTCCATTTTGTTAGTTGACGGGATGAAGGGGCATGGCAAGGGCTGGGCGGCCTTGTTCTGGACAACATTTTGTCATCAATATCACGTGATACCCACATTATGCTAATGCTAATGAGTGAGCCTGGGAGCCATTGCCCATGACAGACCAGCATGGCGAGATCTATGCATGAGGGTCTGTGCATTGTGATATTCCGACAGATCCTGAAACAGTCAAACTCAGGAAATAGCACTATCATTATCACTCAGGCTGCAATATTCATAGTTATGGACATATTCATAAATGACATATCTTCAATACCCATGAGCTACATTGTATATATTATGATATAAGTATCATAATTATTATTATCATCGTTCTAGCTCATTTTTTCCCCTGTCATAGTCCTGTTTATCATGTTCAGCATAAGCGAAGTTGTGGATCATGCTTGCAGGGTTGACTCCAACGCGTACATGCAAGTAATAATAATAATAATAATGAGTAATGGGCAGGGTGCCCATTTATAACAGCTGGACAAGTAAATCATGAACAAAAAAGCAAATGTCATAAATCTGTATCATCACCATGCATCTGCATCAGGACATTGCACCGCAAGACATGTACTTAGAACATACTTCGAAGTACATGTAGAGCATATACAAGCACATCCCCGATTGGAATGATTTTTTCCCGGTTCCCCCCCCCCCCCATGTATTCCTCACTGGACACCAGTACAAACTGGTGGAGCATGAGAGAAAGATTGCTGTCTTGGAAGCCATGCAGCATCTGCCTCTTTAGCTGGGTTCGAGGATTCATTCGGCAGCTCGCCAGCGGACATGATGAAACAACTACGGTACTCGTTTCGTCAGTGGATGCTGACGAGAAGCAGGGAGTCGTGCCTAGTTGCAACGCTGACGCCGAGACCTCTGGTCGGTTGAGTTGCTCCCAGCACATCAGCACGTCGTCCCTACATCCCCTATGTTTTGTCCTTTTCCTCGTTTCTTTTGTTCTCCACCTGTATTCCAGTAGGGCTGTGTCAATAGTAAAAAAAAAAAAAAGTCGTAAAATTCAGTGGCATTAATTTTGACAACTACATCATGAGAAGAAACTAATTTACTTACATCGATCCTTGGACTATGAAGTATATGATCATGGCGTAGAACTGATCCAATAGTGCAACAATCCAACATGAAGTCAGCAACATGGGATACACACATCTGAATGTGAGGAGGGGAGGGGAGGAATATACTGGTGTGGTTCTCTGAGTATGAATGAAAGTTCTCTGAGTTAGGTACATGTAGCCAGTTCAGACAGAAAGATACTGACACAAGGCCGGGCTAGCACATACAAACGACTACAAGTACTTTGAGGAACATGCAAGCCCTGAGTTCCGGCACAGCTGCGGCTGTGCACTGCCATGTGACAAACACGTTGAAAACCGCGGTCCCGAATTAGCAACTGGATATTGAGGTGGTGCTGCTCTACAATGGCCGTTCAAGTTATCTTAGAGAGCTGCCACTGTCACTGACGAGTACAAGTGACTTCAAACTGGATTTGCGAAAAGAGGTTTTTTTTATACAAGAATCATCACAGGCCAGCCTGGACAAGATCAAAAGAAAATGGACGGTGAAAAACAACCGGCCGTCATACAATGACAAGAAAGTCTGAGAAAGAAAATAATATAACAATTCCGGTACTCTTTGAACAAACTCGACGGATATTTAAAAAACAAACAAAAACGTTGAGTGACACAATTCTGCGTATAGTCAGTAGCACGGACCATGTTGATACCTGACAAAGCAAGATGAGAGACTTCTAGCCATTTAAAAGGGAAATTGACTCAATAGTTAGTTCTAGTATGGTTGATGTATAACATGAAAAATAAATATAAAGTTGATCATGACTGTCGTTCCGTGTTGATTAGTGTGCTGTGAAAATAGAGACCGGAAAGCGCAAGAAGACCGACACTGTGATGAAGAGTTAAAAAGCAAGACAATTCCACGCTTCCCTTGCCTACCTTCTGGCGTAGAAGAGAAGATACGCGCTGGTGAGCAGGAGCCGAGAGTTTATCACTGAGCTCATGTCGTTTACGGGATACACCGCATTATCGTCGAGCTTGTACCATTCCCCTGATGGTTGCTCCTTAGCATACGCGATGTAGTGGCCAAACGATGCGTTCGTCTGGCCGATATGAGTACACACCGCACACAGGTCATAGAGCGCATGGCCATCATCGACACCAGCACCCGCACCACCGTCGTCAAACTCAATGCACCGAAGAGATAGACCGGTCAGTGGAAACGACACCGGCAGGAGGACCTTCTGCGTAGAGTTGCGCGTCTGGTCGTACGCAAAGCGGAGCAGCTGTATGCACAGCACTGGTGGAGGTCTACGGATCACCTGACGACACAGCGCAACGTCACCGCATTGGCAGTGCTCAAACTGGAATCGCTCCACCTGCTCAACACGGGAAAAGTGTTCGAGGCACGTGGCAAGTGGAATGGACTCTCCTGACTGCGACACTGGAGGTAAGGGCAGAGAGAGGATACTGCAAGGCTCACTCCGCACCAACAAGCATCGACATTGTTGACAGCGACGCTCGGCCACTACCTGAAACGAGACACAGTGAGATACGGGAGAAATGGAGAAAAGAAGCCGCTCGCACTCCACCACAACAGAGGCGAGACTATGGGTAATAGTATCATTCCCGGTAGGGACAGACAACAATTGGTTGCACTTGGCAGCTATTTGGTTGAGTGATGTTGCAGTCAGTGTAGGCAGTTGTCGCAGGAGATTCTCAGTGTCATTATTTGCACTGCCAACGGTTTGGCATATTAGTTCCACTTCCTGTTCTGCCAGGTTCTTCAGCCCGGGGGAAGACTGTGGGCAGCGCATCCCTGTCGTGTGCCATAAGCCAAAGAGCCACAGGAGGAACTCACTGGTGTCGGACTGTCGTTGACCGTATAGAGAAGCAGCAGGGCTAGCTACAACTGAGCCAGGTAAACCGGATGCCAACCGACGGAATGCTATCGTGTCGATTACACGGGGAGCACACGACTTCTCAGCTGGCTTCCTGCATTGCCGGAGCAAGGATAAACTCTCCGCAAGTAACTGCCTCTGCAAGACACAGTCCACAGCAGTGCTTCCGCCATCAGCGGCGGAAGCTGCTGCAGCCAAAGAATCAGCAAAGCCCGGGCAACGGGCCAAGCACTGCACGGCCGAGTTGAGAAAGCAAAGGTTCTGGCCAGAGTTGAGAAGCCCAGGTGGATAGGAACTGCTACTAGTGATCAGATGCTGCTGCTGCTGTGGCGGCAAGTGGAGCGTGCTAGTTTCTCTCTGATGTGTTGGACCTAATGAACTAGTACTGTAGAGCGAAGATGAAGATAAGACTTCACACGCAGGTTTCCAGTGACCCATGGCCCAGTCAAACGACTTTCTAAGTTTTGACAAGTGACCGTCATATCCACTTCCTAACTGAGTAATACCAGTGCCAGCAGGTGCTTCATGGACTGTTTCACTAGTCCCTCTGGAACTAAATCGTGACTGAGGTATTACTGCAGGACGAGCTGAGAGCGGACGCCTCTGCAGGAGTGACACATTGCCAAAATGGCTAGAGCCATTTGACTTTTTGCAGCTAGCAGCTGTTCCGCTTGGTTGATAGCTGGGCGATGTGTAAAAATCAATGTCATCATCACTTTCCGAGGTCAGGTGCCGCATGGACGGAGCTCGTCTCCTACTAGAGGCAGCAACTGGTAGCGTACTAGTGGAAGATGGCCTGCTGGTCCGATAAGCTGCCATGAATCGCAGCAATATAATGAGAACAGCCAGTATGAGCAGGATTGGAACGTGATGAATGAGGAACAGCACACACCCAATGCCTGACAGCAGCACCACCTCCATAACCCACTGCCACGTTTGCTGTTCTTCTGGTGACATGATACGCTGCTGGGCCAGTGAATGCGTTCCCATTTCGACAACAGCCACGGCTAGTATATCCATCAGTAAGCACCTTAGTACCTGCGTCCATGGTGCATCCAACCCTACAACGGCATCTATAGTCACATACGACATTGTGCCATCGACTTAGAACAACACGAAGTTACAAAACGACTCGGAAAATAATGTCTGGAGCTGTATGCTTCTGGGCTACATAGCAGGAGTCTCCAACAGGGAGGCACGCAACAAGCGTGTTACTGATTCAGTCACCTCATCTTCAGCATGAAATCAGCTACGTTTCGGAATGTCTCCAAGCACAGAAGCCAAATCTTCCAAAGCTGGCCAAAGTAATAATTATTTCTGGTTTTCACGAGCCGAAAAGGCAAGATATTAATTTTGTTCAGCTCACCAAGACTAAATCCAAATTTCTGTACGCCAATCCAGCGTAGCTAAATAAAACGGCTTGGCTCGTCTTCCTCTCTCACGGCAAGAATATAGAGAAAGAAAACGGCGTCGTTACTGCCAACTAACTTTACTTAGCTCAGGAACAGCTACCCAACACTGAAAATATTCAAATCCACCATGCATGGCCACTGCTTTCGAGAAAATTGAAAATCGTCATCTTTCAAAGATTCGAGTGCCCAATACGTCATCGCGGAGGCATGGTAACAGCTGAAATGTCGCGAAAGGGCTTGACAGCGTACTAGCGTCGCATCTTTTTGAGTGTGAGCGAGTAGCCATGGTAGCTCCACTGGATCATGGAACGCAGCTCCACTCGACTCGTCGATCATAGATGTACTCCGAACCATGTAGACCCAGGTGCTCGAAGTCCGTACACTTTTACCGTGTGTGTTTGCCGAGCTGAAACTCACACTAGCAATGATCACTTGCCAGAATCCTGCTCGTGGATGGAAGGTATCTTGTCCAAGTTTGTTCTGAGGCCAGGCTCGATTGAACCAGGCCATCTTTCGATCCGATCTGTTTCTCTGGAGTTCGCTGATTTTTCATATCAAATTTTGGTGTCGCAGAGGGTACTCTAAGTCCGTACTGATCAGAGGTGACTCGAAATACGCACATATTTCCGCTAATTGCTAACTTGCAATCCCTCGGTTACCACGAAAGCACCGAAGGGATATGTTTGGCATGTGCCTCCACCAGTTTTTCTTGCAAAAGCGTAGTTTGTTGGCGAAATGCAAGCTGTTTTTAGTCGGCTCCGAGAAGAAGCAGCTGCGCTGTGAAAACCGCGGGAAAACAGTGGTGGAGATGCCAGGAGTGTCAACCTTTCTGCAAGGATTGGTGGTTCTCTGTAAATTCTTCTCCTCTGGCCATTGTCAGCTCTAAGCTGGCTCTTGATGATTGAGTGAAGGTCCGTTTGACGCTGTGTCCGTTCGAAATCGGTCTTGGCAAAGTTGATTTTTGCATGAAATGTAACCCAATTTGTATTTCGTATGGACACTCGAAAACCCACTCGCGTGGTATGGGACTTCTGCTTATCGTAGATCCCTGAAAATTGGTACGCGAGGAGAACATACCACACTGTCCCCTCCATAAAATATTTGAGTCGAATACAATAACAGAACATGAAATTATGGGCGTACGAACTTAGGATACCATGTACGGACTTCGAGCACCTGGGTCTACCAGGGAGTCGTACCCACACCTGGTTTGGCCTTGGGACGTTGGGTATGACTCCTGCTCCGAGCCATCGGAGAAAACAGCGTCGAGAGAAGGTGACAGGACTCAGAACGACTCTGATGACAGAGAGGGGTTTTGCGAAGGATGAATTGGGCAAGAGACACCAAAGTTTCACAGAAGAGATTTCGTGCCTTTCAAGTTTTATGAGGTTGAAAAGTTGAGCCATGTTGCATCGGATGGAGAGTCGCTCGAGCTGAGGGATCCTGTAAAAACCGTGCGGTACGAACTCAAGCCTAGCTTGAGGGTGGAATCCGCAGTTGGATGGTTGGACTTTATTGCCATGACGAGTGCATGCTGCCCTCACTGAGCGGTTTACCGTGATCATTGCCCATTAGCTTGTGACCAATCGATCGACAGTGTGACCGTCCGAAACAACGTCATTGTACTCTAGCGAACACTATTCGACCGTACAGGACTACTATTTCTACTACCGGTATACCAGCCTTTGGGTACCACCAGCCACTATTTCTCCAACAGCAGGGGAAAGCCCGGGCAAACCATGGGCGCAGGAGCCAGTGTGCGTCGGAAGATGGAGGCGGAGCGGGAGCATTATGATGAGCAAGTCAAGACCGTGTCGGAGAAGCTCAGTAAACGAGAGGAAGAGCACGCAGCGGAGACGAACAAGCTTAGGACGGAGAACGCATCACTGAAGGAGGTGAGGGGTATGGTCCGGGCACACAGCATAGCACTCCTATCACCGCACACAAATCACTCAATCATTTGTTCTTTCGCATGCACTTGCAGGGCTGTAGGCTAGCACCAGGGTTTCAGGTGGGCCGGCGGGGCATGAGATACCTGACTGGAAATGAACATCACGGCAAAGAGTCTGTTTTGCACGAATTCAGCGGGTCAATCTTTTTTCGAAATAAAATCCGGCCATGGCCCAACTAGCCTGACTGGGTACTACGGCCCCGGCTTGCCCAGCCCTAGTGGCAAAAGTCTTTTCGAGTCGTTCTCATAGACTCATAGTCATACAAGTATCATTTTTTTGGTTATTTCTTTAATTAACACCTATATTGGATTTGTGTGACAGTCCATACATGTACATGTAGATGTATATGGATGGCTTGTCTACTGTTTTTGATCCTTCCACTCGTCCCTGTAAGTGGCACATTCCTTGCACAAATTGGCAATTGATACGATTATGGATTCTGGACGACCTCGCCGACCAGTCTTCCGAAGTAGAGATGTACTAGCATGGTTCACAGCGTGTGACTGATCACTCTTTTGTTTGTACCAAAAATGGATTGACCAGGCTGATGCAAATGTTCCCGTGCATGTGTTATGTTCTCAGAACATCAAGCAGCTTCGAACCGATCTCGTTGAGGAACGAGAGCTCTGGAGGCAGGAGAGGGAAAAGACCGTGTCAATGATGTTTGGTGAGTGCTCAGACCGTGCAACTGCACACTGCCGAGATTGGCCGAGCTCTTTCCTTTTCACACATGTAATGCAGGCACATAGCCCGCACGGGCGCGAGGTGCATGTGCCCACACCCCCCCCCCCCCTCCCTAACAATTTAGACCTAGGTTCAGCATGCACATAATGACCATGAATGACATGCACCAGTCATCCTACACATATGCGGCCATGCACTCCCCAGAAGAAGGGGGACCAGGTACATGTACGTCCTTGCAATAGTTTCATTGGAGTAAGAACCAACGCTATAAATATGCACTGCAGAGGTTATGCGAATGAGGTCATCGCCTGTGCCCTGGTATGGATCACAATGGAGTGACAGTCAGTGCTAGTTTGCATTGCCATTGTCAATGGAACATTTGTATGGAGTGACAAACCATTCACACAAATGGTGCTAGATATTAGTGGCTAGCCAGCACTGGCGCACCACTTCACCATTGCAGCAGCTTTACCACTTCATACAAAGGACCCCAAGTCCTGATGTAATCGCTAGTTTCCACAGACATGCCTGCCGCCGTCGTCTTAAATTGGAAACTAAAACCTTTTAAAATAGGCAAAGTTTGGGGTGTGTAAAAAAAACGCCAAAAATTCCACTCTATCTCACCGTGTAAGCTCACATGTGCCATGAATCAGTGTACAGCAACAACGGCATCAGCCGACACGACTCTCTCCCCCCGCAGCCTACATGTATGCACGACATAAGAAATGCAGTCATACATGTAGGTTACTTCTTACCCATGCGTGGAAATGGTCGCCTGCATGTGGATGTGGCTACGATTGAATTCCTGTCCACTGTGCTGCATACATGCAGGTCAACTGCCGCTGCCGCTGCTAGAAGCGGCGACTGGTCAAGCGGCGCGCAGCAAGGACACATCCACGGCTGTGTTGTTACAGAATGCACCCGTTCTCACCAAGACGTATCCCACTGCTGTCATTGCATGCTGGTGAGGCGAGTGTAGATCTTGCTCTGTTCAAGAACATAATTGCATACTTGTACGGTACATGAACAATGTTTCCGGTGCATGTTTAATTTTTATACCCAAGTTGGTCATGGAGTGTGCAGGCTGACCTTGATCCTTATCACCTAATGTTTAGGGTAGGTTGGCTGAATATTTCCAAGTTCAAATTGGAAGTAGTATGGTCAAACAGGCTTGAAGAGGTTCTCATGGTTTGTGATCACTTCACTGTTCCCTTGCATGTGCAGCAATGTCGTTGGCTTTCATCGCCTGGTCGGGAACATGTCAGCATCGGAGGCGGTAGATCTGACAGACAAGCTGCATATTCTGGTAGACCGGGCTTTCCAGGCTCCGTCGATGTTCGTGATCGAACGGTCTGCCGACTGCTGCACGGTAGTCTCGGGGATTTGCAGTGCAACAGAGCGTGACACCAATCCAGCAGAGCAGAAGCCTCAAACACCAATCGTAACATCCAGCAGCAGCGGTGGGATCGCCAATCATCGCCAGCAAACCCCTGACTTCAGCTTAAGTTCCCAGGTTCTGCCGGGGGCGATAGAGGACGACGGGGCTGATCTCTCACCTCGCCCGCGGTCAGAAGCGTGCACACCTGCTGGTGTAGGGAGTGCTCGTCGTGGCAATGCTGCACTGCATCAAGATGTGAGTATGTGGGAGTCAGTCAGCTGGGACTACGGAGACAACTGTAGTACATACTTCAAGTACCTGTTCTAGCATGAATACACTGCAATGCCTGACGAATAGCATCAAATGGGTGATGAAGAAAGTTTGATTTGGAGAGAAATGCTTTCCGAAGGGAGAAACTATAACTATGATACAGTCAGACCTCGCATAACCGCACACATCCGTTTTCCACAAAAATATCCGGATAGGCGAGGGAACCGGATAATCGAACACACATACTGTATGTATGCATGGCATATGCTGTAAATCGGTAACCACGGATTTTCTTCCGGATGGCGAGGGATCCAGATAGAAGAGGACCGGATAAGTGAGGTCTGACTGTAGCCTGTTGAACTGGGGATCTTTAAACAATTGAATAACCGTTTCTCGGAGACAAGCTTATAACGGCAAGAAAAACTGCAACCTTCAAACTCCCAGCCATAAGCATTAGCAATAGGACTCCTGGATTTCACAAACTAGATTTTGGCAGTGTTCAAGTAAACAGAATCGAAATGAAGTGCAGGGATATATGTCGCATCAATGGTGACAAATTCAGCGAAGTAACTACGTGCAAAACTTCAGGAGGAAAGAGGTGAGAGGTGTGACAAGATGGCAAAAAAATGCGGCATATCAACGCATTGACAAATTTAGTAATAGAAAGAAAAAAGGAGGAAAGAAAGATGATTGAGACGCGAGAGAAGAGGGGCAAAGAATACATAGCAATAGAACTACATGAAAGTGATACATCCGGCGAAGAAATAGCATGAGATAATAGGAGAGAGGAGGTGGGGCATGCAAGAGGGACAAGGAACATTCAGTGAAAAAGCAAACGTGCGAGTAACACTACATGGACTTTGTGCTGATCTGTTACCAATTGAAACAAATTCTGGACTATCTTCCTTCCGTGACTGTGCCCAGGGAGTTTGCACTGTACCATTGAACAGTGCTTCTCACACATTCTCATTTTCTCCCTTGTCGCAGGCTGCAGTGCAATGTGCCACGTCCATGGCAATGAGCAGTCTGCGGCTGCTGGAGTCCAGCGTCAGCGTCAACATTCCAGGCCCGAAGACGGAGGCCAATCACGGCCAGCTGCAGCTGAGGATTGCGCTGCACTCGGGCAGCATCCATGCTGGTGTGGTCGGCGTCACTCAACACAGCACTGGCCTGCCACCTGATCAGCTGCAGCATGCTACGCCGGTACCACGCCTGCACGTCTTCGGCAACACCTACAGTGAAGCTTTGAAACTTCGTGACACCTCTCTGGCACTACAAGTAAGTGAATCTTTTTTAGGGGTGAAACGGTTACCCTTTAAGGTGACAAACGGGTATCTGGCTTAACGGGCGGGTTATCGGGTACCCTTTATCCGCCATACTTTTTCCAAAAACATTGCATTTGCTTGTGATCGTAAGCGCAACATGTCTTTTACAGGCATTCTGATAGGAGAGAGATTTTCGGGCAACAGTTACTACTATAGCCTTCCGGATTTCACGCCAGGAGAATATGCGAAGTCATGCAAGTACACTACACCGCGACAAGCAGAGCGTGCACACTCACTGCACTACATGCAAACAGTGAAAATTGTCGTAGCTACAATGGTTGCTGTGATATGTAGCAGGATTGAACGAGGAAAAACACACTCAAAACTGCATGTGCACCGAACTGTACAACTGTACAAGCAAGCTTATAATAGGGAGGTTCTGCTATACGTGAAACGTAGAGAAATCACGTAGAGAGCAGGTGTCTGGGTTAGAGTCTACGGCTTCGCGTGTTTTGGCTCCAGATTTCTACGCGGAGATGGGGTTCTCTACGTTATGGCACACGCAGAGAAAATGCGTACGGATTTGCTTGGTATCGATCAACTGCATGCAGAAAACTGCCAAATATGGAAGGGAAAATTCCCAGTACACATTCCACGTGACTACTCTAGGTGAAACGTAGAGCAGAACAGCATTTCTTTGCGTTACGGGAACGCGAAGAAAGTTCGCGTGATTCTTTGCGTCGCGTTCCCAAAACGTAGAGCAGAACCTCCCTAATGCTGTACCCTACCATCCTACACGACTATCGGGTACTCGTTTGCTAACGGATCAGCAGCTAAACAAACGGGTACCCGGGTTACCCGGATCACCCCTTTCACCCCTAATCTTTTTTCAGGTATAGGAAATTAGAGGCCACATGCCACGTACTGCTCTTTTCTCTCCGAAACTCAATACTTGCAAGCCAGATATGAAAGAAAGAAAAAATCATCAGTCACACCACCGGGACTCGAACCAGGGACCTTGCTATTCGCGAGCAATGCTCTAACCAACTGAGCTACAGTATGACTCTTATGCACAGTGATGGTAAATCTATCCTTCTTCGATCAATCCACATCTGGCTTGCATCATACTGGCAACTCACACCAATCAATAGGGCCCTCAGCCATTCGCTTGATATCATGGGGAGCGCATCAAACTACAGTCAAATCTGTCGTAAGCGACCGCCCCTTGGTGCAAGAAAAAGCGGTCGCTTACGGCAGATGGTCTCTTAGGGCAGATGTATGGTAAATCCGGCATACCAGGTATATGCTTCCATGTACTCAAATCGACGAGAATAATGTGATTATCATTTTTATTGGATATTCAACGACGACCATACCCGTATAGTACGCGTATGCGACACGGCAGTAGATCGACACTGCCTGGACTTGAGAGCTAGAGCGCAGTCTCAGTACAGGCCAGGCGCCAGTCAATCGCACTTGCAAGACAGCGCATTTTCACACTTTGCAGTTGACAGCGCACTGGCAAGTACAGTTTCGCACCTTACTGAACCTGGGTACCGGGTCGCGGTCCCTTACAGCAGATTTGAATGCAGCCACCGCGTGCATGAAATCGCGGTCGCTGGTCGCGCACAGCAGATGGTCGCTCTGGACAGATCAGTTTGTATGTGAAACCGTCGGTGCACGGAAAATCGGTCGCTAATGGTAGATGGTCGCCTACAACAGAGGTCGCTAACGGCAGATTTGACTGTATGTCCACTGCGAGCAAATACAAATTGCAATTTCAAATTTGGACGTCACGGAGAATTTCAGTTTTTAGGAAATTAGAGGCCACATGCCACGTACTGCTCTTTTCTCTCCGAAACTCAATACTTGCAAGCCAGATATGAAAGAAAAAATTATCAGTCACACCAGCGTATCATCAGTCGTACTGTAGCTCAGTTGGTTAGAGCATTGCTCGCGAATAGCAAGGTCCCTGGTTCGAGTCCTGGTGGTGTGACTGATGAATTTTTTTTCTTTCATGTCTGGCTTGCAAGTATTGAGTTTCGGAGAGAAAAGAGCAGTACATGGCACGTGGCCTCTAATTTCCTAAAAACTTTGAAATTCTCCGTGAAGTCCAAATTTGAAATTGCAATTTTTTCAGATACTTAAAGGGGGCAAAAATTAAAATTTCACCAGTTGTAGTCTTCGGGGTGCCGAGTCGAATGGTCTTGGTCCGAGAAAGCTGAGACGCTCCCTTCCTACTTGAATCCCAATCGAACTCGCGCACTTCCACCGAAACTGGGTGACTGCGCCCTACTAGATGGGGATTTGTATGCAAAATGTCACTAAAAGCGCCGTTTCGTTCTTATAAAAGCACGGATGACCGCGATTGGCCCATATGTTGTAGTCTTTTGGACGCTGAGTCCACTGGTTTTGGTCCGAAAAGGCTGCGATGCAGCGTTCCTCCTTTACTCCCAATCGAACATGATTGAACAAGCGGTCACGTGCTCCGTACACCAGTCAGCTGGTCACCGTGCCTGCAGGGTACAACTTACTAGCCTGTTTGACCTTTTTTGGGTGCAGTCCTGTCACTCGAGTTGAACTCGAGTTGAACCTTGGTGTGAAAGTTGTCGCCTGCTGGCGTGGTGACCAGGTGATTTGGGCACCCAGGAGCACGTGACCACTTGTTCAACCATGTTCGATTGGGAAAAAAGGAGGAACGCTGCATCGCAGCCTTTTCGGACCAAAACCAGTCGACTCAGCGTCCAAAAGACTACAACATATGGGCCAATCGCGGTCATCCGTGCTTTTATAAGAACGAAACGGCGCTTTTAGTGACATTTTGCATACAAATCCCCATCTAGTAGGGCGCAGTCACCCAGTTTCGGTGGAAGTGCGCGAGTTCGATTGGGATTCAAGTAGGAAGGGAGCGTCTCAGCTTTCTCGGACCAAGACCATTCGACTCAGCACCCCGAAGACTACAACTGGTGAAATTTTAATTTTTGCCTTAACTTCCCCTTTAAAAAACAGTTACCAAAAAAGTCATCCATTCAGATCTGGATATCAATGGATGACACTCACTCTTGGGACAGCAAGCAGCCTCCACCATGTTGGGTTTCATCAGCGGTGTTCTGAGATTGACTGGCCGAATTGATTGCAATGAAGTCGAGTGAACAACAAAGCGATTTACTAGTATATTGTCTCAAAGCATGTACGTAAGACTGCTCGAGCTGCAAAACAGAGCAAGCATTGCACTTGGGTAGTATCGATAGCTGACATACATTGTACGAATCATGTCTAATCTTTTGCATTTGGGCACCAGCGTACGTTTGGAGATTACAATGCAAGGGTGGGGGCTGCAGGAATGTTGAACCTGATAATCTTGCGCATCACACCATCCCTTCCATTCAGACGCACTGATTTAAAACTGAGGTGTGCCACCCCTAACATCACTTCTTCGATCCATCACTCCCTTGTGATTCGGACCTTTGTGGCCTGCTTTTTTGTCTGTGGAGAAATCTACAATATAATTATGACTCACTCTTTCTGTTTGGTGTGTGTTTTCTGGATGGCTTTTGTAGATACGCGTGAGTCAGAGATTCCGTGAGCTGATCCTCGCCTCTCATTCAAAATTTGTCCTTGAGCAGTGTCCAGATTTCCAGTCATCCACCGGTGGTGCTGCAAGTAGTGCGCTTCAGCACACGTACTGGCTTGTCGGCACGGAGGACACCGATGTTGGTTTGCCACCATTGGACAGAGCTGTATCCCTTGGCAACTATGATGATCTGTGAACATGCACCATACAGTTCTGTGGCGTTCAATTTTGTTGAGTTTATAACATCAGACGCGCAGAGGTGTGTCTGATGCGATTATGTGATGCACATACATGTAAAGTTACATGTGTGTGTATGTGTGTGTGTGTGCGTGTGTGTGTGTGTGTGTGTGTGTGTGTGTGTGTATGAAACACGCTTGATTCACTCTGTTGACTCGCTACTGCTGCATCTTATTACAAAGGCATGTTTATGGTGCACGGTGCACCTGGAGTGCTGGCATAATCATCTGCTAGGTTTCCCACTGATAATGGCACAGAGCTGAGGGATGTTTCTTTTTCAATTATATTTCTTCGATCCGTTTGCGTGATCAGCATCCGATTCTGAAGACATAGGACATGTTGATCGAGACCTCATGGCCTTGCAAGGCGGTGCGCTGCAATCAGTGAGAGTGTAATATTATTCTCTGCTGACGCAAGCCTTGGCGCATTCAACTGATCTGTCATGGGATAGAGAATGGCAAGCCGGGTACAGGCAAAGAAATGAGGGACTGCATGAGACGCTGGTGACAGTGTGGCGTGTACAGGCGGAGACTTCTGTAGTTGCACCCGAACGGGTCTGCAGTGCCAGTGATAGATGGCTTCAAGGTAGTTACCTATCTCCGCTGCAAAGCGTGGCTTCCTGCTAACAGTTACCGCAAAAAAATACCAGATAACGCCACCTACATACAGCGTGGGCCATTGTTCACCCCAGTGTCTGGAGATACGTGGATTTTGTAGAAAAAAACAACAACAAAAAACTGTGTTGTCTTGGAGATGAACAGCTTAGCAACCGATAATCCATCCAAGTCTTGTTTCTCTGGCACCGGACGGGCGGACTTCATGGAGTACAGACTGTCAGTGTACAGATTACACTGACAGTGACAGCCTGAGCTGCTGAAGCGCAGCCTGCGCGGGCTGCGGCCAGTCCAGACTCCGAGTCTCAGGGCTGGGTGGAAAGTTGGAAACTGGAAAGCCAGACTCAGTCGAGTCAGTGCATACTTGGCTTGATTGTTGAGCACAGGCACACCACTACGGCACTAGAGCAACAGCCAGGTGTTGTCATCATGGTCATGCATGCAGCCGTCTCAACACATTTGATCTGGGAATGAGATGAGTTGATCTACCCGGCGTCAATCAACCACAATGCACAGTGCATTTTGCCCTTGATACAGTAGTACATGTACAATATTTGGGTAGCCGTCTTTGATTTGTCAAACAGTTTGCTCCGTATTTGAACATCAAGTGGCCAGTCCGGCTCCCCTGATATAGATACACCTTGGCTTCGAAGCAACGTTCCGGCGCAGGGTCAAGGTCAGCTCAATGAAACCACGGAACTATTATACTTGAGAAGGTCCGCGCTAAACTGGGAAGGTAGATGTGCAAGGGTGAGAAGAGCAAGAATGCATCCAAATCGTTGATTCAGAAATAGTTCGGATTGATCAATCAGTGAAAGCTTCAAGGCTACAAGTCCTGATCTTAGATAGACCTTGTTTTAGCAAAACCATGGCTTCCAGGCCTCCCTCTCGTCCGGGGAGCGCGCTGGCACGGAAATCCTCGAAAGGTCAAGCGGTCTCGCCGGGAGCAGCGGCAGCCGAAGCCAAGGCCAATGCCCGAAAAGAGATGGAGCGTAGAGCGGCTGCAGCCGTTCTAGCTGCAAAGGAGGCGTCGATCTTCTTCGAGCGCTATGAAAAGGCTGAGCTGCAGGAGGCACTGACACGTCGCTCGACGGACTGGCTGTTGAGCATTTGGGATGGCAGCTGCAAACATTCCACAGAAATGTCGGATGGTCTTGCTCCTGGCTTGCCCAAACCGGACACACAGAAAAGCCTGCAGTCCATGAGTGTGAGCAGCATGCAGGCTTTGCCCAACCCTTGCAGCGTCCTGCTGATCGAGCACTCTCCCAACTGGGAGCCACTGAAGCTGCGCGAGCTGCAGCAACTCATTCGCGAGCTCGTCGTGGGCATATACGTGTTCAACCAGCTGCCATGTGTTCAGTTCGATGCCCTACCCAATGGGTGTACCAGTGTTAGCATGCCACATGCTTACCAGGACACTCGACTAGGTCAGATCATGATCGAGGTGTCCTACCATCTGCAGTGCTTCCTGTACGGCACACACTTCTCTGGCGATAAGCGAAGCAAGTTTGTGGAGAAGTGGCAGGAGTTGGTGAACCAGCGATCGGACATAACGACTAGCGGCCACAGCTTGACGGCAAAGGAGAAGCAAAAGGTGGCGGAGGTGGCAGCCGAGTTTGAAATGGAAACACTGGCCGAAAACCCGGCATTCGTTGCCGGCTATCAAAGGCCAGTATTCAATAACCTACAGCGCTATGTTGGCCACACACATGATGTGGCTGCCGTGGAGACACAAGCCCAGCTGAGCGCCGTCAGTGGCAAGCATGTATGGAAAGAGGCAGTGAGCAGCTCTTCACTGCAGCTGCTGCTCGTGCCCAAGCCTGTCAAGGCCTATCGGACAATGATCAAGGTGGATGCGGACTGGACGGTGAACAGTTCTGTCAGATTACCCTCGGCAGGTATTAGTGCTGAGAAGCGTGCACAGTTGCAGGCTCTTTTGCAGGAGCAGCGCGGCTTCGCCATCAAGCAGCTCACGTGCCATCCCAACCTGCGCGTACAGCTGAGAATGCTGCGCTTTGCCACGTGCGTGGCCATGTGGCTGACCAGCCTGCGCAAGCAGTTCTTTGTGCCCGATGTCGACACTTTCCTGCCGGCATTGCCCAACGAGCATCTTATAACGGACCGCGAGCTACCGCCCATATTTGTCAACAAGCCAGCACCGTGTGCACCTATATCATCACGTACTCAGTACGTCACTGCCAGCGGTGGAGGTCTCGGAATCAGAAAGGCGGCGCTGACTGCAGCAGAGCTGGAAAGGCCAATAGCCGCCGCGCACGACTACGTTCACGAACTCGCCCGAGAGTGTCGTACGGAGGAGCTGTTTGAGTCTTCACCGACCCCACTCGGTGGCAAACAGTACTATGTGATGGGTGTCATGCTGGAGAAGTACTATCCAACATCACCCAAGGTGAGTAGTAAACTTTCTACTTTGAAGTACTGACCATGATGGGCTAGTGTCATCAATCACGCATACTAGCACCTGCATGGGGCTGCTTGTGGCAAGGGATTTCCCCTTTCTAGCCTCATCCTCTGCCTTCAATGAGGTGTTCTTGTGGTAGTTGTCCTTTGTGTTATGCGGCACAAAACGTAGCCTACAAATAATCTTGGTTTGTGGGTCTTGGAACACAATGCCTGTGATTGAAAGCATAGCTACCACGGGTAGGGTTCAGGGAAGTCTACCTGGCCATCGTTTCAGCTGTACTCAGCGGCCTGAGTAGCAGTACATTGTACTACACCACTGACATGATGATGCAATGGTTTCTATACAGAATGTGCATAGTCTGAATGTCCTTGGTAGTCCATTGTTCCTTATAAACTCAGTGTTCTGCCCTGTTCTACGCTTCCCCGCCAGGTACCTCGTTGGATACACGCTCTGTACAATGAAATGAACATTTTGGTGACCAGGGTCGGCATGGTAACAGAGCAGCGTGCACAAGACCAGTTTCGCCGTCACTATGGAGACAAGAAAGCTGGGAAGCTAAAGCAGATCAGCTTGGGACTGGTAGCGTCGGCACAGCGAGGACTAGCGGCTGTCTTTGAGGTACTATGGCTGACGATTTGGAACACCATTGTCTTTGCTAGGAGAATTTTTTAGCAGTTCCTCTCATTGTTCTCCTTGTCATGTTACCATGGTATTGTTAGTTTGCTGTGTTTGTTCAGTGGAAATATTTGTTGTCAAGGAATGGCTATAAGTATTTCTTTACAAACTCAAGTGGTGAGGCTGTGAAAAATTTGGAGGAAGAGATAAGGAAAATCTGGGGTGAAAGTTATGCATTGGACTCCACCTAGGTTATGCGATTGCATAATCAGTTTTGCGATGCTTCGGCCAAGCCGCGGACTGCAGCACAGCGCTGCACTTGCACTAGCGACTCACGCTGCATACTTAGCACTCACTAGGACATCCGCTGCTAAAACAATTCGCATACTGAGCTCTATACCAGACCTTGAATAGTGACATGTCCATGTATACTTCTTCAAAGTACATTATGGCGCAAAACCGACAGGGAGTGCCGAGATATTCCACGGAATGACACTGAGCTCAAGTACTGTTCGATAGCAGTAATCAACTGGCCTTCCAACCTAGAAAGTTCATAGGTACACAGGGGCGTAGGAGGGGTTTTGGAAGTGGTACGACCGAAGGTCGGCGAGGCCGAAGGCCGTGTTGGAGGGGGTCGGGGGACCTCCCCTGGAAAATTTTGTAAAAAAGACACAAAATCCTGCGTTCTGGGAACTTCTGGCACACTTCTGGCGCCGTGGGCAGTCGTGTCGAGTACAGTACTCAGTACGACTGCAGATGCCGGCAGATCTACGAGTCTAGAAAAAGGTCAAAGTCTGATGCGCATATATGCATCGATGGATCCTGATTTTTTTATTACGGTTTTGCACGTTCCGGACGGACCACACTTTTCGAAAAAAGTGGTACGGCCATGGTCGTACCAGTCGTAGCGGGTGCTACGCCCCTGGTACATGTCTGATACTGCCAATGGGGAAAGGCAAGCACCGTTGATTAGCGCTATCGAACAGTCCTCTAGCTCAGCATTATGCCTTGAAGTATCTCAGCACTCACTCCTCGTTAGTTTGGCGCTGAATTGTGCACGTTGGACTTGTTAAGGTCTGGTATACCTAGTGCAATGTGTACCTCAACCCCCAATGTTTCCTCTCAGTCTTTTTCCTCTAACTATTTCTTTGTAGATGTGTGTTGTACCCACGTAGGCTTACATTGTAGCATGTTGTTGACCCTATCTATGCATGGATATGTGTGTGTATGCATGTGTGTGCATGTGTGTCTATATGCATGTGATGTGTGTGTGTGTGTCTATGTGTGTGCATGTGTGTGCATGTGTGTGTGTGTGTGTGTGTGTGTGTGTGTGTGTGTGTGTGTGTGTGTGTGTGTGTGTGTGTGTGTGTGTGTGTGCCCATGCCCGTGTATGTGTGTGCTGCAACCCTCTACTATGCAGTCATTCTCCAAGCGGTGTGCGGAAAGCCGTGTGAAACAAGTGGATCCAGTGTCAGGTCTCAGCCTGCTGCACCATGCTGCTCTCAATGACAGGGCCAACATCATTTCCATACTGCTTCGAATGCAGTGAGTTTGAGAAGATATCCTGTTTGATTGCTTGGTCTACAAATACATTCCTGCCATGATTTCCATCCCATGTTTCCTGTTGACGATTCTTGAGCAAATCAATGACAGCGTTGGTGAAAATTTGGAAGGTGGATTTGGGAGCAATTCCTATAAAAGTTTAGAGCTCTTAGCTGCAAAAGAACCTCAAACACTCTATAGCTGATTAAGCTGCACAAATTCATTGTTTTGAAAGCATGAGTAACAACACGACGGCATTGGTCTATTTCTACTGCTAACAGTCGTGTTGTGTCCGTTCACCCTGTGACACTGCAGATGTGATATTGATCAGGTGTCCGAAGAAGAGAGTGGCAGCCAAGGAAGCACGGCATTGCACTACTCTGCTCAGTGCGGCCATCTGGACACCGTGTCGGCACTGTTGATGCACGGCGCACGGCCCCGGCTGTTCAACTCCAATGGCTTCGCTTCGATACACCTGGCTGCGATGGCCAATTCCAGTCACGTGAGTTTTCAAGCGCCAGTTTGGCCAAGTGCTGCCATGTTTAGCAAGCTTCCGGCAGAAGAGAAGGCCTCTCCATCACAGTATTGCAATACACTCATTGTACATGCCTGGCCATGCAGGGAAATGGTACCTGTGTTCATAATCTGTCTTTCGTGCACTCCGGGTAGTCATAGATGTTTTTTGGGGGATTTTACTTTACAACTCTATTGAGTCAATGCAAGAGCCTGCGAAAACGCGCGTGCATACACCACACACACACATGCACACACACACACACACACACACACACACACACACACACACACACACACACACACACACACACACACATACACACACACACACACACACACACACATACACACACACACATGCATGCACACACAAATCTGACACACTTTGTACGCTTGACCCCATTCTGGTGTACAGTGCGTGGAGCTGCTGTTCCAGCGAGACAACAACTTGCTTGAACTGACCACACAGGATGGTACAAACTCCACGCCACTGCTCTTGGCTGTGGAGAATGGATGTTTGGACACAGTGAAGCTACTGATGACGCTCGGTTCCGACGCACAGGCGACAAACTCCAGCAGACAGAACGCTGTTCATCTGGCGGCTCGCCACCGCCGCATTTGCATCATCAAGTTCTTCACGGAGGATGAGCAGTGCAGAGAGGCATTCAACACCTGGGACATTCTGTCGCAAATGCTTTCAGCAAAGCCTGATGGTGATGAGCCCAGTTGGGCCCTCTCTGTACTGGTTCCTCTAGCTGTTGTCAGCACCGGCAATCTCAAGCACATTGTTGAAGCTGGACTGATCGCCGTGCTCATTAAACTGATGAGATCGGCGCAGACCGCGGAGCAGGCCATTCGCACTGTACGGCTCATTGGCACGAACGAGGAGGTGCAGAAGGCGTTTGTGGATGGCGGAGGGATTCCCGTGCTGGTGGCACTGCTGTCCAAGGTTGCACCCGCCACTAACTGCCACGCAGCTGTCTTGATGGCTGACCTCTTAGAAACGGATAGACAACGACAGGTATGGTGCACGGCTCTTGGCATCTGCACGTGCGGTTTCTCCTTGCTTGCATATTGTCCCACCGCCTTAGGAGGAGCACCTTCACGTTGACCATTGCTGCTGAGTAGTATTCTTGTGGATGTGAATAAAGCGAGCCGGTGGCATTCTTCAGATTAAATTAATCGAGACGATATACCACACTTTGTGAACACGGCTTGTCAAGCGTTTCTGCTCATTTGGTGCTTGTGTTGTGTTTGGAAATCTATGCACATGGACTGATATGGCATAATGAACATTCTGCATTGTCTGCAGGCTGCCGTAGCACAGGCAAAGGCATTGCCAGCACTTGTGCAACTGCTTGACTCTTCGGAAGAGCACATCTTGCTGTGTGTACTGAGCGCACTGGCGCTGGCAGTGGCCGAGGAGAACTCTGCCAATCAGGCGGAGGTATGCGACTGTGGTGGATTCCCGAAGATTGTCGCCCTGCTGAGTGAGAACCATGATGCTGCCTCGCACCGGCTCTTTCGCGCTGCATCAAAGCTCATTGTCTGTCTGTGCACTGGCTGTCCCAGCAACCAGTTGGCACTGGTTGAAGCCGGCGGGACTGTGCCACTGCTAAACCTTGTCCAGTACGAGGAGCATGTTGATGTGCAGGTGAGAGATATGCAATGCGTGTATGTTATGCGTACAACGGAGGCGAAAGGCTGTGCAGCTGTAACTGCAAGTTTCACGCATTTCAGCGATCATCAGACAGCAGCTTTTGGCATTCACAGCTGCTGCCTGATGATTGCAGAAATGCGTGAAACTTTACCTCCGTTGTGTGTGGATACTGATCTGCACATTTGTGCATTGAGCACTCTGCTCTGAGCTGCCTCGACCGACCTTGTTTATACATGCAAATTCTATTATTTTTCAGATTTCACCTCTGGACAGCTGGCTATTTCGACCTGGTTAGGTCTAGTTCTATCAAAGAGCAACTGAGAGGTGTACGAAGAGATCGTATCATGATTTTGTAGAACATTTTCGAGTTGGAGTAAATGGCCCCATATGTGCATGCATGTGAAGTCATCAACCCGAGTATAGAGGCTATATGTGATAACGTCATCAGTTGAGAGCTTTGGCAAAGCCGTGGCACAGCGATGCAGTCTAAGGCTGTACTTGTATCCCATAAGCGAGACCGCCAACTGGTGCTGTATACTTGTATCCCATAAGCGAGACCGCCGACTCGTGCTGTATACTTGTATCCCATAAGCGAGACCGCCAACTCGTGCTGTATACTTGGCTCCCATAAGCGAGACCGCCAACTCGTGCTGTGTACTTGTATCCCATAAGCAAGACCGCCAACTCGTGCTGTATACTTGTATCCCATAAGCGAGACCGCCGACTCGTGCTGTATACTTGTATCCCATAAGCGAGACCGCCGACTCGTGCTGTATACTTGTATCCCATAAGCGAGACCGCCGACTCACCATGTACCAGGGAGCACCCATAACCGGCTCTGCTAGTTCACCGCCATGACATCACTTGAAAAACCTCAATAGAGGAATGGAATTTCATGTGTGATTGGATTTCATTTCGGCCCTCTTCCCACAGACATCCGCAGCATCAGCAATCCGGTCTGTTGCGCTGAACAACGACAGTACCCAGCAGGCGGTGCGCGATGCCGGTGGAGTCGAGCCTCTGAAGAGGCTGATGAAGAATCGCAACATCGAAGTCAAAGTGTTTGCGGCCACGGCAGTTTGGGCTGTTGCCGGGCGGAAGCTAATGTTCCGGCAACTAGTCGCCTCTCAGGTAACATGATAATGCAGGCATGAGATGGTAAAAAGTAAAGTTCACACATTCACGTTACAACCCGGCTATCCAATTTTGTTGAAGTACACAACCAGCTTAGGAAGTTTCGCTTGTATCAGGCCACCACCACCACCACCGGCCTGTGCACCAGGGTGGCAGATGCAATGAGATGGTATAGTGTGAAGTTCCAGCTGAGTAGTTGTTGGCCTTGAGTATCAATGGCAGGATGCCTTCTGGGGCTCACCGTACATACGTACTGCTTTAACATGTTTTCACGATCACAGCATGACCAAGGCGGAGGGCCCACTGTATGGGAAACAGCGTTCCTGACTGCAATACAGTACTGCTTGTGCGCTCACCACACTAGTATGTACTTAGTAGTTGTCACTACGTGAAAGTAAGCTCAGGACTGTAGCCCAGGGTGCACTCAAAGTGATTCCCGGTTTTCCTAGGCATTACATGCCGGAAAAGACAGAACAACGATAATTTGGACTATGACCTGAGCCTCCATTTCTATATGCGACTAATCGATACCGCAATGATTTGACCATGCAGAGATGGAGAGTGTACATACCGATGATGGTGGCTATGGCGGTGCAAAAGAAGAAGAAGAAGAAAGTGTTACATTATTGGTCAGATCATGAGAGTGTCGTGTGTTCAATCACTTTTTGTCTTTTGTTAGATTGGCATTGATCAGCTGATCACTCTCTGTGAGCTGCAAAACGAGGCACTGGAGATTGTGGGAACTGAGGCTCTGTGCTCCCTGGCGCACGGTGCAAAGGCCAATCAAGAAGCCATTGCCGCAGCAGGTCAGTGGCAAACACTCATCATGTACTGTAATAGAAGAGCTTGCTATGATTTCGTATGCAGCACTGCAAAGCACTGCAAAGCACTGCAAAGCACTGCAAAGCACTGCAAAGCACTGCAAAGCACTGCAAAGCACTGCAAAGCACTGCAAAGCACTGCAAAGCACTGCAAAGCAGCAGTAACATGTATACTAAAGCCAACGCATTTTCTCAACCGGTTGATAATACTGTATAAGTACTTTATGAATGCACCGTGCACACTATGCAGTACGGGAAAGTGAGCCTGCACCTCAGTCCTGAAAGCGATGGTTGCATACACTGATAGTTTAGGGAGTTCAGCTCGCCAGTGATAAACCCATTATGTTTTGTGATGCGCTGCATACACAAGACGAAATGTGAACACAATTGCTTACCTGCCTCAGCACCATGCATGGAATATGCGCCTGGTACGCATAATCCAATCTGTAAACTTAGTGTACAGGATATTTATCGATCTAACAGGGATAGTTTTGGGCCGTATTTGTCCACCCAAACTCTGTGAGTAGACTTCATCTGGAGGGAGGGGATTTTGGAGGCCAAGGAAAGGGTACTTTTTTTGCGGGAATGGCCAAACTGAATCTGACTGAATTCATGCAGCATGCTTTTTGGAGTATTTCTTTAGGCAAGTATTCACTTCTTTGCAACACCATGATACTGCCAGGTCACATGATACTGCCAGGTCACATGATACTGCCAGGTCACATGCATACATGGATAAGTGAATGTAGCATTAGATCATTCCTCAAAACCCCCGTCATGGGTTCCTGTGCTACTTGCAGGTGGCGTTTTGCCTGTAGTGCGATTGCTGCGGTCAATAGCCAACAGCACCGAGCCGGTTCTTCTGCGTGCAGTGGAGACCATCGGTATTCTATGCATCGGACCAGCCATGTGCCCGAACACAAGCATCCAGGAGGCAGTCTCCAAGGCAAGCGGTCTGGACGTGCTCGTGCAGATAGCCAACCGGCCGACGGCCTCCCAGCTGCTGCGGGCCAAGTCCATCTGGGCACTGGCGTGCGTTACGCTGAAGAACACACATGTAAGCATCAAGGTGCACAAGTTCCTCTCCTGCACTCCTGCGTCATCAGGAAATTTTGCAGCTGAACATATATCTTTTGTAGATCTAGTTGTGATGTATGATCCTTCCATTTGGTGTTTTCTCAAAGGGAAATGTTTTATTGTGCTATATTGGGATGGTAAGCTATAACTGAGACAATCATGTTCAAGAAAAATGGTGTGTCTGGTTGACATTGACACCCTATTTCAAGGATTCTTCAAGGGCAAAGTTTGCTTCTGATGACTATGGAGCAGCGATCCTGGTGTTCCTAGCGCACTGGTATTGTCTTGAAATAGAAATTTCATCTTCTCATCTTTTCCATTTTCTTTTCGAACTACACAGAGTTGTCGGATCCTTGCCATGTCCAGCTTTCGTCTTGATGTTCTACTGACGATGTGGCACTACGCTAGTGTTGCGCATCGCAAGAAGCTGAAGGGAGTGAGCGTGAGTCCACGCAAGAGAAAGACCGGTGCGGTGCAGGCACCGACGTCCGATGGCGTGCAGGAACAGGCGAGCGCGGAGAGGAGCGGTGACAAGATGACGGAAGACGTGCACCTGTACTGCGGCCGTGCTTTGATCACGTTTGCGTTCGGCAACACGCACATCCAGAAGAGTTTGGCCGAGCTGGGTGGCTTGAATTACAGAGACTTCAAGCCTTTCATGGACTCGGCTGATCCATCCTTGCAAGCCTACTTTGATCTTCAGGTATGTGCATGTACCTTGATTCTCCATAATTATTTGTCATCATCAGATCAGAGAGTGTACATGCAGGACTGCCGGAAGCAGTTTTTGATTGGTCTGGCCATACCATAGTTTTTCATACAGTTTGTGTATAATATGTAGTGGGTAAACAGGACCTCCTCAGCGGTAAACATGCATTGATGGCCAACTAGTAGGTCTGGTGATGAACTGACCAACCGGACGGCGGTTCCGACGGGCCTGACATGCAAAGGAAATCGTTCGTAACACAAGTTAGAGATGGAACTATGCCGCTGTAGAGGTTGTTACTGGGAGTTTTATGGCTATCCACTAATCCTCTGCCAACAATTTAGCAGCATAGCGTGTGAAACAGTTTGTAAATACATCTGGATGGCAGGCGATCCGAATCTATTTGGGCCATCCTATACTAGAATCACTGCAGATGCCAGAACTTGCCGCTATAGTCCTCACTCAACAGGCCTGGCGGAACCGGTCCGGTTGGTCAGGTCAATACGGACTAACTTTGTAGCTACCAACTCCTGTTTACTGCTCAGAAGGGCATATCATGGTCCCCGCCATATTATACACAATGTATGAAAGACTATGATGCAACGGGAAAACTGCTTGTCTCGATCTGCTCCTTCAGGTGGTGGTGGTATCTCCGATACTGCACGGAGCAGATCAAGTCAGCCTGGCCGTGGAGGCCATACGGCACCTGGTTGATCTCCTGGATGATGAGAATGACGAGGTTCAGATGCTCGCCGCCGATTGCCTAGCCAGTCTTGTGCACACACGTGCTGGCATACCGGCCACTGTAGTCAAGGCTGGAGGAGTTGACGCCTTGCTGAAAAACCTGACTTCGCCGATAGTTTCGGTAAGGATCCCCAATACTTTTACAACACTTAGTGTGTGCACTAGACTAGAGCAATTTTGTTTCTGGGAGTAATGCAAAACATATCTTTTGGAGGAGGAATATGCTAACCAATGCATGGAATGGATCATGTGATAGCCCGTTGGGGTAGATCATGTGTGGGCTAGAAGCATCAAGTGCTCCGGAAGTCCAATAAGGCAATACCAATTAAATGGACATCATCCAAGGCCTAGAGGCGTGGAGCAACATTATCTCTCAACGGAAGTGTCCTTGCTGGTGTCTGTATGGTTCGGCTGAAGAGCGCGTGGTTGTGATGAGTTGGGAATGCAATGAATCATCCAAGGCCAGTGCATTATTTAGTCAATTTAGCACTGTTCATTGCTAGAATGTACAGGAAATGGAAACAAGTTACGTTTTCTGAGAGTGGTGCATATCATTTTTTTAAAGGACTGAGAATGCAATGTCTATCTCTACCTGCGTTCAACTCTCCACAATGGTACCATTCCCGTAGGTTCTGGATAGCGCAGCAGCGGCTCTGGGCTATCTGTCGTTTGATCCGCTGGCACGGCGTGTGCTACTCAAGGCGTGCCGCGACATGCCCTTCCTGGTCGGGAAACTCTTCACACGCGCGGCCAAGATCAGCCAGGAGTTCCTTGACGTCTGGGATGATGCAAAGCATGTGGGCATACCCACACTCAGGTTAGCTTCTAAAGAGAATTCTAATTTTTGTAAATTTGATGCATTTTTCTGGCTGTCCGAATTACGGAGATCAATACGGGCCATTTGTGATTTTCAAGCTAGACGCTGCAGCAGCCGTTCAAAAAAAGAGTCAAAGATAGTGTGCCGGGTAGTGGGCATCAGGGCATGTTATCTGTTATCTGGCATGTTATCTGTTCGATTGGCTTGCATAGGTACCAGTAAACACCTTCCTGAACGGATACTCCTTCTGTCCTTCTGTTGCTGTCCGATGATCGGCAGTGCCGTGAAACTCAGAGTTACGGCAGAAACGCTTTGATTCCTTCTTTCAAGTGTGTGTACTAGGCTCTGCATCTAGGTGTATTGAGCACTGTCACGCCGGAGTGACCACGAATCTCTCCCAGTATACTCATTCTGCAAAAAAGTTGGGGGCTGGGGCAGAGGTAAATCTCAGTTTGCGAAGTCACAAACCCTTGGGGAAGCTCTGCTGTGATGAATCGCTTTATGTGCCATCATTACTGGATCATATCCATCCCGGAAAAACGGTGATTGAGAAGTTCACCCGACTTGGTTCACCTACAGTTTCGCATGTACTGGCCTTGGCCACCCAACAGTGGCACTGGTTTTAGCTGACACTGTGGCTAAGTTCTCATATCCACTGTGTATTTCTTCGGCATTGTACTTCAACTAGCATCTTCAACTGATGTTTAAAAAAATTGAGTAACTCAGCGTGAGGAAAAGTCTCAAAATTCTCAACTTTCACGTTGCACTCCACGCTTTTCAAGTTGCCGCGATCGCAGCTGAACTTACGAGCGATTTATTTCAGGCACCGTTGATCGCAGTGCGTCGCGGATGCGTTCTACGGCACGCGGAGAGTTTTCTCTTCGACATAGATATGTGCGGGATCGTTGAATTTGAGCTAGTTTTGACCGAGTTACGGCCTTTTGAAGTATCACAGTCGAGTGTGTAGAATTCTACACATTCAAGTGTGGTGCGGCTCTCAAAGGGTTAAAATTCCATACACTTTTGAAGTACAAACCAAAATCCAGTGGAACAAAATACATCTCAACGCAGAGTTTCGTGCTTAAAAAAAAGCAATCAGCAGCAGATGAATGTATATTTCGCAGGATATTGCACTTTTGAAGTACATGTATAAAAATTAAGAAATTACTTCCGTAGGAATCATCAGAATAGGTGCTATCACTGAGATCATGCGGCATTCATATCAATTTTCTTTTTCTATACTGTACTTCAGCCTCGAGGCGAATGGAGGAGTGCCACTGGTATACAAAAGTCATGATCCGCAGCCAGGTAACTTAAGCTGTAGAAATATCCGTCCAAACACCTGTACATATTTAAAATATGCCAAAGATACGAGCACGACACCGGCCATTTTGTGGCTTCGTAGGCAATACATGCATGCTCAACTCTCCTCCACTCTCCTTAGCGGAACCTTTATGATGTAGTCATATTCTAACGTTATGAATGAACACAGTTTTGCCACAAGCAGTACCCCAAGTAAAGCTACTAGATACATGTATTGACCCTTGGGCAGGGAATCAAATAATTTCTTACAAGAGTTGGACAGCTTGATTCTTTTCACAAATGACCACCCCATCATGAAACTATTGTGCATAGTCACAGGTAGGAGTAGCAAATTTTCAAGCAGATAATAATATTCAATAATTTGATTTGATGCGTCCTGCAGGTTCACGATCAAGGGTATGGGCTATACTATTCCTGCATACTGAGTTGCATACAAAGCTATAGGAACCTATAGGTCAGAAGGAAGGGTCTTGCTGCGAAGTAATTGCTCGTATTTTTACCAATAGACGACTGAAGAAATCACATGGGAACGAGTTATGAAGCAACTATCCACGACTGTATCCGAGTTCAATTTCGTATTTTACTTCCATGTTTATGCTGTTCTGTGTAGTTTTTGTTGATCTTATAATTCATGTCCACATGCAGCTTCATTGGGTTTCTGTAATGCTTGATACAGATTTCAACCGGAAGTCAAAGTTGGAGACCCAAGTGTATTCACCATCGCCTGGTGCTCAAGGCGTGTCGCAGGGCAGCATGAGACCCATGCGTCGGGCTGGCACTGGCCCGGAGCCATCGCCCTGGTACAAGGCGATGCAGCGCACTGCCGAGCGTGCCAGGGGCATGGTGTACGACAGCCGCACCGGCAACACTGCTCATCTTACGCACTCTGTATCGCCAGGCAATGGCAGCATGACAGGCTGGAGGCTGAAGTAGATACGGCACAATGCACTTGGATACAGCATTGCCACGCGTGGATCTGAAGGAATCGCCACAGAAGATAGTTTGAATACATCAGTGTAGCGAAAGGGTATGTCTTGAATCATTTTACTGTGCCCACTGACGTTGAATTACCGGCTGTGAAACTCACTTAGATGTAGATGATGCTTCCATCGTTTCACATACTATTCGATGTGCACCAATTTCCCACTCATGTCACAGTGCATGTGCTTGAATTGGCTGACAGGCTAAACCTTCCACTCAGAGCACTAGGCAACTTGAAAATTATTTGTTTATGCTTGATCGGTTTTGAAACTCAATTTTTTATTCACTTGAAATCATTTGAGACATCTCACATTAGTGCGAGGGATTATCAACAGGTGTTTTCAGATAAATGCATTGGTTACAGAAAGAAATCTCAACCGTATACAATGCACTCTTGACAGCCCTGCTACTGTTTCGCTTGTTCAGCTGCAATATTCTCATTACATTTTAAAATGTATTCAACTCGAGCCATTCAGAATGCCAGGCGAGTACCCATGAATGTTTCTGGCACAGGTATTGTGCTTCGAACGTATCATCAACCTGGACCGTGAGAAGTCACAGCAAGAAATTCTAGAGTTCGCATGGCACTAACCGGCATACACAACATGTTGTTATTTAATAATAATTGCTATCCAAGCCCAAAGTCATTTGCGCCAGTACAATGTATACTGCATAGCCGTGACTGTAACATGATTGCACCAGACCATCATCTCTTAGCACAATCAAGCTGTACTGATCCAGCTGGGAATATAAACACAAGGCTTCACCAGGATCATGAATCATGCTGCCATCAATACAACACTCTGTAGTGAGAGGAATAATAATACTATTATCAAATAAATTCGGCGCGGATGCTAGAAGAAACAAGCTATACATGCAGCGGAATAAATTAGACTTGTCAGTTTGAGCACTCTGGCAAGGTACGTTCGGGCCTGATTGGAAATTTTTATTTCCATTGCTATCAGGTTCGGCCTCATTTCCTCTGTGCTGCGCTGACGAGTCCACAAAGGACGAAACAGTTCTGTCCGCAGATTGAGTGCAGCGGAATAAATTAGATAATAATTATAACTTAAGTTAAAGAAGGGAGGGAAGTGAAGGAAGATGTAAAGGAGTTAATTAAAGAGATCTAGACGAAATTGACCAAGGCTGGTAGTCACAACATGAGCGAGTGACTGGTGAAGCAAGGTATTTTTTTTACAAAGACACAAGTACACAAAGTGACCTCTTAGGTGTACCCCGTGCAAGTTCCATATTTAGCTTAGGTTGTGCGGGCGAGTTGGGAGGGCATAGTAGTGACTTCGCAGTCACTGCCCATAAATACCGCACAGCGAATCAAACCATCCATTGGTGAATGGTCAGCTCACTGCTTTTTCACAGGGGCGATGGACGCCAGTTCACGATGCATAGTGTGTTGAGCTTGACGTGCGCTCAGAACTCAAGATGATTATCTCTGCAGCGCAATACTGGCACTGCCGGATACGTGAGCTGCACAGCACCGGGCTGCTGTATCACCATGGGACAACATGGTCGCGTTCACAATGAAGTTACGCCTGCACTGTGTGTTGCGCAGATCACCCCTATCCAGGATTTTGATTAACTCGGGCCCCGGGCGGCTGGTCCGAAGACATTGAGATGAGCCTGGAGCAGGGTTTCATGCAGGCACAAACTGACAGAGGCCCCCAGAACCGGGAGAAGAGCACTTCCTTTTGCGGTGTGTTCGGCCATAAGCATGTCCTGGTCACAGAGGGTCACTGTGCATCGGTAGATTGGGTAGATGTGGATTCCGGTTCGGCAGCAATCGTGCTATCACTTGGCACATACGTCTTGGGCAACGGAAAAGAGCGCAGTGGCAAAGCTAGCTGACTATCCAACTGTGGATGAGTACCAGTCTCTTGCGCGTTTCCCTGCGGACACCCCTCCTGCGTAGCATGGAACTCTCTTCTCTTAACTTCAGGCAAATCCGTTTGAAACACAATAGTGGATGCCGGGTGGCCATTTCCTGCAGATACAACTCCAGCACCTCCCCGTTCTCCCGTATCTTCGTCAGGGAAAGGAGTATTTGTAGCAACAGAGGTTGTATCGCCCTGGTTTTCTGCACCAGCTTCGTCGTCGAGGACGCCCTGGTCATCAATGACCACCTGGTAATCGAGGGCAGGCTGGCAGTCGAGGACGGGCTGGTAGTAAAGGCTAGCTGCCAACGGAGGTGCACACATTGCAGATTCCTGGTCGTCTGTCTCCGATTTCTCACTATCCTTACGTGATCCGGGTGAACTTGGCGGAGGAAATACTACTCGCTGCTGGAAATTGTCGGCTTCATTCAGCATATGTATTTCAAGGTCGTGCCGCATCATTACATCAACCCTCCGCCGGTCTTCCACACTCTCCACCGATATCCTATCAGCTGGGGTGGACTTTGCGCTGGAATCACCCTGGCTGTTGATAGTTGATGTTGAAACCTGATGTTCCGAAGGAGTAAGTCTGAGGTTGGACTTGACCTTTGCTGTGGATTCTCCCGTTTGGTACTGACCAGTACTTCTCCGTGGACGTTTGCGGACAACAATGACAATTACCAAGACCAGCAAAATTCCACCGACAACAGACACCGCGGGGGCAATGGCTACTGTCTTGATTTCATTGTCCTTGACACCAGTGTCATCTACAGAGTGGCAGACAGAGCAATACACAAGCCATAAGGGGATTAGCAACGAGCAGAGTTGTTCACGATTGCTTCCATGTGTATGACTGTATGCGACAGAGCAGTATTACCGTGTGCTACGAAGCACAACCCCGCAATATCTTTCAGCTCACTTCATGAACTGTACAGGACCATCAGCATAGAAATTCAGTACCTTGTTCACAGATGGATAGCAACATGCACGAGCGATAACAAAAAGGCCAAGTTGATCTCCCAAACTGAACACCGCAGTTTGGGTCATTCACGTTTTCCCTTCCAAAACCAATGCATCATTTCTCACCCACCCAGTAACTTATAGGGCTTGCTAGTCATGACGCCAGAAGTAAAAAATAACGACAAAACGACTTCTAAATCAACTTTTCCCGTAGCTAAGTACATGCACAGGACGTGGTGGGTGGACCCCTCTTTTCGCATGCAGGTGTGTGAATTCATATCTGTACCAGGAGTAGGAGTAGGAGTAGGTCCTTGACCAGGTGAAACCCTGACCAGGAGTAGGTCCCTGACCAGGTGAAACCCTGACCAGGAGTAGGTCCCTGACCAGGTGAAAGCCTGACCAGGAGTAGGTCCCTGACCAGGTGAAACCCTGACCAGAAGAACCCGGCACATTGTACAGTCATTCCCGGTGGATGTGTCACCCTACTGGGCAGGAAAGTTGTATTTCTCGCGAAATATTTTCAGTTGCAAATATGGCATCTGGTGTGTTCTTTGTTAGTCACATCTGACTGCGGCCAACTACCCTTCACTTTGTGTGTTGTCGCTATTGCTGTCTATGTCTCTGTGTATGCCAGTATAGGTGGAGCGAGAAGCCACACAAACGTGCACGGATCCAAGTGGATCCAAAGTCAGCGTTGTCATGTTGTCATGGCCCCGGGCTGGCTGTGATATAGCACTTTTAAGGCCTATTTATTAGTCCACGTGATGTAGACACAGGTGCATCCTTATCCAACATTAAAACCAATACTCACCAGCTTGATTTGGCAGTGCAGCTCCTGCATCGTCTCGTCCAAGCGGCACTTCCACAACCACACTAATGTTAGCCGAGCTAGATATGACTTTACTTTGTACAGACTCGTGAGTGACGGTCGGCGTACTTGTAGGTGGCGTTAGCTCTCCAGCACTGACGGCACGTGTTGGCGTACTTGCTGAGGTAGAATCTACTTGTTGACTTGGTTGCGGGCTACTAATGGCTGGAGCAGTAACACGAGTACTCTGGCCACACACGAGGTTTTTCTCGGGTGTGCACTGAGAGGCAACGCTCAGTGACTGGGCCAGGCAAGTTTGGGCCAGTTTGCACAAGACACACGTGTTGCCATCCCAGTACTGATCCGACGGGCAATACGCATAGCAATGCGTATCTCTTGTAGCCGAGCAGGCATATTTCACAGGGTCATCCTATTAGCAGCAGAACAAGAAAACAGGTAGCAGCATTGAAGTTAAGCCTAGGTTAGGCATACTACAAGCAAGGAGCAAGTTCAGGATGAACCTCCATCAAGCTTAGTTGTCGAAGGATTGCCTTAGTCTCGCTATGTGCATGAAACGTAGTGTTACAGCAATGTTTTAGCCGGTTGTCACCATTCTCTTCTGCCTTTGTGCAACATCAAGCTTATGTAACTTTGCATTCTCATGCACACAAGATCAAATAGAATCAATCGAGTTCTTGAAGAACACACAAACACACAAACACACACACACACACACACACACACACACACACACGCACGCAGTCACATGCAAGCATACATGCCAAGTATTATGGTCCACTCACATCGCAGTTCAATGAGTCCGCATCTGTACAGGGCCGACAACTAGCCTCATATGACAGGCCAGGCTTGAATGTATGCGGTGGGCATATATCGCACTCCGTGTTTGTTGTACCATGGCAGGCAGTCTTGACGTACAACCCCTCATCGCATTTGATGCACATTGCACACGCGCCGTCCTTCAAAAAGTGATTTGCTGGACACGCCAGCGGTGTAGCATCCACAGCAGCACTGCAGAGCAATAGCCCCAGCAACGCCTGAGAAACACAAAACAGAACATGATGGCCTGATAAGAACACATCCACGATAACCTGCCTTCGTACCAGGTTCATACGTACAATACATGGATAGCAGCATTTCAGGGCAGCAAATATCTGACCCCATGCCAGTGATGGCAAAGGGAGCACCAAGTTGTAAAACATGTTGAACATATTCAACATGCTGTAGTATAGTCTGGTGGCCGTGCTGGTACTACAGTTAAACCGTTTAAGGAGAAAGCTGCGTACAAAATTCCTATCTAACTGACTGAAGAAAAGTGAACACCAGATCGATCATAGGCCGATTCGCTTGCGTCAAGCAGAACAATGTACCATCGGTTTCTTTTTAGTTAACGCACAAACCAAGCAGCATGAGTCACAGTAACCCCATGCACCGCACCCCATGCACCGGAGGACGTCAATCGTGGCAAAGTATTTAAAGTGACATCAGTCTTGGTTACTCCAGGGAATACCTTCAATCAGTTCTACGTAAGCAGAACTCATGAGTGGGGTCCTGTCACCTTAGCACGGCTGTCACACTTTGACAGCCAGTGACACTTTGACAGCCAGTGTTTTTCTTATGTTCTAATTCCAAACATTTTCAGGACTCTTTTCTCAGTCTTGCATCAGCCCTCACATTGTGACATAGCCTGGAAATAATATCATGGCACAACATGTACTGGGATGGCCAGGAAAAGGAAATCTGTAAAAATTATACAAAAAACTTTATTAAGGCGATAAATAGTATAAGCGAAGCGGACATTACGAAATGATCAATGAGAATACTTGTATGTTAAAATCGATGTTCCTAATTGATTTTCTTGAGACTATCATCAGGGAAACATCGCCTCACAATAGAAGCTATGCGGAGAAACAAACTACTTATACGTCTATAGGATAGTGGGAAGTATACAAGGTGAGGTGTGAAAAAAACGAAAATGGGAGAGAAAACGAAAGAAAGAAGAAGAAAGGATGTGAGAGTGTTAGACATATAAGTAGTTTGTTTCTCCGCATAGCTTCTATCGTGAGACGATTTTTCCCTGATGATAGTCTCAAGAAAATCGACTAGGAACATCAATTCCAACATACATGTATTCTCATTGATCATTTCGTAATGTCCGCTTCCCTTATATTATTTATCGCCTTAATAAAGGTATTGACTCCTCGTCACCTATTCATATACACAAAACGTTATCACCCACAGCCACAGGTCTAGGTGGGCGGGTGGTGAGATGCTGACATTGACAGGTAGGAAGGCAATTGACTATGGGCAACTGCATGGATGAGATCATGCTGTCAGAGAGAAGTGTCACCTGATCGAGACATTGGAAGACAGGGGAAGTCAAATCAAATGATGTATTGCAAAACAAAGACCCAAAACTGAGATTAACTTTGAATGAAGACCTGGACAAGGTCCAACGCCTTACACCAGAGTTGTTTGGTTATTCTCAGGCCACAAGATCACGCCATCTGCAACAGCTGGATAGTGGTTTATCTTGTATTATTGCTGCTGGGCATTGGATAGAGTTGGAGGCATGGGCAGGAAGCCTCAGTGTAAACTGGAATGCTTTGTCCATGTGTTGCTGATAATCCGCGCATCTTTTGAATCCATGAAGAAGCTACCAGAACTTGATGGGGTAGAATGGACAAAACTGTATTGAGCAAGTACAAGCTCTGACCTAGGCGTGAGCAGGACTCAATAGCAGTAACTGTATCCCCAGGGCTAGGTGCTTCAAGCAGCACTTACCGACTTAGCACTTGGAATGTGGCATAGTGTAGGTCCTACAGTGTACAGAATTGTATGCTGTACAAGAACCTTACAGTTACACTACATACACTTACCGGTGCTAGCAGTATTGACAACCTAGACAATGAGTCAGGCCATTCTCCTATTCTGGTCACCATGCTGGCAAACCTGCAGAAGCAACACACAAAAAAGCAATGAAAACAGGGTGTCAAATGAAATTCTGTGACCACTACTTTTACTCAATGGTAGGTAGACAGACTTCGTTGACGAAAATGAAACTCCACAAGGAACCAGATCTCTCAGGCTAAGAAGAATACAGTCATACTGCTACTTCCAACACTTGCTCCAGCAATGTTCTGCAAGTATTAGTCCTCCCATACATACACTTGCTCCAGCAATGTTCTGCAAGTATTAGTCCTCCCATACATAACAGCCGCCAGTGGCAAACGCTAGATACAGAAGCAAGGTGACATTAGTTCCGGCCTCAAGAGATGTACATAATTATTATGTACAAGGCAGTGTCAGTGTAACTACCTTTGGAGCCATGAATGGGTGAAAACATTCACCGACCATTCAGTGTTCCTTTACCAGGGCTAAAAAGGCCAAAGACTCTCCTGATGGTGGACAACGCGGGGTTTGGAATTTGAAACAAAAACCCAAGTGCATGCAGATGATTATCCCTCTGCAAGGGGACCTACCAGTCCTCAGCCTAAGTCACTTCACAGTTCATACCGCACCGCATCACTGTCTACATAAAGCGTACAATAGCCTCTCTTTAAGCATTCGCAACCACCACCAGAAGTTCAAAGAAGAAGAAGCAATTATAATATTTTCAGTGGCCGCCTAAGTAAGTAAAATGGGTTGTGCCCTGAGCTTCGAGAGTCATCGGTTTGAACTGAGTGCTGCTTTTGACTTCAAAGTTCAAACCAAAGCCAAGTGCAAGCAACACGGACGTGGGCTCGCACATACTATAGTAATCAGCGTAGGTCTAAGACTTTTATAGTATAAACTTGCTTACTTCCCCACTGCGGTTCACGAGAGATTGGTAGAACACACCCAAAATATAGTGATACGCTCGATATTACCGGGACCGATAGAAATCCCGATTTGCACTTTATTAGCACGATAGTTTATTTGTTATCACGAATATTAGTATCACTAGTTATCCGTACAAGACTACTAAAATGTGCTTCGAAGTAGCGACTATTCCGGAGCCAGATCACTCACAGGCTACTCTGGACTCGACATGAGACGACTCCGAGCAAGTCAAGAGAACATTGTAATTCTTCAGCACTGTTCATCGTGACTTACCTTGGTTTGAGTGGCTAGTATCCTAATGAGCAAGGAGACCTCTTCCGTCCAACATCCACAGTTACAGCAACAGTTTGCGGACAAAGATAAAACGAGTTATTCTCACAGATGGAATCAACAAAATGATCTAAAATCTCGACGCATGATGGATAATGTCCGACATTCTACTGACAGGCACCTGAAGGCTGAAGTGCCTCCAAAAGGTATTTCAACCAGCTAAGCGCATCGGACACAGAACATTTTGCCTGGTTCACCATGCCTGTCGGCGGCGTGGGCGTAGGGTGACCTGCGCGAGGGCCACGATCCTTAGCCATTGCCATTGTAACTAGGTTGAGCAAAGAACTCGGGGAGAAGAAGCTAGTGTCGAGGCCAACCGATGAAACAACATTACGCAATACTGCCAGTCACGTCAGAGCAAGTAGCGCTTTATGAATGGAAGCGCGAACTCTTGCACCACAAATATTCGAATGACATCACCACATGCGTGCACGCGCGGCCACGCGCACCGCGCTAGGCATACGTACGTATGCGATATGCGCGTATGCAGCGGCGATGGCCGATGCGGCGATGGGCCATAACAATAATACATTGATGATTATACCAACATGATAATTCCTTGCACGATCGAGTTCGGGGAGCGCGCCAGCGCGGCAGATCGCCAGGCGCTAGGCGCGCGCTAGGCATACTGTCTGTACTCTATTACTGTCTTATTACAGGCCAGGCGGGGCGTAGCCAGGATAGGGCCGACCGACGACCATGGACGACCGTCCGTAGATCTACCTACTCAGGCTGTACTGTAGCCTAGTGACAGTAGTGTAGGCTGTACTGTCTGTATACAAACACATGTAGTCAGTAGATAAAGATCTGCTTTGGAAGATTTATGAATAAACGCCGCGGAGACGCGTACGACGACAGTTATATTATGAACTAAGGCCATCATTTTTTATATCTATGTTTCGCGTCAGTTCACACTAACTAACTTCCAGAATCATTATGCGAGAGGTGGAAAAAAATAAAAAGTTGCAAAATAATAAAAAAAAGGCTCATCAGAGGTGTATGCACTGTACATAGCACAATAGCTCGTGCATGGTGTACATTCGAAAGAAAAATCGTACATCGAAGCACAACATCTGGGTTATCAGCAAGAGTAAATATTCACTTTGGACAGAGGAGGCATCCGTTGGTGCCTATGTCATGACCGGGGAGTAGGCCAGACATATCTCAGGATTCTACGATTCCAGGTTCTTTACGGAAATATACCAGGAGTCCAGATACCCATTCCTCACCCTCCCCACACAAGAAGACCAAAGCTTCACTCTAGGACCAAGTTCCAAGCAACCGAGAAGCAACAAGAACAACAACCACAACCTCTCCAAGCAAAGCATCGAGCTATTTACTGCTATTATGTCCTAGTAGCGTGCAAGCTGAAGGAGCGAAGGGCGCGAGCAGCCAGCCAGCAAAGCATGAATAGTGATATATTTCCCAACGCTATTCATAGACGAGACACATCGACGCCACGGCAAACACTTGACAAAGATACATGTAGGAGCAGACGGAATACAATACAGATAGCAACACACGGACACGACATATCCCCCGCCTACGAACATGTTACGTCCTCGTAACGGCACTGAAAAAGAAAGCAAAATAATAAAACTCTTGAAAACTTGAAAGGAAGGAACCAACCTCTTCCGACCCAAGAACCAAAGAAAACATAATGCGCCAGTCTTGCACAGACTCTCAGCCACAGCAGTGTTAGAAAAATAGGTTATGCCGTTACAACTACGTTCGAACAAGCTATTGGTCAGCCTGCAGGGATTGCTTCTGTGTTACTATCATTATGAACTATTATATAATAAGACAAATCAAGACTAGACGGGTGACAAGACCAGAAACGTGTCCAGGAACTGGTAACTGACCCGAACTAACTTCACTTGAAATCCGCGGCTCCCGTTTGCGTGTTGCCTTCATCTTGACTTCCTCGATGTACCTCCTCTCCAGCTCTCGCTACGTCCAGCAGTTTATCGTCATGCTCCGGGACGGGCGCGTTGGTGATGGTGACCAACCGCGGTCGCCAGGGTGCAGTTTATCGTCGTACCCAGGACGGGCGCGTTGGTGATGGTGACCAACCGCGGTCGCCAGGGTGCAGTTTATCGTCGTACCCAGGACGGGCTGCGGTGTGGTGGCGATGGCTATTGGCAGCGCTCCCTCTCGCTGCCGAGGGTTCGGAATGTTAGTGGCACTGGACATCCTGGCGTGGTCGCCAAATGTCATGACCGGGGAGTAGGCCAGACATATCTCAGGATTCTACGATTCCAGGTTCTTTACGGAAATATACCAGGAGTCCAGATACCCATTCCTCACCCTCCCCACACAAGAAGACCAAAGCTTCACTCTAGGACCAAGTTCTAAGCAACCGAGAAGCAACAAGAACAACAACCACAACCTCTCCAAGCAAAGCATCGAGCTATTTACTGCTATTATGTCCTAGTAGCGTGCAAGCTGAAGGAGCGAAGGGCGCGAGCAGCCAGCCAGCAAAGCATGAATAGTGATATATTTCCCAACGCTATTCATAGACGAGACACATCGACGCCACGGCAAACACTTGACAAAGATACATGTAGGAGCAGACGGAATACAATACAGATAGCAACACACGGACACGACACCTATGCTTCGCTGGATTATTGTACTCAGACTTCGGCAGCGGTGCAGCAAAGACCTCCGGAACGACGCATCCTCTCAACTTCAGGCGATCAATGCTGTCTGGTGTTAGCTCACAGAATATTGCTCCCAGATGCCGAACAAACGATTTGCCAACGCTGGCCTAGAGGCCATTTCTGAATCTCAGCTTCGCCGTATGCAACCAGTCCACACTGATGACTCGTACAATCGTACACTCATCGTGCATGTAAGATTTTTTATTTTTTTCTGAAAAAAATCAAACGTATGCGTGCGGACGACGCGAAACATAGCTATAAAAAATGATGGCCTAATATTAGTAATAAAAAGAACTAACTATACCGTCATCATCATGCATCAACGAAGTCAAATGTTTTCCATAATCGATATTCATGTCACTACCATCACTGCATCAGTGGAATATCCAACGGCTTGGGGTCCTAAACAGAGCCGCCCACATACTCACCCCCGCCGGCCGGACGACCGTATACAAGTAAAGGCACAAGTTAAAGGGGAAGTATACCCTAAAATCAAATTTTCACCAGTTGTAGTCTTCGGGGTGCTGAGTCGAATGGTCTTGATCCGAGGAAGCTGAGACGCTCCCTTCCTACTTGAATCCCAATCGAACTCGCGCACTTCCACCGAAACTGGGTGACTGCGCCCTACTAGATGGGGATTTGTATGCAAAATGTCACTAAAAGCGCCATTTCGTTCTTATAAAAGCACGGACGACCGCGATTGGCCCATATGTTGTAGTCTTTTGGACGCTGAGTCGACTGGTTTTGGTCCGAAAAGGCTGCGATGCAGCGTTCCTCCTTTATTCCCAATCGAACATGGTTGAACAAGCGGTCACGTGCTCCTGCGTACACCAGTCACCTGGTCACCGTGCCTGCAGGGTACAACTTACTAGCCTGTTTGACCTTTTTTGGGTGCAGTCCTGTCACTCGAGTTGAACCTTGGTGTGAAAGTTGTCGCCTGCTGGCGCGGTGTCCAGGTGATTTGGGCACCCAGGACCACGTGACCGCTTGTTCAACCATGTTCGATTGGGAATAAAGGAGGAACGCTGCATCGCAGCCTTTTCGGACCAAAACCAGTCGACTCAGCGTCCAAAAGACTACAACATATGGGCCAATCGCGGTCATCCGTGCTTTTATAAGAACGAAATGGCGCTTTTAGTGACATTTTGCATACAAATCCCCATCTAGTAGGGCGCAGTCACCCAGTTTCGGTGGAAGTGCGCGAGTTCGATTGGGATTCAAGTAGGAAGGGAGCGTCGCAGCTTCCTCGGACCAAGACCATTCGACTCAGCACCCCGAAGACTACAACTGGTGAAAATTTGATTTTAGGGTATACTTCCCCTTTAAAGGCGTTCGTACGACCAGTCATGGAGTATGCGCCTCTTGTATGGATGGGAGCTGCGCAGAGTCACCTCCAGCGTCTGAACAATGTTCAGCGCCGTGCGCTTCATGCTATCGGCCCTGGGGCACACCTACCCAGCCTGGCCATCCGCCGCACTGTTGCCTCGCTTTCCTGCCTGTACAAGCTGCACTACTTGCCTGGTCCTCCGCAGCTGCTCTCTGTGTTGCCACCGCGCCACATCATCTCTACCAACCCCAGAACTCGCAGCGAGCACGGTGCTGTCAGTGGCCATGACCACCAGCTCCAACACCAGCTGCCTGCATCTGCCCCGCTGGCACTGAAGCGCTCGTTCCCACACTGCAGCATCAGCGATTGGAACTCCCTCCCTGCCCTTCTCCTATCCCAGCCTCCCCACAGCAAGAGAATGCAATCATTCAAAACGAATGTTTACCGCCATCTTCGCAGCACAAACTGGCTCTGGGCAGTCGATTCCCTATGAATAGTATGACGCTAAGACAGTTTCTCCCCCACAATCGCTCGTGTTAAGCCTTGGGTTTTTGCATCTTTCTTACCTGTACAGCTCTATCTTCTTCTTTTTTCATTGTTTTTGGTGCGTGTTTTTGGCCGTGACGCCGAGACCTCAGGTCGGCAGAGTCATCAATGCCCCACCATCACTGCTGCGTCTCGGTGCAGCGCCTGCTCATTAGTTGTCACGTTTGTCCTAGTCTCCGTACAATTGTCTTTCCTTATTCTTTTCGAGCTGGTTATGTGAACGTAGTAAAAAAAATATATATATATTATAATAGCAATAAAAAGAACAAATTCTGCAGTCATCGCCACACTACAACGAAGTCATGAAAGTTTACCAGAATTAATTTTCTTGTCACATTCATCAGTGGAAAGTCGTGACTGAAGAGTAACCATGCTGAACAATGATTAAATATACATTCAATGATGTGTTACGAGAACAAAATACAGTGCCAAAATAGAATGAGGGAAGGTGAGACAATAGAAGTGAAGTGAGAGCTAAGTGCAACGGTGGGTGAAAAACTAATAATTATAACGCTAAAACTGTGTAGTGAGACAAACAATCATGCTGTGCACCTACGAAAACAATTTTAACGCAACTACATGTTTCTTCTGCTTACAAAGATCAGGTTTATGCAAACGAATACAAACAGCCTCAAGTACGTTCAACTGACTAGCATACCGTGCACGACAAAGAACAGAAAAACTAAAATCATCATACACCTGCAGACACTTAGGGTGAGACAACAAGTGAAGAAAAACGGCAGACTTCT